TAGAGACACTGCCTGAGTGCAGACGTCCAGGGCACAGAGGGCAGGAGGGGAGAGCACTGAAGCCTGCCGCACGACGGGAGAGGAGCAGGAGCACCACAGGGCAGATGTCTGTCCAAGTGCAGGGACGGGGACTGACAACGATCACAGCGTCCGGCCCCATCACGTCGTGGCAAAGAGATGGAGAAACAATGGGAACAGTGGCACACTTTGGGCTCATAGATCAATGCAGATGGTGACTGCAGCCATGAAATTCAAAGACACTTGCTCCTTGGAAGAAAAGATGTGACAAACGTTGACAGCATATTAAAAAACAGAGACGTTACTTTGCTGACAAAGGTCTGTCTAGTCAAAGCTGTGGTTTTTCCAGGAGTCATGTATGGATGTCAGAGTTGGACCATAAAGAGGACTGAATGCCAAAGAACTGATGTTTTTCAACTGTGGTGTTGGAGAAGACTCTTGAGAGTCCCTTGGACTGCAAGGAGATCAAACCAGTCAGTCATAAAGGAGATCAGTGCTGAATCTTCATTGGAAGGACTGACGCTGACACGAAGCTCCAATACTTTGGCCACCTGATTTGAAGAACTGACTCACTGGAAAAGACTCTGATGCTGGGAAAGATTGAAGTCAGGAGGAGAAGGGGATGACAGAGGTAGAGATGGTTGGATGGCATCACCAGCTCCATAAACATGAGTTTGAGCAAGCTCCGGGAGATGGTGAAGAACAGGGAAGCCTGGTGTGCTGCAATCCATGGGGTCACAGAGAGTCAGGCATGACCGAGCGACTGAACAACAACAGGAACAGGTGAGGAGGGCATAAACAGCAGTTCAGAATTCCAGGACAAAGGACAGAAAGAGCTAGAGATGGAGAGTCAGGCAGAAGTCATAGTATGAAAGCATCAATGTCGCTTTAAGAGGTCTAGACATTAATGTGATTCAGAGTGCTTCATGCTCAGGTGTGTTTTTGACATTGCTGACTAAATGCTAAGGGAGGGATGAAATTGAAGAGCATACGAATAAAATAAGGAAGATGAATCTAAAGGCATTAATAGTGGGGGAAAAAAGTGGATGCAGGCCTAGAAGAGGGAGTGTTTCCAGAAATATTTAGGATATAAAACTTTCAGGGTCTAGTATAGAATAAATCTTTAAGAAACCAACAAATGTACAAATCCTGGGACTCTGAAGGAGTAGATTCAGCTTGGTATTTTATAAAAGGTATCAACTGAGAAGAGAAACAATCAACAAGAACTCAATGAACTTGCTTCTATTTATTTTGTAGTTTTCCTACTTCACACTGTCCACTGTTGAAGGGACTCATGTAGCCGTTTTACTTGAATCTGTGTTTTCTGGACTTACCAAGCTCATGGAGAAACAAGAGCAAATGACTCAGTTACATAGATTAAAAAAAAAAAGACAAACACTTTGAGTTGAGAGCTTGCAGTCACTATTCTAGGAGATAACTGAGAATCTTTTGTAAATGCAAAGGTGAGGGTAGAAACGAAAAAACTACAGGAGTGTAAAAAGAAACAGTGTATGATTTCTTACTATTGTCCTGACCATATGACTGATTAAAGGCGCTAAATTAATTAGTATTTATGGACAACACATTATTAGACGGGATTACTCAATAGACTGGGCATCCTAGTAGAATCAGAATTGACTTTCTGTATACTGCTTTGAAATGATACAGCACTCCTTCAAACCAACATCCCTTGTGAACTCTTAATTCACTACAAATAATAAAACAAGTTGATATACTATGTGCACACAGCTGAGAAGGAGGTACTATTTAGCAAATTTCCCATGATTCCCATTACTACTGGGCAAGCCAATTCTAAAATATATGAAGTCATAGAAAACACAAGAACTATTTTAGTATTTGGTTTCAAAGCTGCTTTTGCAGTTGTACTGAATATAATGATAACTAATACTTAGGAATTTAGAGCTACATAAAAATATTGCTACGAAGTCACATTTTGAGAGGGCAATCTAGATGTCTACCTAGGTCTCCCAACTAGTCCCAGAGTTCTAAATATAGTCCTGCAATCTGCCTCCTTAGTGCAGTAGGCAGCACGTCAGTCTCATAAATATAGTCCTGCTACCCACTCTCAGGTGTATACTAAATACTAGCCAAAATGAATTTACTTTCTCCTAACGCTCTCTGTTATTTATTGTATTACTATGGTCAGAGGGAGAATGCAAACATCTTGCTAAGAGGTATTTATTGGCTATAGATTGCATAAAAGGAGTCAGCACAAGGTAGGTTTTGCCACAAAATCTAATTTGGAACCGTCAGAATGATGCTAAGGCCGTGCCCAGGTGGCCGACAGCTGAGTGCTCTGGGCTTCTGCACTACCTTGTTCGCCTTCTCTGTTTTCTGCCTCTTGAGACTGGCACAGGTCATGGAGCATGGAATTCCCTACCAGAAACACTGCCACAATATTCGTCTTTACTGTATCTGTTAAGGGCATCTGTCCAAATTCGGTGGATGTTGACTGATTTTTGGTCATTGATTGTGACATCAGTGGACACTGATCATCAACTTTCAAATGCCCAGCTCTTTGAGAAGTCTCATCACTGAGGCTCAAAGCAGTAGAAGACCAATCTGAAAAATGTGAAAACAAAGTCTCCATTGATTAGAATATGAGTAAGAATACAACTCTGACTAACTTGTACAAAGTCTTTCTTCAGAGAATCAGTTCCATCTCCTCCTCTCCCCTCAGACTCACTACTCCTTCACACCGTATTGTTCTTATACGTCACTGTCATGAAGAGACTTTAACTAGTGTATCTCATTTCTTCTATTTTTTAATTTTCTAGTATTACTTACATTGATTTACTCCATTTCTATTACATAGTCTGTATTCCATAAGAACTTTACTGATAATTATTTGTTTGCAACATACAAATATTTTATTAACAAAATATACATCCAAATTATTTTACATTTAATTATGCCTTACAATACAGTGCGCTCTAGAGACCATGGTTTTAAAAGCACTTTTAATGAATGGTACTACTTTGATTAATGCTACAATCCAAGACAACATTAAAAAGCAAAGACATCAGTTTGTCGACAAAAGTCCATACAGCCAAAGCCATGGTTTTTTCAGTATCATGTACAGATGTGAGAGTTGGACCATCAAGAAGGCTGAGCATGAAAGAATTGATCCTTTCAAATTGTGGTGCTGGAGAAGACTCTTGAGAGTTCCTTGGACAGGAAAGAGATCAAACCAGTCATTCCGAAGGGAAATCAACCCTGAACGCTCACTGGATGGACTGATGCTGAAACTGAAGCTCCAATACCTTGGGCACCTGATGTGAAGAGCCAATTCACCGGAAAAGACCCTGATGCTGGGAAAGATTGATAGCAGGAGGAGAAGGGGGAAGCAGAGGATGAGATGGTTGGATAGCATTGCTGATTCAATGGACATGAACTCGGGCAAACTCCAGGAGATGGTGAGGCACAGGGAGGCCTAGCATGCTGCAGTCAATGGGGTCACAAAGAGTTGGACATGATTAGCAACTGAACACCACCACCAACTACTTTATTACAATGAGATGGTCTTTCTCAAATTATCGGTATCCTCAGAACTGAATTTTTAAGGCATGGATAAACATCATAAAGTTATATAGGAAATGATAGCTTTGTGGGTCACTAATTGTTTCCACGTGAAAATAGGATAAGTCCAGGACCACACTGGATCCAAAGAGCACAGAGCGCCATGAGCCAAGAATGAGTACAATACAAGAATATTTGCTTTAAAAAAAAAGGAGTTATCAGGTCTAAATTTCTTAAGAGAAGTCAAAGAAACAAGCAAGAAATTTAAAACTAAAACTTTAAATCCTGTGTCAACACAAGGGCCCCTTTATCATTTCACATTTAACCACATCAATGGTTTCAATGGTGATTCTCAAGTGTGCCCCCAGAATCCCTACGTCCAGAGACCCATTGGGTCAGGGGGTCGAGGAGGTCAGAACTATTTTCACAAGAACACTAAACGTCACTTTCATTCTCATTCTGTTCTGAGTGCACAGTGGGGTTCTTCAGACACAGCATATGTGATATCAAAACTCTGACTAATGGAATTAGCCATTATGATGATGTGTGTTGTATTTTATGTTTTTTCGTTTTATTTTCCAGGAGTCTCTGCTGGAGGCGTGGGTCGGCAGTGTCCTGCTGCAGTATTCACGGGGACACTGAGTGCAGCAGTGCAACCATCATCTTCATTACCTCCACCATAGGTTGGCCTCAGGTCAAACAACAGGGAGGGAACACAGCCCCGCCCACGAGCAGAAAACTGGATTCAAGATTTACTGAGCATGGCGCCACCCATCAGAACAAGACCCAGTTCCCCCTCAGTCAGTTCTCCCATCTGGAAGCATCCATAAGCCTCTTATCCATACCTATCTGAGGGCACATAGAATGAAAACCACAATCACAGAAAACTAACAAAACTGATCACATGGACCACAGCCTTGCCTAACTCAGTGAAACTATGAGCCAACCCATGTATGGTCACCCAAGACGGATGGGTCATGGTGGAGCGTTCTGACAAAATGTGCTCCGCTGGAGAAGAGAATGGCAAACCACTTCAGTATTCTTGCCTTGAGAGCCCCATGAACAGTATGAAACGACACAAAGACAGGACACTGAGAGATGAACCCCCAGGTCGGTAGGTGCCCAATATGCTATTAGAGATCAGTGGAGAAATAACTCCAGAAAGAATGAAGAGACGGAGCCAAAGCAAAACCAAGTTGTGGATGTGACTGATGATGGAAGTAAAAGCCTGATGCTGTAAAGAGCAATATTCCATAGGAACCTGGAAAGTTAGGTCCATGAATCAAGGGAAATGGGAAATGGTCAAATAGGAGATGGCAAAAGAGAACATCAACATTTTAGGAATCAGTGAACTAAAATGGACTAGAATGGGTGAATTTAACTCAGATGACCATTATATCTACTACAGTGGACAAGAATCCCTTAGAAGAAATGGGGTAGCCATCACAGTCAACAGAAGAGTCTGAAATGCAGTACTTGCATGCAATCTTAAAAACAACAGAATGATCTCTGTTTCCAAGGCAAACCATTCAATATCACAGTAATCCAAGGCTATCCCCCGACCACTACCACTGAAGAAGCTGAAGTTGAACAGTTCTATGAAGACCTGTAAAACCTCCTAGAATGAACACCCCAAAAAAGGTGTCCTTTTCATTGTAGGGGACAGGAATGCAAAAGTAGGAAATCAAGAGATACCTGGAGTAACAGGCAAATTTGACCTTGGAGTACAAAATGAAGCAGGGCAAAGACTAACAGAGCTTTGCCAAGAGAAACCCCTAGTCATAGCAAAGACCCTCTTCCAACAGCACAAAAGAAGACTCTACACATGGACATCACCAGGTGGTCAATAACTAAATTAGATTGATTCTATTCCTGCAGCCAAAGATGGAGAAGCTCTATACAGTCAGCAAAAAGAAGGGAGCTGACTGTGGTCCAGATCATGAATTCCTTATTGCCAAATTCAGACTTAAATTGAAGAAAGCAAGGAAAACCACTAGACCATTCAGGTATGACCTAAATCAAAACCCTTAGGATTATACAATAGAAGTGACAAATAGATTCAAGGGATTAGATCTGATAGAGTGCCTGAAGAACTCTAGATGGAGGTTCGTGACATTACAGGAGGCAGTAATCAAGACCATCACCAAGAAGAAGAAATGCAAAAAGGCAAAATGGTTGCCTGAGGACTCCTTACAAATAGCTGAGAACAGAAGAGAAGCTAAAAGCAAAGGAGAAAAGGAAAGATATACCCATTTGAATGCAGAATTCCAAAGAATAGCAAGAGAGAAAAAAGTCTTCCTCAGTGATCAATGCAAAGAAATAGAGGAAAACAACAAAGACTAGAAAGCTCGTCAAGAAAATTAGATATACCAAGGAACCATTCCATGCAAAGATGAGCACAATAAAGGATAGAAATGGTATGGACCTAACAGAAGCAGATGATATTAAGAGGTGGCAAGAATATCAGAAGAACTATACAAAAAAGATCTTCATGACCCAGATAAGCACGATGGTGTGTCACTCACCTAGAGCCAGATATAAAAGAATGCAAAGTCAAGTGGGAAGCATCACTTAGGAAGCATCACTACGAACAAAGCTAGTGGAGGTGATGGAATTCCTGTTGAGCTATTTTAAATCCTAAAAGATGATGCTGTGAAAATTTGGAAAACTCAGCAGTGTCCACAGGACTGGAAAAGGTCAGTTTTCATTCCAATCCCAAAGAAAGGCAATGCCAAAGAATGATCAAACTACCATACAATTGCACTCATCTCACATGCTAGCAAAGTAATGCTCAAAATTCTGCAGGTCAGGCGTCAACAAGTACATGAACTTGCAGATCTTCCAGCTGGATTTAGAAAAGGCAGAGGAAGCAGAGATCAAATTGCCAACATCCGTTGGATCATCAAAAAAGCAGGGGAGTTCCAGAAACACATCTTCTTCTGCTTTATTGACTATGCCAAAGCTTTTGACTGTGTGGATCACAACAAACTTGAAAATTCTTAAACAGATGGGAACAGCAGACTGCCTGACCTGCCTCCTGAGAAATATGTATGCAGTACAAGAAGTAACAGTTAGAACGGGACAACATGGAACAACAGACGGATTCCAAATAGGGAAAGGAGTACGTCAAGGCTGTATATTGTCACGCTGCTTATTTAACTGGTATACAGAGTACATCATGTGAAAATGCTGGGCTGGAAGAAGCACAAACTGGAATCAAGACTGCCGGGAGAAATATCAACTGCCTCAGATATGCAGATGACAGCACCCTTATGGCAGAAAGCGAAGAAGAACTAAAGAGCTTCTTGATGAAAGTGAAAGAGGAGAGTAAAAAAGTTGGCTTAAAACTCATAGTGAACATAGATAGACAAAAACAAAAGTTCCTTGGAATTCTCAATTAGAAGTATAAAAGCATGCTAAAGCCAAAACCTTTCAGAATCACTGTTTTAAAATATTATGCCATCAAATAGTCATTAAAGTATGATTACATCCCCTCATTCCAATAATCAAAGACACCATAAACTCACATACACACACAAACACACACAGTCTGCTAACCAAAACATCTGATAGGCCTACATTCATCTGTGTAACAACACTAAAATGAAATAATTGTAAGCTGAAATATAACTGACATATTAGCAAGTAAAACTTTACTCGAGGCAAAGGTCAGAGGATCAAGTAAGCATTTTTGGACACTGGAAAAATCTTAGAGTCTAATAATTAATCTCTGAGAATTCCTGAGAAGTATAGAGGTTCCAAACTGAGACCTTCAGGGTATCGAAACATATACAGAAACATACTGAGTTCAAGCTTACATTTAAAAAATTACTTGTTCTTGTGCTTGTACCTATCTTTTTTGTATCAAAACACCGATACCAACAATAACATTTGGATTATGTTTGTCAAATTCTTCAATTAAATTTGCAAAAAAAACGTTAGCAGTATGAAGACTGAGCATTTCAAATATTTCAGTGTTCCTCTTTCCAGAGTTAAGTGTGTACTGCAAAATTTACCCGAACTGGATGTTTGGAAATCCTTCATTCGGACTTTTTTCTTAGGAACAGAATCTTCCACTGAGGCTGCAGGCTGAATGGGTTTGGAAACAAGTTGATTAATAAATAATGTACATGTGATACAATCCACAGTTTATAATTCAAGATAAAAACATAAACGATTTTACCTTCACATTAATGTATTTCTCAGGAGAATCTAAAAGGCAAAAGGGACACAGAGTTAATTATATATAAATATGAAAGCCAGCTGCACATCCATGCAGAGTTAGGACTCAGCAGAATCCTCTCACTCAGCCTTGGCAGTGAATATATTCGGTTTTAGTGTCTTGATTTCAGGGGTATGTTAGTACACCAGCAAAACAGACATATGAATCCACAATGGATAGTGAAGAAAAAACAGAAATACACGCTAAACAAAACAGTTAAGATTTCAAAAGTAACACTATGTTTTCAATGACTTTATAAAATATTAAAGTGCACACAGACCAATGTGAACATGATGACTGATGAGAAGAAAATAGATCTTAATCAGAGGAGCAAATCATGACCCCAAGAAGATAAACATGAAAGCTGATGGTAAAATACACCAGTATATCTTGAATGCGACACAGCAGTTATCATTTACACCATCATACTACAAGTATTCATCATGTTCTTCGATCTGTCCAGTCATTTAAGAAGTACACACTGGGATGCCAGTTCACCAGAATGTATCATTCATTTCTCATCAGAGAAAAGAGTAATGAACTGATTAGCTTGCATATACACTTGTAGAGAAATGGCTCATAAAAATATTCATTATTTTTCCATATCTATGTAGGCTGCTGGTATGTCTACATGTCTTGGCTCCTCTAGTTTAGCCATCTTAAAGTTTCTCGATCCAATCATGCAAGAAGGTAAATAAAACACATCTAGGAAATAATGTATAATAAATTCTCAATATTGAGATACAATTATCAAAAAGGAAATAATAAATTTAATTGCCACAGACTTATTAGATATTGAAAATCTTGAATGTTTCAAAATCAGTGTAGTATTTATTGAAAATATTTCTAGCATTTAGGGAATGAACCCTATTAACCTGTTTTGTTTCACAACTTACTTTGGTTTGGTACATCATGCTAATGTTTCAAAGGATTTCTGTGAAACAACTTTCAAAAAATAAGCTATCTTAAAAAAAAAAAGTCAGTGCCTCCATATTCAAATCAATCTAATTTTAATAACACAGTAATCTAATTGACACAAATTAATATCATTTTAATAACAAATACCAACACAACACAAATACCAATACAACAACAAATACCAATACAACTCTCTGATGCCTGAGAGTTACTTGGAATGGCTGGGGTTTCCCCCACTTGTAGCACCCCCTCCCGCCTCCAGTATTCTCTGGAGCAACAATTATCTTATCTCTTTTCAGTGCAAATACACTGGAGCCATTTAGAAGGAATTCTCTCAAGTTTCCTCATCAACTCCAAACTCACCTCCCTAAGGCCTTACTTTCCTCCCTTTGTCCTTTCACTAGATTCTCTCCTATCCAAAGGGTAGTAATCTCTGGATCTGTGGTCTTAATTCTTCCCCCTTGACATTCTTTCTATGGATCATTCCCACCACTTTTTCCCTCTTTGCTTAGCAATAGTATCTTACACCTGGAATTGCTACTTTGACTCTTTGCGTCCCTCTGGCTATAGACTCAGATTAATGCTTTTCCTTGATCCTGTTATGTCCTGCACTATCCAATGTTCTTCCAGATATCTCTAAATGCAAGGCTACACCCTTGCTACTTGGAGAGTTTGTCAGAAACACAGATTCTCAGACCTCCTGCTCAGCATGTGCACTTCACACAAGGTCCAGAGGAGACTAAAATTTAAGAAACTCTGGTCTATACGGAAGTCTGCATCTACATTGAGAGTGAAAGTGAAAGTCACTCAGTCATGTCCAACTCTTTGCAACCCCATGAACTATTCTCTAGGCTAGAATACTGGAGTGGGTAGCCTTTCCCTTCTCCAGGGGATCTTCCCAACCCAGGGATCGAACCCATGTCTCCTGCATTGCAGGCGGATTCTTTACCAGCTGAGCCACAAGGGAAGCCAGAGAATACTGAGTGGGCAGCCTATCCCTTCTCCAGAGGACCTTCCCGACCTAGAAATCAAACCGCGGTCTCCTGCATTGCAGGCAGATTCTTTACCAACTGAGCTATCAGAGACGTCAACTTAATATATTCTCCTGAAATCTTAGCCTCAACTTCCTCACTCTAACACTTCCCCCCAAAGTGAAACTGCATTACAAGTTAGAAACTTGCCTGTGGACTCTGTATCAGGCTGTAGGTTCCTTGATCTCCCTATCACACCGCCTCCTCGCTCCTTCTTTCTAGTTCTCTTATGTTGGCCCATGTGACACTATCCTATAAAGCAGCAACATTTCATATGACACCAATGTGCAAGCATTTACAGCGGAGCACGTATGCGCGTCCTCCTCCACAAAGGATAGCACACAGCTGTGCATGCCTAGGAACCTCAGTTCTGAAAGCCTTCCTAACAAAAAGTAAAACAGTATGAGGGGGAAACTCTGCTGTTCCTCTCTGACAAGTTTTCGTGCTGGAAGCTCACTGCAGATTCATCGTCCATGTCAAATACTCTTTCTTTATCTAAAGACCTTGATTACTTATTGCCACCTTGCCCCGCCACAGACTTGTGCTTCTTTTCCTTCATTTCCTCCCTGAACTCTCTACCTCTCTCATCCTTCATTCCCTCTTTCCTCTTGTTTCTCCACCTTCCTTAGGTTGTACAGTATCTTGTAACAGAACTAATAATTTTTTTTTTGGTCATGTGTCACATGGAATCTTAGTTCCCTTACCAGGGATCGAACCTGCACCCCCTGCCCTGGAGAGTCTTCACTGGACAGAGTCTTAAACATTGGACTGTGAAGGAAGTCGAGGAACTAATAATTGAGCTCCTTAAACTGGATTCTCAATGTAATCTGTGGCTGACGCCTGATAAGATACAGTTTCCCTCCTTGTCTTTTTGCTCACTATGTCTCTGACAGGTGATGTTCTTTGGTGATTAGAATATATCAGCAGGCCATTTCAATTCAACATTCTGTCAAATGACTTTCCTATAAAATACAGTTCTTACCTTCTACTTGTCCATTTAATGTCTTTTTTCCTCTTCGACCAGCAGCTCCAGATAAACAATCCACATACTTCTGTGGCAGGCTCTCAGAGATACTCTGCAAAAATCAATGTCAATAATGAGTTGCATGAAGATTTCCTAATCCCTTTGGAAGAAAATACCCTACTTCGAAAAACTGCCTACTTTTAACCTGGTTAAGACAGGTTTTGCCAAGATCCCACAGCTGCTAAGTGACAGAACTGGTTATCAGAATTCTGAGGAGAATATATGGCTTGAAAAGAAATATTTAATGGAACACAAGATGGTGCTAAAGAGAAGGTCAACAACTTTTCATCTAAAATTCTCAGCTCACAATTAGAGGACACTGAAAAATATAGTGTAATCTTTTTCTTATCACATATTTCTTATTTCTTTCCATGCTATGCAGGACCTCATTCCTCAACATAACTCAACTGAACTTCTACATCCTAAATATTCAAAAAGGAATATAAAAATAAGTCATATTTTCAGAATTCAGATTTCACAGATATATTATCTTTATTATATTACCTGTAACATTATATACAAATCCATTTGTCTCTTCACTTATTCACATTAAAAAACTATTAAAAAGGCTCTTACATTCACAACCTATGCTATACACTCCAGGAGATGCACAATTGTTTCCTGAACTTTACTCATTTATACTGATACAGGGTCTATAAGATGAACATTTAAGTAAGAATAATACAAAATCTCTGAATTCTGAAGTTTCAGAATGTGACACAAGGCTCTGAGGAGATTTTTTAAAAACTACAATAGAAAAAATATCTGAGGTTGTAAGTTTTATTTTACTGTTATTAAAAGTCTCTGCTTCTACAGCTGGTTATTATTTTAAGCAAAACACGTATTCTTCAATGAGATGAAGAGTTGGGGATATCCTCTGAATGGAATGCTTTAGAAAACACAGTGGAATCCCTTTATAACATGGATTTTGAGAAACAGAATTTTAATTTCTAAATTTCCATCATATCAACAATTATTTTAGTCTTAAGGCACATCCAAAACAAAACAGAGAGAACAGAAAAACAAACCACCCTCCTAACAAGTCTAACAAACCAAAATAAAGTGTCCAGGAGGGGAAAAAAAAAAACTAGATGATATAGGCTATATAGTTTTGGAACTGAAAGGCTCCAGGAAGATTCCAGGATCACTACAATAAGGAATTATGTCCACTAAAGATATCATTATGAGTATTACATAAGTCCTATCCTTATGTTTTAAAATTCACAGTAAGGCTCTTTATCCTTGACCAAATTTCATATCTCCTTCACTGTGGGAAAGCTTTTCCTAATATAATTTTTCTGTCACTATGCATTTTCCAGCCCATTTTTTTCTTCACCCCACCTTCCGTAATTACCGACGTAAAAAAAAAAAAAAATCAACTAGTCACATGTTTATAAAATAGTTTGGTCTGACCAATTTTACACTGCGAACTTACAACACTGAGAGGGACATCACGGCTGATTTTAACAGGAAATGCTACAGGAAGCTAAACTCAGAGCTCGGAGACTAATTTCACAACAGAACTCTTACCTTGGTGTCCAAGTCTAAGACATCATCATCTGATGTAACCCGTAAATCAGCACGAGGTTCACGGCAAAACCTTTAGAGAAAAAATGAGTGAAAACAGGTTTTTTTTTTTTTTAAAAAACATATTTTGAAGTGGACCATTTTTAACGTCTTTATTGAATTTGTTGCCATGTTGCTTCTGTTTTATATTTTGGCTTTTTGAACCCAAGGCATGTGGGATCTTAGCTCCTCCAAACAGGGATTGAAACCACATCACCTGCATTGGAAGGAGAAGTCTTAGTACCTTTACCTTAACCACTGCACTCCCAGGGGAGTCTCCAAAACAGTTTTTAGTTACACCTATTTCTGCTTCTATCTTTCCCTATCTATGAGATATCTAGTTAAGGATCATTCTTAGTTTCCATAACATACAGTGACAGCCAATACACTGGCAGAGCCTGAAAATAATTTATTTTCACCAAGTCCTAATAGGTGAACTTAAAATCCAATTGATGGACTGACATAACTTTGTTTGCCCAAACTGGAATAAATCCGATGACTTAAAGCAGAAGGATAAGCTGCTTCTTCTCCATTGTCCGTCCCTGGTTCACAGACTAATCTGTGTCCATCAGAAACGGCAGTCTTGGTCCCTCAAGAGGGGAATCACTTATGGAGAAGGCCCCACGTCTCCCCTTTCCTCTAAAGGGAGTACCGGAGTTCCCCACAAGGTCTAAACCTTAAAATGGACACAAGTCAAAGAACCACATTCTATCTTTAATTTATATGCTACATGGGTACTTCTCAACCTCTGCTGAGGGACACGAGAGTGGACATGGGAAACAGGCAGGCCAGCTGTTAAATCACAGGTCAACTCATTTTAACCCTGGAATCACAGGTCAATTCATCAACGTCCGGAAACACAGCTGCTAATTAAGTAAAAGTAGGACAGAGCTGCTCGACAGAGCTGCTGTGATGACTCTGTGAGGTCACAGATGCTAAGCACACAGTGCAGTGTCCAACCCAGAGGAGAACGCTCAACACACATTAGTTTCTCTTCCCCAGGTTCCCTTATTAAGCACACAATTTTAAAACATCCATAAAATCCTACCTGCTTAAAGAGTCTTCTTCAGGTCTCTCATTCTCTATTAAGGAAAAAAGTAACATATTTTAAATCAAAAAAAGAAAAGTACAGACTATTAAAACCTCAAGACTGATGCTCTGTTTGAAAAGTATTCCTTCCGGACCATACCTGGAGACCACACTAGAGGGAATAGTGATTGGACTATACTCACAGGACATTAATGCCTAAGAACCACTCCTCTCCGTTATAGTCATCAATGCAAAACAAAAAAAAGAACAAAGAACTGATGTTTACAATGACCGTAATCCTAACCAAACTCTAGAAGACTGACAGAAAGCGATATTACACCACTAATAGAATCAGTGCTATGAACTGCCCATAGCCCACTTAAACAGCACAGTGTCTGGACGCCCACGCCTGGAGCAGTGAATGGAGAACACAGGCGTCTCGCTGGGACGTGACCCAACGGCCCAGGCTCCTCAGTTCAGGATGAAAACGCCCTGTCACACGGAAGCTGGGTCCACAGGCACTGAACTTCAGAGCTGGTGAAACATAGGAAGCAAAGTCTTCCTGGCCCTATTTCCAGATGCAAGAGAAGGATGAAAGATGTAGTGATTCCAGATTTAGAAAGGATAATCTCTTGAAAGGGAGGTGGGGGAGGGCAAATGGGTAAACAGGGGTCAAATGGGTGATGAGGATGGGGACTAGACTTGTAGTGGTGAGCATGCAGTAGGGTACACATAAGTTGAACTTTTCTTTAAAGTTTTAAATATATATATATATATATATACACAATATATTTTAAAAGTATAATCTCTTGAGACTGTGTCCTTCCTTTGCTCAAGAGTATCTGGACCACATAGAGCAGGATGATCCCAACAGTGCTGTGTACTAGTGAGGGATATCATTATATCAATCCTCGCCATTATAAGGCAAATGTTGACAGAAATCATGCTTTTTCAGGCTGGAAGGCATACATCATCAGATCCGAAGCTGATGAACAAGGGGAGGGAGGGAAGGAGGGAGGGGTGATGGACTCTGGGGCTGCTGGACAACATGTCACGTGTGTCGTCATGATCTGATGCTGGAGGGATGACCCACATGCAGTGACTCCACGGGGAGAGGAGTCCTGCAAGCTCGAGCCTGGAGGGCAGGGGCAGTGATTTTTAAGCGTTTGCACTCTGTGACATCAGAACAATGCTTCATACATAAAAGATACTTGACAGTTATCTGTTCAATGAACAAATAAATAAGCATGTTTTCTTTGAAAATTTTGTTTAGAAAAATACAGAAAGTAACCAGCGACAACTCTATTCTATTCTGAGCATATTGAAAACCAAGACTTATGTCATCTCTGTACCTCCTCTGACATAATAAACCAACCTACAGTTCTTTGATGGATGTTTCTATGTTCAGACACCAAGTCATGCCCGACCCTTGTGACCCCCATGGACTACAGCTCACCAAGCTCTTGTGTCCACGGGATTTCCCAGGCAAGAATACTGGAGTGGGTTGCCATTTCCTTTTCCAGGGGATATTCCCGACCCAGGGGTCGAACCCATAATGCCTGCTCTGGCAGGCGGATTCTTTACTACTGAGCCACCCTTTGATGAGATAGAGGTTTACTAGTTAAAGGTGTCCTCAGACAGCCTGTACAATGTGCTTAATGCCACAGTGAGGGACCTAACGCTGTTTTTGTTAATGTGATGCATTTTGAGTGCTGTTATTAGAAACTCCAGAGTCCCAAGTTCATCTATTTGAATATGTATTATGAGAATCTTTTAACTGATGGCAAGAGAACATCTTGTTCTTACAAAACTATACTGTCATGACAATTATCCAACACAAAAGTAAACATCCGGTCCTAATAAAGTCAACCTATCTCACTCTTTTTGGATCTGTAAGGAATGAAGCTAGTAATAGAGACCTGCTTAGTACAACAATAGGCAAAATAACTGGTTCTCAACCAGGCATTGCTTTTCTGCCTTCTGTACTATTGGTAAGTATCTTTCAGAAATGATCTCTCACTGGTATGCTGCACACTGCTCAGCTTTGCAGTTCTTATTGTTTATCATTTCTTATCCTACCAGGAAGGCATTATTGAGGTTCCCAGTTTTAATGATGGTAACTGTTTTAGTGATACCCATCACTACACAGTAACTAATAACTATTCATTCACTAAATGTAAACCATTTGTAAAAGTTCATGTTCACTTTCATAAGAAGTCCAGTTTGCTATAATATGATTATAGATGAAATATACATCATACTAAAAATTATTTTCTTATTTGCACAAAGATCTAATGTAGGACCATATTAAATACATGGATTTCTTTTCAGACAATACTGTCTCTGATTTTAAATTACCTACAATTCACTCCTTAAACAATTCTGAATACTAGACTGTTAAGAAATTAGTTTAAAAAATAAAATACACATGTAACTTACACTAACTTTTTCATACTTCTTTCATTATTGAAACTTCCTCACTCCTACTTTATCTATGGTAGATTCACCAAGAGTAATTATTTATCAGATGACGTACCTGGGTTGCCACTTTCAGGAGGAGTTTTAGGTCTCTCTTCTTTATATTCAGAAATCAGGTGGCGAATACTATGTATTAAAAATGTGATAAATACAATTTAAACACTAATATGAAAAACAACTACCAAATTCTTAGATCATTTCAGATAAGGTCAGAGATAATCTCAAAACTTCATTTGTCCCATATATTTCAGGTTTCTAAGTTCTACAAACTTTTATTTAGCATGTATTTATTTTTTCATTTATTTCTATTAGTTGGAGGCTAATTACTTTACAATATTGTAGTGGTTTTTGTCATACATTGACAGGAATCAGCCATGGATTTACATGTATTCCGCATCCCGATCCCCCCTCCCACCTCCCTCTCCACCCAGTTCCTCTGGGTCTTCCCAGTGCACCAGGCCCAAGCACTTGTCTCATGCATCCAGCCTGGCCTGGTGATCTGTTTCACCCTAGATAATATACATGTTTCGATGCTGTTCTCTCGAAACATCCCATCCTCGCCTTCTCCCACAGAGTCCAAAAGTCTGTTCTGTACATCTCTGTCTCTTTTTCTGTTTTCCATAGGGTTATTGTTACCATCTTTCTAAATTCCATATATATGTGTTAGTATACTGTATCGGTCTTTATCATTCTGGCTTACTTCACTCTGTATAATGGGCTCCAGTTTCATCCATCTCATTAGAACTGATTCAAATGAATTTCTTTTTAACGGCTGAGTAATATTCCATGGTGTACATGTACCACAGCTTCCTTATCCATTCGTCTGCTGATGGGCATCTAGGTTGCTTCCTTGTCCTGGCTATTATAAACAGTGCTGCGATGAACACTGGGGTGCACGTGTCTCTTTCAGATCTGGTTTCATCAGTGTGTATGCCCAGAAGTGGGATTTCTGGGTCATATGGCAATTCTATTTCCAGTTTTTTAAGAAATCTCCGCACTGTTCTCCATAGTGGCTGTACTAGTTTCCATTCACACCAGCAGTGTAAGAGGGTTCCCTTTTCTCCACACCCTCTCCAGCATTTATTGCTTGTAGACTTTTGGATAGCAGCCATCCTGACTGGCGTGTAATGGTACCTCATTGTGGTTTTGATTTGCATTTCTCTGATAATGAGTGATGTTGAGCATCTTTTCATGTGTTTGTTAGCCATCTGTATGTCTTCCTTGGAGAAATGTCTGTTTAGTTCTTTGGCCCATTTTTTGATTGGGTTATTTATTTTTCTGGAACTGAGCTGCAGGAGTTGCNACTCAAACTCTTCCAGAAAATTGCAGAAGAAGGTAAACTTCCAAACTCATTCTATGAGGCCACCATCACCCTAATTCCAAAACCAGACAAAGATGCCACAAAAAAGAACACTACAGGCCAATATCACTGATGAACATAAATGCAAAAATCCTTAACAAAATTCTAGCAAACAGAATCCAACAACATATTTAGCATGTATTTAAAGGAGAAAGAAAAGGAAGATGAAGTGGTCATGAACTGAGGGCAGTATAGCTCTGTTAATTAACGAGCCTGGCATATGAAAACTCCTTCAAACTTGGAAATCCCAGCTCTGTAACCAACTGCTCTTTGTTCCTGGTTGAGCTGCTTCTCTTCACTTCAAAGTCTTCCTCTACACAAATGGGGTCTTCCTGCCTTATATCACAAGGGGATTAAGAAGAGTTAATGAGCTAAGATGCCCCCCAAATGCTTGGAGAAACAGTCAAAGAATGGAATAATTTGTTCTTGAACTTTATTGCTGGAACTACTTAGGAATTCCAAGTAAAACCCCATGTGTGTTTTTTCATACATTTAACACTCAAGGGAGGGCTGCACGAAACTCTGATTGATTCTGGTGATTAGCTATTCCCTGTGGTTTGTAATTTAGGGAATCTCAGCTCTTACATAATGTGCACCTTAATTTATTTATAAAACATGAACTCACTACATTAGGTAACATAATTAGCCCCCATCATTGCAGCTAATCACACCAAGAGCAGAAAACTAATCAAAACCAAGACCTGGCCTGGACCACTACTCTTCCTTCTCTACCTACTCAAACTCTGAACCAGCAGATCTTTCTGACAATGATGCTTAGTCTCCATGATCATCTCCAATTCACTTGGAAGACATATCCCTACTCCTACAGTGGATACTGCCAAGTCCTAGACAGGGCTTACCTCTCTGAATTCCAACTATCTTACTTGCGATGTAGGGATGTCTGCTGAATGGGTTCCTTATGAGGCAGACTCTGAAAACATTTAAGGTGGAGGCAGATATAAACCCTTTGGAAGATTTTCATTATTACAGGAAACAATCCCACGAGGGGCCAACCGTAATTTTGGAATCTCAGGCAAGCCGGCACCCACTACCCTAGGAAGGATGACAGGGAATCTATGACCTAAGAAAAGGTGCCCCCACAGGACAGAAAGCTGCCTGGAGGTTCAGGTCTAGAAACCAAGGAGGAGAGGAAGTCTGCTCAATCCTTGCCGGAGCGTTTGAACCTCTCTGACAGCCTAAAATGGTCCGCACTGACATTGGCTACCAGAAAAGATAAATAAGAGCCTCCACGGCCCCTCATCGTGAAGGTCTAGGCTCACACGTGGCTCCACATGAGGCTTCTGAGTGAGGGGGGAGCCAGGAGCCCCAGCTGCCAGAACCGGGTGCTGGACTTCTGCACCAGTGACCTGAGCGACAAGCACACATATAAAAACAAAAAGCTGGGACTCTGAAGTTGACGTGTGCATCACCATGAAGACTGGGGAACCTGGACCCGCAGGGGCAGCCTGGGAGTAAAGGTCAATTGTCAGCCGACTGTAGGAGAGTTTCTTTTTCTTCTTTTAAAATGATTTTATTAAAGGTCTTTATAGAGCAACATCCAGACTCCAGATCCAGCTGCCAAGGAGACCCTGTCAAGACCAGCTGTAGTAGCAGTACTGCAGCAGTAGAATCGATACAAGCAACAGAATGATGAGAATGAACTGTTTTCTTCCCTTCAAATGACTTGGGGAGGAGGACTGTCTCCTGGATCTTAGGGAATCCGCGGGGTTCTTGGAAAATTCAAGCAGGAGCAGCATATAGACAGGCAAGTCCTCAAGGGAAAACACAGGATTTGCTGCTGAACTGAATATTTCAAGACCCAAATAACTAGTTAGAAATATCACGGGATCGGGTGGAGAGGGAGGTGGGAGGGGGGACTGGGATGGGGAATACATGTAAATCCATGGCTAATTCATTTCAATGTATAACAAAAACTACTGCAATGATGTAAAGTAATTAGCCTCCAACTAATAAAAATAAATGGAAAAAAAAAACATAAAAAAAAAATTAAAAAAAAAATAAAATTTAAGTATTAAAAAAAAAAAAAAAGAAAGAAATATCACAACTGTGACACTATTTGGACCCCATACAGATAGGTTACACTGGGAGTGAAATGGCTAATGTTAGGCTCTCTAAGGATCAAGGTCTACTTGTCCTGAGATAAAGAATCCCGAACCCATGGCCACATGTAACTAATCAGCCTTTTCTTCGCTTTCAGCTCATGAGGGGGAACAGCTCACCACTATTCCCAAACTGCCTGCACCAAACTGGAGCTCTCACTGGTCAGGTATTAGTAATAGTTAAAATTATTTTTGGCTGCAGTTTAGTGATAACTGGCATTTTAATGGGAACACTTACATATTAAAGCCACCAATAACAGCATATTCTTCTGCAGTCCATCCAAGAGCATCTTGAGGAAAGATGTCAGCACCTTGCTGAAGAAGAAGACTGACGATATTTGCTGATCCATAATTGACAGCAAGAATGAGGGCTGTTCTGTAAGAACAGAGAGATGACTTCAGCCTCAGGAAGTTTAGTTAACTTATTTAAACAACTAATTTGATACACTTTACCAAGTTAACATCTTGCCTTTCCATGAAGAACTGACCATTTACAGGCTTGTGTTCATCTTTGTAAATTACCTCCAAGGTTAAAATGAAGGGATGGAAAAGAAGCCTCCTGTCCCACTGGGATGGCACATAGCAGCAGTTACTATTTCAAGAGTCCCTGATGGGGACTTCCTTGGTGGACCAGTGGGTAGGACTTCACGTTCCCAATGCAGGGGGCCCAGGTTCCATCTCTGGTCAGGGAACTTGATCCCTCATGCTGCTACTAAGGGTCCTCACAACTAGGACTCCACGCAGACAAATAAATAAATAAATGTTATTTTAAAATAATAATAAAGTCCTTGATGGACAAGAAACAATGTTGAGGTCACTTATCTGAGGCAGGTGACTACTTAAGGGATGAATTCCCCATTTCCTCCTTAGTCTGATCTATTAGGTTTCAAAGTTAGTGAGACGTAGGGTTAAGGAAAGGCTACTTGCATGCTCAAAACAAAAATATTAATAATAATGGGAATAAAAAGAGTCTTGGTGGCAGTTAATGATGTTGACAAGCATGGGCTAGGCACTAAATGAAAAAACTATATATAAAATCTTTCTTACACATAGCCAACTTTGAAAGATGCATTATTATTCGCCTTTTGTCTCAGGAAACTTATTTGCTGATGTTAAGTCATGTGCCCAAGATCATAACCCTAACAGGTAGGAAAGCGAGGAATTGAACCCAGTCTGAATCTAAAGCCCATCATTTTCATCTGTACCATCCACCTCTGACTTGTCTTTGTTAAAGGAACTGTTTATCCAATTATAGCTGTCTTTCTTTCTTCTATCTGCATTAAAAATGAAAACATCAAAATATACTAGAAATAAAAAACAATAAAAACTGATGAGCCCAGAGTATCTGCTGACAGTGATTAATAACGACTTTTTCGTTGCTGTTGTTGAGTTGCTAAGTTGGATCTGACTCTTTTGCAAACTAATAACATCAGCATTCTTCAAAGAAAGTAATTTAACCCAAAGAGTTTTCCAAAAGTCCTTTCCAAATCAAGTCCTTTATATTTAGTATGCATCTTTAAAATATATATATATATATATATATATACATATACATATACAAAGTAGAGGTTAAAGGATTATTTTAAAAGAATTAAGGAATTTGATACTGTCATAAGGTAAACTACAAAGCAGAATCAATATTTTATAAAGCTAATAAAACCAATATGAAATCTCTCAGCTACTATAAGATGGACCAAAAAGCAAACCAAAAAAAATAGGTTGCATATGATATCAGTCAATATTATAAAAGAATATGAATCCTGCTATATATTCCTGCTATATATTGTTGTTCATAATTCCCCATCAGAAAATTTTATTTTCTACCTGAGTGGTGATGTGTTGACCACAAACAAATCCTCTTATTAAATTAATCTTGGTATTACCATCCTAGAACAGCACTAAGGTTTTGAAAAAGAAAAAGAACAACTGTACCTTTTCAGGTTGTCAACCGCATGTATATTTGCTCCTTTGTTTACAAGAAACTCTACTATTTGCTCTTTTCCTTCACTTATGCCAAGTAACAGAGGTGTGAGGTCACACTGTAAAACAGGGAAGACCATTTCTAATGTACACAGTCAACCTATTTCGAAACTGAAATTAAAATCGTGCAAGAGATTCTCTGAACTGAAACATATAATTCAGAAGGTAAATAAAAGGGAGCCCCCTCTTCATCCTCCTGTGCACCTTCTTTCCCTTTAATATGCTCCGCCTCTGGGCCTTCCCTGGTGGTCCAGTGGCTAAGACTCCAACTCCCAATGCAGGCGATCTGAGTTCCATTTAGCTACTAAACCAACTGCATATTTTAGGAACAATGCTGAGGCAGAAATATATATTATCTGTAGCATGCATAACCGATCCAAGGATGACCATGAGTAAACTCAAGGTTTACAGACAGTCCAGTGGGAATATTATTCTCTACATGAACACGTAGACAGAAAACTTTTTTTTCCAAAAAACCAAATGTGGGAACCATGTTTTATGGCTTTCTCAGAAATGTCTCCTGGAATTTAATCTTACTCATTCTCTCCTCCTTGCTTGCTCCCCACCCCACCCCCGCCCCCAACACTCCCACCCCTTAAGTTAGACGTTCTGGCTGACAGGTCAGCATTAGCCACATGCTATCTACACACAGAATGACCCCCCCCCTCCACCTTATCTTCAAAGACCTTTCTTGATGACTCTCATGTCATTACCTCCAGACCTCCAGGAGGAAGCTCCCACAATCCCAAAGTTCTGGTCTTTGTCTGGCTTTACTGCTCTTAGTTAAAGATCACAAGATAAGTGACCAACAAAAAACTTGCTCAGCATTTTCTCCGGCAGTTTCTCTTCTGCAAACTCTCCCTGCGCTCTCTCTCATCATCTTGTGTGTTTCCGAGAATTATTCAGTGCAAAACCGCCACAATCAAAAGTTCTAATTTGAAAAATTCAATCCCATTCTTAAGAGATCCTTTCAAAATATGAAATCGATGATTATTTACCTTGTCTTTGAAACCTTGAAATATTTATCAAAATCAACTATCGAACAAAAATTGGAAACTCAAATGCTTATGGAGGAAACGCTGGTGAACTGAGAAAGGGAAAAAGCCAGCTGAGGCAGGTAAACCCAAGAATACCCATATCGAAGGGCTGGCCTCCACATGCAGACCAGACAGGAGGATGGGCTCAAGGGGGACCAGATTTGGTTCTTGGAGAAGCCTCAACTGCAGACTTCTGCATGAGTCTCCTAAGCTTTAAATGTTGACTCAGTGGGTCAACTAAACGAAACATATCCAAGGGCCACGTTGAGTCTATGGCCCACTTGCAGCTTGACGTTTCCTGTTTCCAAACAGGTGGGTAGAAAGCAGATAGTGTATGTGAAAACTTTCCTTTCTTTACTATCATATGCTTCACAAAAAACATGGGTCCCAATATGTAATAGATATGGCTATTAAGACTCATAACTCAATTAAAAATAAATTCTTTTAAAAGACTCATAACTCACACATCAAGAATGTTTCCACTGCCTGTTGAAACTACAATCTGTCTCCAGAATTCTTCTAGATTGTTATTCAAATGGATAATGAGGTCCTAAGACTGCTGAAACTAAATTATTAAAACAATTCCCATCTGTACTGTTAAGAAATTCATGGGTTTTAAAGCTCTCATCTGCTTATGCCAGGGATCAGCAAATCTAACACACACACTGCAAGAGTCTGTCCTGCAGCTGACACCAAAAGAGGCGCATGAGTCGCTACTACTGCCCCCAGGAAAACCCTGTTGCTGACAAACATCTGTTGACCTAGTGACCTGGATGACAAGAGAAGGTGCAAAATCCTGACAGGGTCAGACTCTGCAGATGAAGTGACTTCGCATGAGCATGAGCAAATCTCCATTCAGTGGAGAGCCACTGAATGATGAGTGGTTGGAAGGAAAGGGAGTTATTGTTCAAGCCAATAGATATTTTCAATACAATCTTTTTAACTTCTCAAGCACAGAGGCAGAGAAAAAGTCAGGCTAATATTGTGGGAAAGGAGGGAGCTGACGGAAGTACCAAGCATTTATCAAACTCCAACTCTTTTAGAGATGACTTTTCTTTCAGATAGGTGCATTTAGAAATTATACTTATTCACTACATAGTTCTTCATCAAGGACTGTATCAGAATCTCAAGGAAATAATTCTAAATACACACGTCCAAGACTTCCTTGATTTATTCAGTCAAAATCTTCAGAGGACAGCCTAGGCTTATACATTTTTTAAAATAACTTTTCCCAAGTGATTGCAGTTCACCAGCACAATCTAGCGAGAATAAGTGCAGCAACCGCTCCAGTATCATCTCTTACCCACACGGCCAATTCCTTCTATTACTTGAGGATTTGGAAAAAAAGAAAAGTGTAAAAGGGAAGAGTCATCAAAACTGCAAATTCTCTCATTTTCCTCAGTAAACAGTGTTAGAACAGGGACTGGTAAACTCAAAAGGCAACCTGATCTCATTCTATGTAAACCCCTTACTTTCCATCAAGACATTCTAGATTGGAGAGCAGAGTCTAGACTCTTATCTACGTGGCTGTTTCTGGCAGAATAGGATAAGATGTCAGTTAATTATTTGTTCTTCTCTCTTCTTTCCCACTTACCGCCACCTGTCCACTGCCAGTCTGATTTCCTCAGTCTTCCTAAAACTGGTATCTAGGCCAATTTACAATTCACTCACTCTCTTTCTTAAAATAACAACTATTATCCCTGAAAACCGAAAAGCACCTTACAGAAATATATAAACTGAAGGGAATGAAAAGCAAAAACTAAAACCTAGGGACTCCATGGTGGTGCAGTGGCTGGGTCTCAGTGCTCCCAGTAAATGGGGCCTGCGTTCGACCCCTGGTCAGGAAACTAGATCCTGCATGCTGAAGCTACTAAGCCCAGCACAGCCAAATAAATAAATATTAAAATAAATAACTCCTCTTCTTGGCATTTCCCACTGCCACAATTCCAGCCTGACTTGCACTTTTCACTTGCTCGCGCCTTTCCTTTCCTTTTGCCCCTTAAGACTTGGGCAGTGAGAGAGAAACCATGTTTATATAAATCATTTTTCATAAAATGGGAATTTGTCAACAGCAGCAAGATTTCTATTATGTTCTAAAATGCTTTCATTATGTTTGAATTTTAAGACAAAGTCTACTTCAGAGGGAAATTTTGTTTCACGGCGTTATTTTAGACTAATTAGGGGAAAAATTTGAGTGGGGGATATATATGGAAAAAGTTTTACCTTTAACAAGTGCAGTGTTACCACAAATATATGCCATAAACACATGAGAACACTTGACTCTCTAATGCTTCTTTAGAAACATCACAATTTAAAGTGCAATCTTAGACAATTTGGTTCTTTCAAAATACTTTCACTCAGGGAAGGCTGCACACACAGCTTCCAAACACAGAAAACGGAGCCCTCCTGTGAGAGCGGAGGGCGCTCCTCGCCAGGCTGCAGCAGCCGGACGTCACCTACTTCCTGGAGAAAGAGCAGGAGGGGTAGCTTCGCCATCACCAGCTCCGCACGCACCCTGCAACCCCGCCGAGCAGCTCCCCAGTGCTGGGCGCAGGAGACCCCGAGGTGTACATGGCGAACCAAGTGCTCAACAGCACCAGGGAACGCCCTTGCTGGGAGTCAACATGACCTGACCCTCTTGGTCGGATCTCAGAACCCGGGGGCCTGGACGGCTCAGGGTCCCTGGCCTGCTGCCTCCCAGGCCCACGTGCACTCACCCGGCTCCCCCTCATGGGCACTGGGTCTCCTTCCTCCTCCCGCCCACCCCCAGGGGCACCCATTCCCTGAGCCCCTGGAAGCAGCCGCTCCTCACATCACTTCACTCCCCCCAGCCTTCATCACTTGTGCGCTCTGAGCCTACCACCCACTCCCGGGCACGTTCTGATGGGAAATCTTCCTTCTGGGGTAGACGGGTGGCTGGGAGACAGAGCTTTGCCCTCTCTGTGGACACAGACACACCTCCTACCCCTGCACTGGCTGTGTTTCCATGGTAACAGGGCTTGGTGGACACTATTCAGTTTACCTATTTACATGGTTAGAAATAAAACACTTCTAGCTTAAAGAAATGCTTCACAAATACTTTGTAAATAAAGTTAGTTGAGTTCTACCTTGTTCCTGGCTTCTATATCGGCGTCGTAGGAAAGCAGCTTTGCTGCGAGAGACACATTCTGGCAGAGGACGGCATAGTGGAGCGCGGTGTTCCCGCGGACGTCCCCGACGTTCGGGTCCGCTCCGCGCTCCAGCAGGAGAGTCGCGCACTCCTCCTCTTGGCATTCCACGGCCTGTCAGCGTGTGCCAAGAAACAGTGTAAATCCTAGGAAGTCAAAATACACAGTCCACAAGCCTCACCAGTTTGCTCTATCTAAACGAGACAGAGTCACGTTTAGCCTCAGTAGTTAAATCCACCCACCTCATGTGGACACGGGTCGCTGCCCCATACCTTCATCAGCGCGGTCCTGTGTTCACTGTCACAGAGGTTGAGCAGGCATTTTCTCTCCAGGAGGAGAGTTACCACCGCCGAATGGCCATTGGCACAGGCCAAGTGGAGGGCAGTCCTACGAAAGCAAGAGGAGTTTTCCGCAAACTGTAGTGTTACTGTTTCAAAATACACAATCGTTCCTGTGATTGAAAACAGTCAATAGCATGCTATTCCTATCCCTCTAAAACAAATATTTCGTTCCCTTCTGGAGAAAGAACATTATATATTAGCATTAGCGCTTCTTAACACAGTAATAAAAGAACAATCTACTTGAATAGAATGACCATGACCTTGAGATTCAGCTCAACATGGGTTTGAATTTGACTTTCACTCTGTCACTTATCAGCTGTCGCTCACTCTCTCTGTACCTCAATTTCCTCATCAACAAAATGGAGAGAGAGAAGTAGTTCTGTCACAGGACAATACCGCGACGCTTAAATGAGATCCATGCAAAGAGTTTAGAACTGTTCCTGGCACAGGGAACAGCTCAGTAATTGTTAGGTAATATAATCATACTTATTACTATTACTACTATTTTATAAGGACAAAACTCAATGAAGTCAAAGGGGATCACACCTCCTTTGCAGATACATTTTGAGGATTAGAGACAACGTTGTACTTCAGTGATTCTAATACGTTCATTTTCTCACATTTTAACATCTCTGACATTGGAATAAAATTTATAATTCACAACATCTGTACAACTATAATTGGTAGCATTTTTGTTTGTTCATTTCTCATTTTTCCTCTTGATCTAATTACCATAAGGTCTTTTTGTCTAAGGTTGCTTCTTTTCAATTCAAGTATAGATGATGCATATTATATATTATTATATATTACAGGTACACAACACAGTGAGTCACAATTTTTATAGTTCATACTCCATTTAAAGTTATTATACAATATTTGCTATATTCCCCATGTTGTACAATATATCCCAGTAGCTTGCAGGATTTTAGTTCCCCCACCAGGCATCAACCCTGGGCCCACAGCAGTGAGTCTTAACCACTGGACGACCAAGGAACTCCCTAGATTTCCTTGACTTCTGAAAAGGCTGAAAGTTGTCAGAAGATATCAATCCTCAAAAAAAATTCTTAAAAAATTGAAAGTGAGAAGTCATTTTTATCTGTGCCACAATCCTATTGGTGCCAAAAAGAAAAGCCCTGTCTGCTAATCCGACTTGCCTATAGACAGCTTGATCTACAGAGAGTTTTAAATTTTTTGTGTTCTTAAAATTTTAAATCAACATCTAGATTTCTTTTCTTTTTTTAGTGTGTGCCAAAATCCAGGAAACTCCAGAATTCTTACTTTTGAAATCACTCTCACAAGGTCGTTGGGGTGGGCGGGAGGCTCACAGGAAGGGGATATGTATATACCTACACCTGATTCATGACGTCATACAGCAGTAACAACACAACATGGCAAAGCAATTATTCTCCAATTAAAAATAATTAAGGTTAAGAAACAGTAGAGACAGAAAAAACAGAAGGTCTCTGTCAGCAGATAAAAATATGTATAAATAGGAATTTGAGTTTTATTCTGGTACTTTTCTCACTGTGCATATTTGAAATGTTTGATCCATACTCACTCTGAAACTTTATCATGACATAAGAACTGAGCTACTTTTCTCTTTTACCAGGTTATTTCTCCACCATCTACACACAATTTATCATTTCTAACAGAAAAGGTCATCATTATCAAGTTCTAAAGTTTTACAGACATTTGGGTGTTTGGGCATTCTGTTCCATTCATTTCTGTATCTTTTCACTTGTTAGTAAATGAACACTTTGTGGGCACTTACAGAACATTTTGATATCTAGAAAAGCACATCTTCCTCTACTATACCAAAGTTTTAATTTCACCACAACAATTAAAGACAGCATATGTAACCCAAAATCTTTAAAATCATGAAATGTTGATTGGGTTTAAATATAGAAAGACCATACATCCTAAGAAAATGTCTTCCTATTCAAGGGCACAGCCAGCTTCCTACTTCAAATCTGTCTTCTAAGGTCCTTCAGCGAAGAACGCATATACCTAAGTGTACACTGATATAAAATGGATATTGAATTGTATCTGAAGAATTTTTAATCCAGAAGTTGATTTGGCATGGGAATTATTTTGCTACTATGCAGTGTTCTATACTATATAACCTTATGGTATAAAAGTGTATACATTAACAATAAGATATTGACAACATCAGAAATCTGTCCACTGCCATGATCCACAAGAGGCGATCCATGAAGTGCTTTCATAAATCACATGAGAAAAAATGTGAGAGCCAGGAGGTTCAGAAGATTTCTTGAAGGCTATATAACTTTAGAGCTCTTATTTATGAGTACATCATGCTAACCCATGCAAATAAAAAGTAGGAGGAAGAAAGGAAAAACAGATGCTATTCATGTTTCATTTCACTTCTGTGATTACCGACATTCAGTTAAAGGACTTCAAAACTATCAGTAAAGTGCTCTATAAGGGGAATTATAAGTGGGTCCAAAACCAGCTAAGGATTTTGACTGCCTATAAAGTCTGCGGGGTGCTGGATCCCAGGAAGGTATCCAGGAGCCTTGGAGGGGAAACTCACAGGAGGGATCTCTGCCAGGCCCTGCCACCCCGCTTACCTGTTCATCTTGTCCCTGTCGTTCAAGTCATTTTTTCCAATCAACAGAACCTGCTGCACTTTGGCTACATTGCCCACAGTGGCAGCTTTGTGGATCTTTCTGAGGTCCTTGTCTCGGATGTGGTACCCGGGCTGGAAGTTGATTCCATCACCGCTGTCTCTCCCCGAGCTGATGGAGGAGCCAAAGGGCGACGACACTCCCTTCTTACTCCCGAAGCCAAAAAGCTTCTTCATCGCAGAGCCTAGGGACTCCAAACACACCTCACCTCCACCTCGGCTCTTCACAGTCCCCTAAACCCAACACAAGCGCTACAGATAAGTCACAGTGGTCCCGCCACAACCTCCCAGTTGGGAAGCTCAACGGTTTGGAATCTTTCATCCCAGAATGATCGTTGCTAAGCGACACCTCTAAACACATTGCCCGTGTGCACAGAGGCCTGGCGTGCCAGACTGCCCACTGCTCATATGCAAGAACTGTGAAGTTCATTTCCTGAAAGAAAGAAACAATATCAATAAACCCTTACCTAAACTAAGAAAGAAAGACAGGAAACTCAAATAAATACAGAAATGAAAGTGACATTATAACTGTAGAACTGTCAAAATAACTATAGTATCCAAAGCAATCTACAGATTCAGTGCAATTTCTATCAAATTACCAATGGCATTTGTCACACAACTAGAACAAAAGTTTTACAGTGTGTATGGAAACAAAAGACCCCAAACAGCCAAAGCAATCTTGAGAAAGAAAAGCAAGAGCCGACAGAATCAGGTACCCTGACTGCAGACTACTCTGCAAGCTTCAGTAATCAAAACACAGTACTAGCACAGAAACAGAAATATACTGAATGATCAGTGGAACAAGACAGAAAGTCCAGAGAGAAACCTACGTACCTGTGGTCAGTTAATCTCGGATATTGGAGGCAAGACTATACAAAGGAGAAAAGACAGTCTCTTCAATAAATGGTGCTGAGAAAACTCAACAGCTACATGTATAAGAAGGAAATTAGAACACTCCCTAACATCATACACAAAAATGAACTCAAAATGGACTAAACACCTAAATAGAAGACAGGTCCTGTAAAACTCAGAGGAGAATATAGGCAGAACACTCTCTTACATAAATTACAGCAGTATCTTTTTTCATCCACCTCTTAGAGTAATGAAAATAAAAACAGAAATAAGAAAATGGGATATAATTAAACTTAAAAGCTTCTGCACAGTGCAAGAAATCATAAACAAGACAGACAACAACCCACAGAATGGGGGACAATATTTGCAAATGATGCCATTGACAAGGGATTAATCCCCAACATATTCAAACAGCTCAAAGAGCTCAATATCAGAAAACAGACAACCTGATCAAAAAATGAGTATAAGATCTAAATATACATTTCTCTAAAGAACACCTACACATGACCAAAAAGCACATGAAGGGATGCTCAGAAAGGATGCTCTGCATCACTAATTAGAGAAATGCAGAAATACTATACGAAGGTATCATTTCACACCAATCAGAATAGCCACCATCAAAAAATATACAAACAATAAATGCTGTAGAGAGTGTAGAGAAAAGAGAACCCTATTACACTACTTATGGAAGGCAACTAGGTACACCCACTGTAGAAAACTCTATAAAGATTTCTTTAAAAACTAAGTATAGAGTTGTCATATGATTCATCAATCTCAGTCCTGGGCATTTATCTGGAGAAAACCATAATTCAAAAAGGTACATGCACCCCAGTGTTCATTGCAGACCTATTTACAATAGCCAAGACACTGAAGCAACCTAAGTGTCCATCAACAGAATGGATAAAGAAGATGTGGTGTGCACACACACACTCACACTCACACACACACACACACACACACACACAACCTAAATGGGATATGACTCGGCCATAAAAAGAAATAATAATGTCATTTGCAGCAACATAGATGGATCTCGAAATTACAATACTAAGTGAAGTAACTCAGACAGAAAAACAAGCATCACATCACTTACATGTGGAATTTAATAAAAATAAGATTATTTACACAACAGAAACCAACTCAAAAGATCTCAAAATCAAATTATGGTTATGAAAGGGGAAACATGAGGGAAAGGATAAATGAGGAAATTGGGATTAACATATAAACACTATTTTCTAGTAGTCACGTATGGATATGAGAGTTGGATGACAAAGCAGGCTGACTGCCAAAGAATTAATGCTTTTGAACTGTGGTGTTGGGAGTAGACTCTTGAGGGTCCTTGGACTGCAAGGAGATTAAACCAGTCAATCCTCAAGGAAATCAATCCTGAATATTAATTGGAAGGACTGATGTTGAGGCTGAAGCTCTAATACTTCAGCCACTTGATGTGAAGAGCTGAATCATCAGAAAAGACCCTCATGTTGGGAAAGCTGGGAGGCAGGAGGCGAAAGGGGACAGCAGAGGACGAGATGGTTGGAGAGCATCACTGACTCAATGGACATGAATTGGAGCCACCTCCACAAGGTAGCGGAGGACAGAGGAGTCTGGCGGGCTGCAGTCCATTGGTCGCACAGAGTCGGACACGACTGAGTGACTGACACTTTCACTTTTACATGGAAAACTTAACAGTGCTGGGTTTTAAATCACTTAAAAGTTAGTTAGCTGCAGAGAAAATACTTAGTATCAAAAGTACTTAGATACTACTGTTTAAAAGTAGTATTAATACTACTTAAAAGTAGTATTTTAAAAATACCATTAAATTTTCATCACACACACAAAAATAGTTCCCTTTAATAAAGATTTTCTCATCATGTTTAATGAGAAACAACTAAAATGTCATGAAAACGGTCCAGAAGGGAAATTTTTACTATTTATCTTTCAGATCATATATTTTTTCTTCAAAACCTGTACATATTCTTGTGATGTTTTCAAAAGCAGGTCCTCATACAGATTTGACCCATCTGTAGCTCCTAGAGGAGACAATCCATAGGACTCAGATTCAAATTCAGCAGCAGCTGGAAAGAAAAAGGATCACATTCTTTATCTAAAATACTTGAGTTAACTCAGTATTAGTAAAAAAAAAAAAAAAAAAAAAAAAAAAAAAAAAAAAAAAAACACATAAAAACAAAAACCTGAGATATTTCTAAGTGTTCTGACAAATGAAACATATCTATAGATGACATAAAACAAAATACAAGTCTACAATCATATAATCAGCTCATGGTCCCACATGTGGCTGAGTATCAGAGCTTCTGGCTTTCTCATTCTTCATTCATCTACTCAATAACTATCTGCTAAGGTGCTGTGACACTGGAATTACAAGATAAAGGTGACCCAGTCCACCCTGAGAAATGATAACGCCATAAACTGGAAAAACAGATAAACAGGCAATTTCCATATGGAGTCACAAATACTAAGACAGATATACAAGATGGCACAGGGAACACTCAGAAGGGACAGCCGGCTTTGTGTCAGTACTGCCAGCTTTCTGGTGGAGGTGCTATGGAAGCAGATGCCTGAAGGACAGGAAAAAGTGCAGGAGATGGAGGGGAGAAGCACGTACAAAGACCGGAGGTGAGGAAACGAATCTGTGGGATCCTACAGAGTCTGGCTGGTTAGATGCAGAGCTACGGGGCAGAGTAAGGTGGTAAAGAGATAAGGCCAACTACTTTGGAAGGACCCAAATTGATGCGGGTGTTCGGAGCTTTTCCTGAGGGCAAGAGATAAACTAGTGACAAAGTCAATGACACAGAAATTATAAAGGCAGCCATCAGGTGACAGCTACGCAAACACGACTGCCTGAGTCTGGGTGTCCCAGCCTTAACTGCTACCGGCGCTGAGACGGTGATGAACTCCATGCTTCCTGAGAATGGCGTCAGGGTGCAGACGGACAGTTCCACAGCGATGGCAGCAGTAGAGGAAGGATACAGCCAGAAATAAACAGAAATACACAGACCTTTGGAGAGTTTTTTTAAAACAATGGAACATGATGGATAAATGAGGAAGAAGAATATTTTTCACTATGACTGCCCATGCTTTTACATTTTTCATTAGCTATGGATAAGAAAAAATATTTAACATAGTATCTGTTATCCAAACAATGGAAAGAGATGCCATTTACTGTTTACAGTCTATTTCAGAAATCAATGTCTAAATTTAATTCATACATTTTGGCAACATACCTTCTCTTAGTTCTCTAGTTATACTCCTGTCCAACTCCTGCCGCATCTGAAATAAGTCAAATATTATTTATCTTTAAGTTAAGAAAGAGATATTATCATAGGAATGATATACAGCTTACTAAATGTGACATTTAAATAATACTTTTAGAGACTAGACCTAACTTGAAGATTACCTAAGTAGAAAAATAAGCACATGAAGAAAATGAATTCCTACTTATTCCACTTATAGACAACAGAGAACATATATATGGAACATCATTTAATCTGATAAAAAGTACAATAAATATCAGTCGATGGAGTACATATAATTTCAAATTAGAGAATGATCCATAATCCTAGGAATGACCCACAAGATTACTATCTTCTCCCCCCTCACAGCTCCTGCCCTAAATACACACTTCCAAGACCTTTATTTTGATTTCTAGGTGAGGATCCTGTTCAAATGGAGGAAGTAGTTTGAGTCGAATGTTATTAAGGAGAACACATCTACAATTTTCTTTAAGCTTTTCCATTTAACAAAAACACAGAAAGGTGAGAAAATTATACACAAGAAAACAATGTACCAGCAAGTTTTTATTCTAAAGGCGTTTGGCGAGAAAGATTATCTCATAAGTCTTCGTTTCCGAACTATGTCCCATAGAAGTGGAAGGTCCCACAGGGATCACTGCAGGGTTGAGGGACACAGAAGTCACAAGTGAAGGACCTCTGGCCACTCCTTTGGCTAAAAGGCTTTATACTTGTCTCCGTTTTATGTAATATGGTTCCCACAAAAGGTTTTTGTTTTTTTTAAAGAAAGGTTGTTTTCTTTGAAAAAAACAACAACTTTTTTTAAGGTATAAGAGTCATGATGTAGGCAAAGTTCGTAATTCTACAAAAGAAGTAACAAACCAATGACTTTCTTACTGAGTCCAGAGTCCCATGTCAGCTACTTCCTCAGATTGAGAAAAAACACATAGATTTTTAACTATAACATAGAGAAAATGAATATCTAAAAACTTCTTACATAGTTCAATAATGCTTGTGGCATGACATGACATAGGAGCTTTCTAACTAAATCATGTTTTAAAGGCAAAAACAAGAATAAATTATTGTCAAACTCCTATATGTAGCAGTCAGTTGATACAGTTAATTTATAAAGCATAAATTTTTTAAAAACACATGACAGAGAACTTGAAGGAGAAAAGTTCCAAGGTAAGTTCCAAAGTTTCAAAGTTCCTACCCTCCTTATGAGAGGTGAGGAGAGTTATGAAATGGGTGAGTTTGGGAGAAGGAACTTCTCCCAAAGTGATTGCTTGGTTCCAAATTTCTTCTTTGAAAAGATTAACACCGTGAACTTGGGTCTGCAGTAGGCAGCCTGCCCCTGGGACGGGGGTCAAGCATTTGCTTCCTCCTCTTAGGCCTGCGTGGGGAAGTGTCTGACTTGGGATGAAGTGTTTGGAGGCCCGCTGTGACTGCACAGCTAAAGTAGGTCCTCTAGGTTCACGGCTCTCAAGTACTAAGACCCAGTATAGATGCAGTGCTGTCGATGAAACCTTAGATTGCTCTCCTATGATGGCAAGAAGCCAAATGAGAAAACAGGTTAAGACTGCATTTAACAAGGGCTACTTTCCTGTGCCTCACAAACATCAGGAAAACACCATCAAAACCATAAGCCTGTGTGCACTGACTGAAATGGATATTTTAATCACAATGATTAAACAGTGAAAACTGGTTGCAATTTAAAGATTACCCGTCATTGCTATCTTAGGTACCATTCATCCAGGTGATGTCAAGATAGAGACAAAGTGACCTTCATTTATAATTTTTAAATGTTTGAATTAACTACAAATCTAGAAATATTCTACAAATGCTCAGCAAGATTTTCAATTTTAAATAAAAATGCTATAGGTAAAATAGCAATTAAAGAAAATGACAAAAATGTCATTTTTGTAAGAAATGACAAATTTTATGTAAGAAAATGACTAAAAATGTTAAGCTAAAACTAGAAATGAATGTTTTGGTTTAGTACTATAAGCTTATTTAATTCATAAAAAGGATTTATCTAGGATTCCTTAAAACAAAAAGCATCCAATTGTGGTTAGTGTTCAGATGCCAGTGATTCACTTATGCTTAGAGGTAGAAAAAATTCGTTGCGTACAGCAGAGCTTGGAAATGATTATGAACCATTGCCAACTGAAATCAATTAGAAATCAACTGAAACATCTAAAAGAATACTTTTGGATACTAGGCAATAAGATTTTGTTTCTAAAGTAGAATTTAAACACGGCTTTTTGAGAAATTTAATACTTTATTAAATATCTCTTAAAATCAAGAACTCTGGGACAAAAAAATCATAAAATTTCTGTCTCCTTTATTATCACAGCTAATTATGACTTTTACTTAGGGTGCATTAAGTCAAATAAACAACTCAGAAGTTCACCAAAAAACAAGGATCATTCATATCAGAAATCTGAAACCCAGTGAAAAAAGATAACAGAACTAACCTTGGTCAAGTAAGTCTCCACGCTGTCATCTGAACGGCGTGGAATTGAGGTAGAGAACCCTCCATGTGCTCTTGGAGTAAGACTTCCGCTGAGCACTAAAGGATTATTGAAATTTCCAACACAAGGGGGCTCCAGGACTGGCCTCGTGCTAAGAGTGCTGAGTAAAGATCTGTTCTGCTGCTTCTCCACCTCAAGTTTGGTGCTGATCTCTGCCAGCCTCTCATGAGTCCTGGGGAAGATTGAAAACACCAACTTTGTTCATGTTTTCCTAAATGATTTGCTTTTTTAAAGTTGCCCTATAGTGGCTGTACTAATTTGCATTCCCACCAACAGTGTAAGAGGGTTCCCTTTTCTCCACACCCTCTCAAGCATTTAGCAATCCCACTTCTGGGCATACACACCAAGGAAACCAGATTTGAAAGAGACACGTGCACCCCAATGTTCATCGCAGCACTGTTTATAATAGCCAGGACATGGAAGCAACCCAGATGCCCATCAGCAGACGAATGGATGAAGAATTCCCATTAAACTGTTTGAACCCTGAACACATAGAGGGGGCCTCCTGTAAACAGTGACAACCGTAATTTTGTTCTAAAAGAAGTGCACGTCTCTGGGGCTCCTCAGGTAACAAGTCACCGCTGGGAGAGGAGAGAAAGGGCGGCAGAGAGAAAGGGAGGTGGGCCCACAGTGACCCCTGCTGCCTCTGGGACACGCCTGCCCCCAGGAAATAGTTTAGGGGTGAAGGGACACACCTCCCACAAAGCTGCGTTCAAGCATTTGCTTTCACCACCCTTGTGTATACGTGTCACTCACGACCTCAGAGAAATTAAGCATTTGGCTCTGAGGTATCACCGAGAGTCACAATCTTGAGGGGAGGACAGCAAAGTAAATGGGTAACTGAGAAGAGCTAGAACAGCCCCAGGAACAATTACAAGCATCCCCTGCTTTTCCAAAGTGCACTTTACGTCACTTCACTTATAGGAAAGGCCTACATCAACATCTGTTTTTGATACTCAAAAAAACAAAAAAATTGAAGAGGCTTTTTGGTTTCATATAAAAAGGTTCAGTGTATGTTTTACAGAGACGCATCACGCTCCCCAAGCAGGGAGAATGGCTCCACTGAGCTCCTTCCCAGAATCCACACCCCACATCTCAGATCAAGTTACCCATCTGTGAGCACCTGTGCTTCACTTGTGCATACTCATTTTATGTACCAACTAACAGAATGTGTCCTCGGGTCCCTTCTTCATTGCTTTATGCTGTTTTGGCTCATGAAAGGCTTCCTGGGAAAGCTCTGCTTTCAGACCCTGGGGAAAGCTGGACTCAGCCCTGGAGGTGCGATCTACCCTTTCAGTCCTCCACACCCCTCAGTGAAGTCACCATGCTATTTCTAGCCACTCTGAATTATCCTGCCTTTCACCCCTGTGTTCATTGCCCCCAGTCTCACAAGCATGCCTTTATGCAGTGTAGAAAAACTTACAAGGACACAGTATTAATAGCTTGTCCTAGGGCGCCCTCTAGCAGTGACCATCTAGTCAGCTTTCACTTCCTACTAATCTCAGGAACCGCACTCTATATAAATGAGGCTTTAGACACAAATTAACAAACTAAATTTAGTTTGTGTGATTCTGTGTTTTGACTTACTTGTCTAGTTTACCTTCCAATGATTTTCTAACTGCTAGTTCTACTAGGTAGAGATGCTTATATTTTTCCAACTCTGCTTTATGAGAATCTTCTTGCAAAGTTTTCACCTTGGAGAGTTCAGATTCCAAGTCTTTAATTCTGAATTCCATCTGACTTCTTATGGAAGCATTATTCTTCTCTTGTAACTGCTCTAAGTTCTCTTGAGATGCTGCTTGCATCTAAGGCAAATTTTAAAAAGTAACATTTTAAAAATAATCATTAACCTGGAAAATGACATTTCCTCCCTTATGTTTTGAGTCTGTGATTCAGAAAGCAACTTGAAAGGTTAAAAAAAAAGAGAGAACAGAAGTTTAAAACAATCATTGTCAATGCGAAGTGAATTAAATCTGAATTATAAAATTAAAATGGAATTATTGTTATAGTGGTGCTTATATAATCTGATAATTCAAAGAATAAGAGGATCAACTTAAAATTTTAAAACTTGAAGAAGACAACTTGAAAATAATTCAAGAGGATGGTACCAGTTCTAAACCACAGTATTTTCTTTTCCTCCTAGTAGTATTCTTTTATACCAATTGGTCTTATACATGAGAGGATTCTCTAGTGAGAATCACTCTGAAAGGTCAATTTGGGGATAACTGCGATGGAAACAGAAATATTTAAAGGGAGAAACAAGTGTCCCCTTCCTTCCAGAAAACTACCAAACCAACTGCTCTACGGGAAATAGAGCAAACACATAAGCTGTATACATCCAAAACGTAATTGACAATGAGGTGAATTCAAGCACATGACAGATGAATATATTAACCTGCAAAAATAGGTTGACTTCTTTTAATTTCTCTACGAGTTCCTGTCTCACTCTTTCTTCAATTTCCCGTTTATACTGCTCTATTTGACTGTGTTCTATCATATTAATTTCTATAAGACTTCTGAGGTTCACTACTTCTTGTTCCAACTTCTTTTTATTCTTCTCTAGTTTTTCACATTTCTTTTGCATTCCTTTCATAGACAATAACTCCTCTCGAAGAACTTGATTTTTTGCATCCAGGTGCAGACATTTTGAAGATGCAGTTTCCAGCTCTGCTGTAAGATCATCAATCTGCAAGAATAAAACAATACTGCTGGGTAATGAGACAAGTGGACGGAGCACAGCCTAACTCAAACCCAGGATCAAATAAATACGACGGTATCTGTATTATAGAATATAGGACCAGGGATTACTCAGAGAATCAAGAAAGAAGTTCAAACCACCAAGAGTCACAAAATATCTTCTTCACTGTCATCATCTTTGTCACACAATATCTGCACTTGATTTTGCACTCTTTTCTATTTTTTCTCCATAAAATGACAAGTCACCTCTTAGTAGAATGTCTCTTACTCCTTCCCCGCATCTTAATGCCCTGTTTTAAAGAAGTTTGAGGGATACTGTATTGAGTTATCTAAGGCTGAGTTAATACACGCTTCGCAAAAGAAGACTGTGAAAATCAGACTCTAATTAATAAATCTTATATATATGGATTCTAATCCCAGAAGTCTTCTTCTGAACTACGAATACTTTTTACTAATTTGAACTTCATTCCAAAGAAAAATGATTCGAAGGGTTAAAGAAATCCTATCTCCTAATAGTTTAGTGAGATAATCCACACATTTTTCTGAACAACAACAACAACAACAAAAAATGCCTCATTCTTGTAACCATTTGTTACTTTTCACAAAAAAACAGAACACACCAAACAAAACAACAAACAAAATTTGCTGGAATTTCAGTGACACTGAGTTGGAAAGAACTTTCCTTTAGACAGAATGGTTACTCGGTAAGTCAAGGTTGAATGGAGGTGGTGGTATTGAAACTGTCTACAAATTCTTTGACACTTTCTCTGAAACTCCCTCCCCTTAAATATGTGCTGGCCTCAGTAACTGATTTCTACTGCACAGAGTCTGGGGAATATGACTTTTGCTCCGGCGGAAAACCCACCCTTAGCATCAGTCACCACGCTGCGAAGAAGCCCAGGCCACATACTGAGCACCTGTCAGTGTCCCCACAGACCGCCCCCAACATATGTCCCATCCAAAAGCCAGCTCCGACTGCCAGACATGTGCATGAACTAATCTTCAGATGAATCTGGTCCCCACCTTCACGACATCCCAGCTGATGCCGACTGGAAAAGAAATGCGCTGGCCTCACTCACTGAGGCTTGCCCCAACACAAATCTGTGAACAAAGTAAATGCTGTTTTGAGCCACTAGGCTTTGACGTGGTTTATTATACAGTTTGCTGGTAATAAATAACTGGCACAGATACTGATATTAAAAATGTCATTAAAAAAGAACTAAAAGATGTGAGAATGCCTTTCAACCTGGAGGTAGGTGAGACCTGAAATGCAGATGCAGAGAAAGAAATGAAAATCCGAAGGGCTTCATGACATTGTAAACTGAATCCTGACGGCCCTTGAAGAGGCTGCTTGTGACAGCTGCCAGGCAAGAGAAGACAATGACACTGCAACATAGGGGAAAGACTCTTGCTACGAGCCAGCTGAAAGGAACAGCAATGAGAGGGTTAGCTATCCAAAAAAAAAAAAAAGACTATTAAATATAAAGGAACCAGGTTCAATTATATTTGGGTTCAGTATCTGTATCCCCTTTACAGCATTTCCACATGTCCAGTTGTCACATGATGCTAAAGGAGAGAAACGACTTCTGGGATAAGATCAAACCTAGGGTGCTGCCAGGAAAACATGGTCTAAAGGTGAAGCCTGTAGACTGTGTAAAACCCTTCATTAAGGCCCTGGAAAGACTTAAGGTGGTGCTTCAAATTCCTTTAAGGATCTTAAGAGCATAAGGATTTTAAAGGCATCATCCTACAAAGCTTCACAAGAAGCCCAAGGTGCAGAGCTTCTCTCAAAAAAGATTTGTGAGGGTAACCTCTCCAACAACATGAACCCCAATCCAATTTACAGGACACTAAAAGCTTTAAAGAGAACCTTGGCAGCAAAAAAACAGTGCTTGGCCTAACAGAGACCAAGACATACAAATGAGAATCGGCCTTTGGGATTTTCCTAAAAGTTCAACAAAGAGGAAGCTGGCTTAAGAAACATGACTCAGCTACAGACAGAGGTCATTTCTTATGAAAAAGACAGCACACAGAACTCAGAGAGTAGAACAAAGGAGAAGCACTCCTATGGGCAGGACCAAGTCGTCATCAGAGAGCTGGCGGCATCAAACTGGACCTCAGAGCTGCTATGGACTACGGTGCCTCTCCTTTCCCATGTCTGAACGGGAGAGTCTAGTCACCCAGCAGAATGGTGGAGGTCTGAGTGGCAGATAACTCGTCCCTTTAGTTCTCAAGTCTTAGTACTGAGAGTGGTGTGCTCACGGGGTCACACTCTAGAAATCACACCCAGAAGCCTCATCCCCATGTGTCATCTGTACCTGATGAAGATGGTAAGACCTCGACTTGAGCCTGGGCCTGACTGTAGCTGAGACTTGTGAGGGAATGGGTGGGGAAAGGGTAATTTTCACATGGAAGGAACATAAAAACTTGTGGCCAGTGAGTAACTGTGCCAGTGTTTAAAAGTACCCTTAAATTTTAAAAAATGTATTCTGTAAAAAAGGGAGCATACAGGCCAAGTAAAAGTGACTTGCTCCTAGTGAACAGAAGATGATGAAAGTGATGCTGTGTGAAGTGCAAAGTGAGATGAGACAAGCTTCTGCCTGGCTCTCAACCTGGAACCGGCCCCATGTTGCGAGCAAGCCCAGGCTGCAAAGAGAACCTAGGTGTTCAGGGGAGATGTTTCACTTGTCTGCCTTCACCAAAGTGCAGCCAACCATAGATACCAACTCTCAGACGTGGGAGTGAATGCACCTTCACCTGATTCCAGCCCCCAGCCCTCGAGCTACCGCAACTGGAGTCGAGGAGACGAGGAGACGAGAAGCCAGCCGTCCTGGCCACCTTTTCCTAAGTGTAGATTCTGACCGAAACCAGTCTTGTTTATTGAAGCCACTAAACTCAAAGCTGACTAGGAAAAAACAGAAAAATGGATTTTTGGAAGAGACATAATAACGAAACATAACTTAAATGCAGGTAGAAACTGGTCTCCTATAAACTGAAATATAATAAAGGGTGAGATTTTTAATGACAAATAATGTTGATGAGAAGAAGCATATAACTAGAAGAAAGACTTAAAAACTATTCAGAAAGAAGTTTTTTCAGGGTTCCTTTCAATTACAATTTCTTACAAATAGGCAGGTGTGTCTCCTTAGAATTTCTGCTCAAGTTTGAAAACAATGAAGACTAGTAAGCAATGAGACATATGATTTGAACTATAAGAAATAACGAGAAATAGTTTAATTACCAAAATCAGACATTTGACCTCATCTCAATTTACTGAAATTCTAAAAGAGATGGGTAGCTTTGAGTAGTTAATAATCTAGAACTCGATCTTCTTTGTCCTCTCCTCAGAGAGAGAAATAAAACACCACGAGATGCCACTTCATACTTGCTAGGATGGCTATACTCACAAAGACAGGTAACGACTAGTGTTGACAGGAATATATAGAAATTGGAACGTTTTACACACTTTCAATAAAAATATAAAATGATGCAGCCATGCTGGAAAACAGTATGGCAGGTCCTCAAAAGGTTAAACAGAGTTTAATTGCTGTAATACAGCAATTTTATTCATAACTGTATGCCCAAAAGAAATGAAAAAATATGTTCACACCAAAACTTAGACATAAATGTTCACAGCAACATTACTGACATTAGCCAAAAAAGTAGAAACAACCCCAAAGGTCCATCAGATGATGAATGGATAAAAAAAAGGTGGTACGTCCATACAATAGAATATTATTGAGCAATCAAAAGCAATGAAATACTAATACATGTTAGATGTACCTTGAAAATATTATGCTAAATGAAAGAAGGCAAATGCAAACTAGTATAGCCACTATGGAGAACAGTGTGGAGACTCCTTAAAAAACTGGAAATAGAACTGCCATATGACCCAGCAATCCCACTCCTGGGCATACACACCAAGGAAACCAGATCTGAAAGAGACACGTGTACCCCAATGTTCATCACAGCACTGCTTATAATAGCCAGGACATGGAAGCAACCTAGATGCCCATCAGCAGGCGAATGGATAAGAATGCTGTGGTACATATACACAATGGAATATTACTCAGCCATTAAAAAGAATACATTTGGGGAAAAAAAAAAGGATACATTTGAATCAGTTCTAATGAGATGGATAAAACTGGAGCCCATTATACAGAGTGAAGTAAGCCAGAAAGATAAACACCAATACAGTATACTAATGCATACATATGGAATTTAGAAAGATGATAACGATAACCCTATATGCAAGATACAAAAAGAGACACAGATGTATAGAACAGACTTTTGGACTCTATGGGAGAAGGCGAGGGTGGGATGATCTGAGAGAACAGCATCAAAACATGCATATTATCAAGTATGAAACAGATCGCCAGTCCAGGTTGGATGCATGAGAGAAGTGCTCGGGGCCGGTGCACTGGGATGACCCAGAGGGATGGGATGGGGAGGGAGGTGGGAGTGGGTTCAGGATGGGGAACACATGTAAATCCATCGCTGATTCATGTCAATGTATGGCAAAAACCACTACAATACTGTAAAGTAATTAGCCTCCAACTAATAAAAATAATTGGGAAAAAAAAAAAGAAAGAAGGCAGTTACAAAGGATCCCATATGGTGTGATTCCACTGACACGAAATGTCCAGAAAATGGCAATCTACAGAGTCAGGGAGTGGAGTCAAGGTTCCCTCAGGTTAGGAAGACCAGGAAGGGAAAACTGGCACAGGATGATTGCAAAAAGCTATAAGGTTTCTTTGGAGGGTGATCAAAATGTCCTAGCGTGGTAATGCTTGTATAACTCTTTAAACACAATAAAGTTACTGAACTGTACAGTTTAAATGAATGAAATGCATGGTATGTTCATTAGATTTCAACAAACCTGTTACCAAAAGCAACTGATGCTTTGGCGTCATTAATGCTGTGCCGCTCAGCTTCAGATCACCAGCCAGGGTTCAAGACAGAGAGAGTCAAGAGTGAGCCCTTGTTATCTAAAAATGATATAGGGAAAAGCAGTCGCTTTTACTGGTGTCCAACCTAAAAATTTAATAGACAAATCTGTGTTTCATTGCTCAATGCATGGAATGATTTATATTTGCCCAAATTAAGTGATTCTGGGTTCGAAAACTGATTAAAAATTACCTTATGTTTTAGCATATTAATCTGAATATCCATTTCAGTTTGACTGGTTTTTAAATCTCCATGGAAACTAAGCTCTCCATTTTCATATTCATTTAACTTCCTTCTTGTCATTTTTAAGACTTTCTTAAATCTGTAGAAATGTATAGAATGAGTAAGTTCTTTAAGAGCCGATATTTAATAATTATTTAAACAGATATATGTTCTATCAGATAAAACAAATCTATAAATTATAATCCTTTCTCATTGTTCTAATTTAATATTCCTTGAAAGCATAATAACTAAATTCTAATCTTAGATAAATATTATGAAGAAAAATGTTATCACATTTAAATATATTGTGTGTGATACATATATGAGTTCTTATAAATAAGTTAAGATCAATTTTTAGTATGCTAGTGTGAAATATTAATTTATTATTAAATATTAGTTATAAACCAGAGATCAGTATTCAAGCTAAAGATGAAGAGATATGATATATGAATGTTTTTAAAATGACACAAGACACGTTTGGTCCTACTGACCACAGCCTCTATAAAAAGAAAAGAAAGTAGATAAAAAAAACAAAAATGAAACTTGAAAAAAAAAGAAAACTTTTTGGAGCCTCTTTGGAGGCTCTTTGGAGCCTGAGTTAAATGGGAAATAACCCAGGCTGAGAGCTTTAGAAGAAAGGAAATCAGGAGAGAGAGAGAGAGAGAGTGTGTACCAGTCTCAAGACTGTTGAAATCTTGCCCAGCACACTGTTAACAAAATGCAAAGCAATGTAGAGAAAATTAAAAGAGAAAAATATTAATGAGAATCAGAGAAGAACCCTATGTATGCCAAGATCCCTTGGCATCCACTGAGGACTGATTCAGAAATCCCCCAACACTCTGCGGATACAAAATCCACGGATGCTCAAGTCTCCCTAAGCACATCTTCCCTATACTTTCAGTCATCCCTATGTCACTTACATTATCTAATACAATGTAAACGCTTTGTAAATAGTTACAAATACAGTGTAAACACTATAGAAAGAGTTGCCAGCTTGAGACCAATCCAAGTTTTGCTTTTTGGAACTTGCTCAAATTTTTTTCCCTGAATACTTTTGATCTTGGGTTGGCTGAATCTCTAGATGATGAGGGTTGACTGTACTCAGCAAAAAAACACAAGCAGTTTTTTTATCTTACTGATCAAAACATGGTCACTAATTTTTTTTTTTTTTCATGGTCACTAATTTTATTATTCTTTAAGTTACACATAGATTTTTCTATGTACATTTTATAACTAAAATTTTGGGGCAAAAAATATAAACCAAATCAAGATACTTTTTAATGTTGTTCAACAATAACATAGGTAGGTTTTTAGATAATAAGTTACTTGAATGATGAAGGGAAAGAACACAGTTAAAAGAAGGCAGGATTACCAAAAAGAACAAAGATACCTTGCAGAAGTAAAAATTCAGCATAGATGACGAAGAACAGAGTGACATTACTATATGCAGAGGCATGGTTGTTACAGTTTTAGAAATCATTACAGATAAGTACAACACTGCTGCACTCAAAAACATTTCAGATTGTGCTGACTTTCCACAGTAAACTTTGAAATAGGATAATGTGTTTAATTATGAAAATACACATAAAAATGAATTTGTGTCTAAGGTTTCAATAAAATAAAATTATACTTTAATTAATAGTTGAGATTGTCAGAAACATTAAAACCTTACCCAGTAATCTCTGTTTCTAACTCACTATTTTTCTTCTTTTCTTGGTCCAACCTATCTTCCAGAGATTGTTTTAATTCAATATATTTCTTTAATTGTTCCTTTTCATCCTCAGACTTAGAAAAAAAAATTTAAGAAAATTATTTTTAAACACCTAGAGAGATTTATTCTTTCTTCAAAATATTATTTCTCATGAGTTCACAAGTTAATATGAATTTGTAGTAAACACAGTTTTTAAACCTGATTGATGCCAATAGGAAAGTGAAGTGACTCAGTCGTGTCCGACTCTTTGTAACCCCAGGGACGGTAGCCTACCATGCTTCTCCGTCCATGGGATTTTCCAGGCAAGAGTACTGGAGTGGGTTGCCATTTCCTTCTCCAGAACAGATTTCAAAATTGATGACTTTTCTTAAAACAACTTAAAATGATTTTTCATTTCATCACTTTTCTGGAATTTAAATTGCCAACATTGATTTGTTAAAAATAGAGGCTTTTACACATAAAATATTAATGCTAATGAAAGGTTTTTAAAGAGTGCCTATATTTACATTTTACTTTCTAGAGATGCTCTAAAATAATTTTCATCAATGGTTCAAGATATTCCAGGTTTTGTTAAATCAGCTTACTAAAATAATCTTTGAAAAATTCCCAAGCAACCCTCATCTCTTTAAAAAAAAAAAATCCAACAAATGAAAAATACATTTGTTCAGAAAAATGGTTCTATATAAAGTATTCATTTTGAATGAAGAGAACAAACTACAATATTTAAAATGATTTATTCTCAAAATCTCACAGAAAGATTTGGATTACAAACGAAATTCAAAATTCTCAATCAAATCATTACTCAAATTTCTGGACTCAAATAGATGTTTGTGTACCAGTGTTCAAGGCAGCATCATTAACAATAGTCAGAAGGTGGAAAAACCCCAATTCCACTGACAGAGGAATGAACAAACAAAATGTGGTCTATAAAATATTGCTTTTAGACTGTCACAATTTTTGAAATTAAAATCTTACTATGCTGCTGATGCTAAGTTGCTTCAGTCATGTCAGACTCTGTGCGACCCCATAGATGGCAGCCTACCAGGCTCCACCGTCCCTCGGATTCTCCAGGCAAGAACACTGGAGTGGGCTGCCATTTCCTTCTCTAATGCATGAAAATGAAAAGTGAAAGTGAAGTCGCTCAGTCGTGTCCGACTCTTAGCGACCCCATGGACTGCAGCCTACCAGGCTCCTCCGTCCATGGGATTGTCCAGGCGAGAGTACTGGAGTGGGTTGCCATTGCCTTCTCCAAAATGTTACTAAAAAAATCATTAATTTTTATGAATTCAGTCAATTTCTTCTATAAAGAGGAATCACACTGCTAGTAAAGAGCAGTATCAATAAAAATGCAATAAGATAATCAATGAGAATTTTCACATTGCCCAAAATATTCTTATATATTACTAGTAAAAAAATTAAATCCTTTCTCAGTATGACAGAAATTAAGATGTTGACTTACCGATCTTGTACTTAACAGGTTTTTCTCAAGCTGTTCAATTTTGCCCGCTTGCTTTTTGACTGTAGTTTGTAACTCGGCATTTTCAATTTCAAGCCTAAAATGCAGATTTTAAAATAATTATTCTCACACATAGGTTTTTTTTTTTAAAGATTTGTCTTGGATGTAGACCATTTTTAAAGTCTTCATTGAATTGACTACAGTATTGCTTCTGTTTTATCTTTTGGTTTTTTGGCTGTGAGGCATGTGGGGTCTTAGCTCCCCAACCAGGGATCAAACCCACACCCTCTGCCTCGGAAGGCATAGTTTTAACCCCTGGACCGTCACGGCAGTCCTTCACACATAGATTTTTAAAATACCACCCGGTTTTTCAACAAACATCTGCAGGTTCAATCACATAAGTTCTTAGAATTTTGAAAAGTAGATGATTTGGCAACTATACTGTTTTTCTATTTGTGACTAATCGCTTTCCCTGGCGGCTCAGACGGTAAAGAACCTGCCGGCAACACAGGAGACCCAGGTTCGATCCCTGGGTCAGGAAGATCCCCTGGAGAAGGGAATGGCAATCCACTCCAGGATTCTTGCCTGGAGAATTCCATGGACAAAGGAGCCTGGAGGGCTAGAGTCCATGGGGTTGGGAACACTCAGACATGACTGAGCGATCAACACTTTCACTTTTCACTTGCAGGTAATGTGCAAAGTATGGAAATAATGGGGGGAAATTATGCATCTCAAAACAGCTCAAAGCTGAAACGTTACACAGCTTCATGACAATGTGTTTAGTATCACTACTGATCGATTCTCATACTATACTGTTTATCTGCTTTATACTTATTTTCTATGCTGCTTTAAATCATACTTTCGGACGTGATCCTGTGTTTTCTCAGCACATCTCACAGCCTCTGTAAGTTGATCCTGTGTTTCTTGCAACTAAAAATAAAAAGAAAGAAAAAACACCTGTTTTAACTACTGATAACCGAGTCAATCCGCCATCATTGGTTGTCTCTTTTGTCTGCATATTGTTAACAGCTGCTTTCCTGCCTCACAGCAGAGCTGAGTTGTTACAACAGACACCTCAAGTCCACAAAGTGAAAATATTTCCTGTCTGCCCTCCGCAGGTTACTGACCTCTCCTCTAGCACCCAAACACATCATCCATGCTTTAAGTCAGATTTCCTCAAATAAACACACAAATTTATAAACTACTCAAATGGGGAAAGACAGAAAACTACCTTATGGTAAACAAATTTTTTTTTTACTCCAAGCTCCACATCGGCCATCACTTTAAATATCCACATATATAAAGGACCACAGATCTTCCAGTGATTATGAGCGCTAACACTGCTGTTGGTGACAACCGGATGCCTCAGGAACTAGTGTGAGAGGCAGTGGCTACACAGGAGCCAGAATGCGTGGGCCTGTGTCACAGTTCATCAGTTCTGAGCTGTGTGTCCTGGAGCAAATCACTTAACCTTTCTGTGTCTCAGTTTCTCCATCCATAAAGTGGAGATAATGGTAGCATCAACCTCAGTGGGATGTTTGGATGATTATATTGTGGAGTTCACATAATGTACTTTGGAGAAGGGAATGGTGCCAGTATTGCCGGAAGGAAACCCACTCCAGTATTCTTGCCTGGAGAATCCCATGGACAGAGGAGGCTGGTAGGCTACTGTTCATGAGGTCACAAAGAGTTGGACACAACTGAGTGACTAAGCACATACATAAACTATTTAGAAGACATGACACAGAATAAGAACTGTTTATAATTGGCGTTTTTACAGTCACTGCATTTTATCTGCAAAACAATTTCATATAGCAGGCAGATGTCATGCCAACAGAAGTGGTCTTCACCACAAGTCACATGAAATCACTCTCCATACCATTGCAAGTGGCAGTCAGGGGGAGCATGAGGCCCAGAACACATGTATCCAGTACTTCACAAATGTTCACTGACTCCACTAACCAGCTAGCAGTGTTCTCCACTTCCAATAATTTGTAACTCACTTCCTCTATGTACTACTCAGTGGACAAAGACCACGGATTAATATGCAAATAGCACCTCCTGGCTAGAGTGGTGCAGAACTTACATGACCATCAAAGGAAGGGTGAAGTCACTGCCACGGAAATATTACCCTACTGCTAAATCAACGTTCTGAATCAATTTACTCCCAGCAACTCTTAATGTCTAACAAGTACTCAGATGAGAAAATTAAGCTTACAAGCTATGGATATCAGAGAAGCCAACCCCAGAACTCACAGTTGGTGAAAGGCTAGAATTCCATATATCCCACTTCTGGAAGCATAATGAAGGAAGGAAAATTTACATTTTTCTTCCAGAGTCAGGCAAAAAAAATGAGCATTTCACTGAACAATTCTATTCTATTAGACTAATAGAATTTAGTTTCTTAATAAGAGTTTTATTATACCAGTATCTCCAAGAAGAAAGTACTGGTATGGCTTAAAGTACTTGTGTTCTCTCAACTGTTAAGCTAAAATATTTTCCATTTATGCAGACAAGTATTGTGAACATCAATAAATATTCCCTGTGAAACCAATGTATATTTAGACAAGACTCTCCCTCATGAAAAAAATGACAACAAAGTAAAATTAAGGGCTCAAATATTCTTCACAGACTAGATGACAAAGGCTGAAGAGAAAAGGCCTAATGAGAACTGGACAGTCAGGAAAGCTCCATGGATGAGGAGAGACTGGGCGCCAGGTCTGAATAAATGGAAGACTATGCAAGAGGAAACAAAACTGTGAAGACCAAAAGGACAGTCTGTGCAAAGGCCAAGAAAAGGTGTAGTCAGCCAGTTAACTCTGAGGATAAGATCCAACCCCAGGAAAACAAAAGCATGTCCACACAGAAACTTGTAAATCAGTGTTCCCAGCAGCATTATTAATAGCCTCAAAGTGGAAACAACCCAAAGCTTCATCAACTGGTGAATGGATAAATAACTTAGCCACATATTGTTTATTGTTTGACGATTAACAGAAATACAACTGATACATGCTACAACATGGATGGAACTCAAAAACATTACATCAAATGAGAAAAGCTAACCACAAAAGAGCACGCACTGTGTGATTCCATTGATATCAAATACCGCCAACGAGCATGTCTACAGAGACAGACATTAGAATGGTGTTTGCCTGGGCCTCAGAGTGGTGGCTAACGGATGCAGGGTTTCCTTTGTGGGGTGATGGAAAGGCTCTAAAATGGGTCACAGGTGACACCTTTCTAGACTAAGAGATAGTGAACTACACATTTTCAGTAGGTGGATTATGTTACATGAATTATATTTCAACAACTTTAAAAAAAATCCAATGGCAGGATCTAGATAATCTTCTTAATTCTCTATTTTGGATGTACATACTATATAACATCTGAATACCTCCAGGCTTTTATAATATGTCTAAAATGAAAACAAGGCAATGCCTAACTTCAACTAGTCTGTATATTAACCTTTCCACACAAGTTATTCTGAAATCCATGAAATAAATACATATATAACTCTACAGTCTTTCATAAAAGTGAAGATGAGAAATGATAATTTCCTGAAACATTCCATTAAACATCCTCTGATTTCATGTGGCTTGCCTTATCATGGTAATACAGGTATCACTAAAAAAAAGTATTGTGTCAAAGAAACAAAATCTCTCAACTTCTGTGAAGAATGCTGCACAATTCTTAACTTTCCTAAGGGTAAATAATATAAGAAAAAAATATATAATGCAAATGGCAGAATGAAACTCGAGTTTTAGAAATGACTGCATTATAAAGATAACAAAATTATAGTAAATTACTTGCAATGAAAATATAAAAGAAAGCTGTCCATGAAAACAAGCGTCCTAAAACACTTTATCCTACATAAAAACAGTCAATAGATTCAATTTCATACATACCTGACTTGTGAGTTGACATAACTTCTTCTTTAAATCCTGTGCCTCAACTTCTAAGTTGGCACGATAACGTGACAAGACCTCCAGTGACGCCTCTGACATGGACTGCTTTTTGAGGGTGTCAGCCAGTTCTTGTTGAAGTTGTCTCACAACTGCCTAAGAAGATGCCCTATCACTGAGTTTATCAAATCATTTTACTATTACATTATGCCAATAATAGATAACTCTAACATCTGGACTTTGAAAATTATCACCACAGACAACAACTCACCTTCTTTTTCCTCCTGAGTTTGGTTACAGACACAGAAGGGGCCACCCTCCAGCCTTCCTGATATTACATTACTCAGACAAAGGATGCAGCCCCACTGCTCACGCCCTGACCCTCGCAATAAATCTGCAGAGCTTCACCACCTCACGTCCAGAAAGAAATGGGTGTATAGGTAGGACAAGTGGTGGAAAATTCCACACTGTGGAAACATACTTCCTCTTTCTTTATTAGAGGCTTCAATAAACTTTACAGATCTTCACAAATTCAATCCAGTGCTCAGACCTTTCAAATAGATTGCTATCTCAGAAGAAAAATGAGGCCATTCCCTTGTGGCTTACCTGTTTCATATCTAGCAGTCTGTCTATGTGAATCCCAGACTCCTGACTCCCCCTCCTCCCAAGTATATTTAAATGACTTACCAATGAATTATCAGTTAGTGACAATTCTTTAAAGAGTTGAGAGGCCATAAGAATAAATGATTCAAGCCTGAAATGTTTCCCCAGTTAATTCAAATTTACATGAATAGAATTAAAATTATACCAACAAGTATGACAAAAAGGTATGACAAGTTACTGAAGCCAAAGTACTATATATAATTGACATGGGAAACATGGAATTGACTGTCAAAGTAATCCATGGAACTGAAGCTTAATTTCAAAATATTCATTTTAGGTTTGAGCGTTTCTTCTATCTGCTTCATCATTATACCAACATGTGGTAACATAAAGATTATAATTATTATCTTAATAGTGAAAGATTAAATTCCTAATACCTGTCTATATTAAAAATGTAAAACTTAATCTCTTAACATTTCACAAGCAACACGATGTCTCTACTCAAACTAACTGAAGCATCTCTTGGGTCTAATTTTTTTGCTGGATACAAGGTATGCTTTTAGGCTTGTTTAGAGACTATATAATCACAGCCTGTGTATTTTTTCATTCAACTAGATTCACCATTTAGCCAGAATCAAGAATCACTTTGAATTTTCATTCAGGAAGTCCAAGAATTATTTCTCCTTTTGGATACTTACTTCTTCTTCTGCTTTCTCATTTTCATACTGATACATCCTCTCTTTTAAATGATTCTGTTTGTTGATTAACTCCTTATTTCTTTCCTCCAGCATCAGACGCTGTTTATCATTTTCAGCATGAAGTTTTTTCATGATCTGCAGAAGCTGGTCTTGGATGCTAATGACTGTCTTCTCTTGACTGTTGGCTTTATTTTGTGCATCATCCAGTTGCTGTCGGAGCAACATATTTTCACTCTGAAGTAGAGATAATCTCTCCTCTAATGATTACGGGCTTTCTAAGGTATTCATTCACTTTGTCTTGTTCATTCTAATACATGTGTTCAGTTTCCTGCTTTTGACACTCTGTTTGGCCTAGGTCTCTCTGGACACATTCTAACATCAAAGTCTTTTCTCTGAGATTAACTCTCCTCTGATGTAGCTTGATGTTTAGCTTATTGAATTTACTTTCCGCTTTATAAAGTTGCTGGGAAAACATCTCACTGTTACTTTCCTGGAAAGACTACAGGAAACCATGCCGGGTGCTCACTCAGTCGCAGGAGTTCTACCTATTCTGCTGAACCAGCCTGGAAAAACTACTTAACAGCAGAATGAACAGGGTAGTCAGCAAGGTCTTGCCTCCAAGGCATGAAATAATCAGCCCTAGCCCCAGGGCCCCTCTGGATGCACCTAACAACTCATGAGACGCAAGAGCACAGAAGGATCTCTGGAAAACTCTCAATATTTGGAAACTAAATCTCACGGATCTAAATAACCCTTGGATCAAAGAGGTGATAAAGAGAAAGTGCAGAGCATTTTGAACTGAAGGAAAATGAAAACCTCAAGACCAGCAGATATTTTAGGAAACTGACAAGCTGATTCTAAACTTTATGTAGAAAGAAGGGCAAAAAATAAAACCAGATGAAGCTAGACAATTGTGATATTTAACCACGCAGCAAAGAGAAGCAACAGCTGGGCTTTAAGCAAGGAGGTAACATGATGAGATCTGAATTTTTAGAAACAGGTGATAATTACAGTTGCTGTAATGCTGTAATAATTACAGATGGCTGAGGTTCTGCCAGGTGGAGTGGCAGGAAGTCCTAAGATTATTTCAGTTCCTCTAGGAGGAAAATGATGCTGACCTGATCGTGGGTGAAGGCACAGGAAAGAAGAGTCAGCAGAAGGTACAGTGAGTGAGAAGGATCACAGGCCTCTGGCTCAGAGCATACACTCACTGTCATGTTCTTTTAATGCAAAACATACTTCTGAGATGCACAGCACTGTAACATATCCCTGGCTCTAGAGCAGTACTGACAAGGTGTGCATATATCACTACTCTATACACAGGCTTTCTGTTAACATTTACACTGTGGTCCTTCCTTTACACTCCACATCGAGAGGTTCTACTTGCAATGTGGAATTCATGGAGTAAAGCACGTCACCATCCTCAGAAACAGTCTCAGACAACTGAGTTAAGTCATCCAGGTTGTTCACGTAATTAATTTGTTCTTTGACCTACACATAAATAATACTGTTNTCCTTCTCCAGGGGACCTTCCCAACCCAGGATCAAACCCAGGTCTCCTGTATTACAGGCGGATTCTTTACAGTATGAATCAGCAGGGAAGCCCTATATATATGTGCATATATATATATATACATACATATATACACACACACACATATACATATATAGCTGAATCACTGTGCTGAATACCTGAAACTAACACAATACTGTAAATCAACTATGATTCAATAAACAACACTATGTGCTAGCTTTAGAAACACTGCATCTGATACCTAATCTATATAGCTACCCCACAGTAAGAGCCTTGGCTCTATATATATATTTAAACAGATTAAATTTCATAAAAAAATCTTTTTTGAGACTATGCTACCATTCTAACATTTTAATAGTCAATTACAAGAATTATATCTCTTGATAACTGTACTAAGCACTTCTACAAACATCAACTAACTCATTAGCTATAATTCTGGAAAGGAAGAAGTTAAAAATATAAATAAGCTGCAGGCTTTTCGCCAGGTCTTCTGACTCTACTAGCCCTCTTACATCAAACCACAGTTACTTCTCTTGTGCAAACATATAAATACAAAATAAACCTCTTATTTCACTCATGGTACACACACTAAAGGTAAATAAGGTAAAATGTAGACAGCTCTTAGAAAATCATGAGATTATTTGCTACAGCAGTAACTTTCATTATCTCTTCATAATGTTTAAAATAATAAGATGGGGGAAATACAATGAAAAACACAATAATTATCACTAATATATATTATGGCATACCTATCACTGTTTTCAAAACTTCCCTGTACTTAAATGGGACAATCACAGAGTGCTCATTTTCTCACAGGTAGAAGAATGACATCCAAAGTGTGGTCTCTGAACTGCCTATAGTTTCCTCCCTACCACCAGGGGAAGTGATAAACTAACCTAATGATCTTTCAAGGAAATCGCATGGCTACCAACAACCAGAATACCTATTGTTAGTAGCAAAAGTTTGTTTTCTTTAGAGGGGGAGGGAAGACTTTCATAAGTTTCTTCTTAAGAAACAATTTTTTAAGGTGTTCAAAACTGTTTTAACAACTGATGTTTCAATTTCTGCAAATTGAAAAGCTGTAAATGATGTGAAAAGGCCGTTGACAAGGCATTGGTTACAGAAATGAGAGTGGAGCCAGAAGCGGACTCTGACTGAGACACTGGAGGTGAGGACGGGCATGCGGTGACCGACGCGCTCACCCCAGAGCAGAGGGACGTGGTCGGGTAGTGCCGTCGATGCAGGAGTGCATATGGTCTACCTGGCCTAACGCACAATCAGGGTGCCGGTTCTTCCAAGATAGTCGCAAAAACTTTGAGATCAATTCCTATGGAAAATATTAAACGCCTCTCCTTGGATGAGGCCATCGGATGTCACTGCCTGTCTGTAGCAGACAAACAGATTTGAATTACAAATATTACTTTATCCAACAGATAGGCTTTCAAAACCCTCTACACTTTCTATGATATATAGTATTGGTTTTTAAAATATATACATACACAGATACATACACACAAAATACCTCAGAGTTCATTTCCTTATTAGCCATTTCTATCTCCTTTTGTTTGGCAAGGTGATTGGCCAGAATTCCATCCTGTAAGATTCTGGCATTCCGTTCTCGAGTAAGCTGCTTCTGAGTGTCATTTCGCTCTTCTATAACCTGGAGAGACATTATATGAAGCTTTGGGCCCATACCATTAAAAAAAAAAAAGTTAAAAGATTAGGAGAAGAATTGAAAATTTAAAAAACTGTTTAAAGGAAGTAGCCTTTTTAAGCACAAGGATCCTTATTCCCACATGAACAACTCAGATCTTCGTTTAAATGTCTGCTAAATTTATCACAGAGCAAAAACATAGGTAGACATAGTATTGTGAAGGAAAATTTCTTTACAAAGCACTTAACTAGTTCCTTCAGTGTCAAGGCAACTTAGCCTGTATTTTAACATAAAAAAGCCAAAATTAATACATGGATTGGAATTAAGAATACTACTTTGTCTAATGAATTAAAAATGCCAATCATTATGTTAATGAGTAAGCTTGACTTATGTCCATTCCTCCACTCAGAAAACAGACACAGAGCATCTAATTAGAAGCCAAGAATGTCAAGAAATTAATAACTTAAGCTCTAAATGTCATAGTTAATACTTAAGATAGCAATTTTGTTCTAAACCAAAACAATACATATTAAAGGGACAATATGAATAATATTGATGAAATAGTGTCTGAAATTTGAAAATTTCACCAAAGATTGCTCTACCTGATGCAGATCATTTCTTACAGTCTTCAGTTCCATTTCTAGTGCTCTGACAGTGAGTTCAAGTTGCTGTTTCATTTCAACTTCTTTACTATATTGGTCTTCTTTTCTTCTTAACTGCTCCCTAATTTTTTCATACAACATATCAGCATTTCTTCTCTGCTCTTCTTCTTGCTTTAAGGTGAACCTGCAAAATTTATACAGCTCTTCTTAGAAACTCATGAGATTATTCACTGCTACAATAACTTTCATTTCCCCTACATAATGTTTAAAATAGTAAAATGGGGTAAAATACAATGAAGAACACTTAATAATTCTTGCTGTGTTCATGTAGAGGGTTAAGAATTAAACTGCATAAAGTTTTTTTTTTGTCTTGAGAAAAATGACTACTCTATACATCTGTGAGTGGGAATGTAAACTAATATAAACTTATTTAAGAATAGTTTAGAAATATAGACCAAAGACCTTTTTTAAGTTCTCACACGTTGACCAAATAACACAAGATTATTAAAGAAAATGTATTCGAAATAATTAGAAAAGTAGAAATGAATTTATAGAAAAAACATTTCATGTAGTATTAAATATAATACAAAAAAGTGAAAAACAACTGAAAGTCAATTTTCTAAATGATTAATAAGGTTTCCATTATGGTGGACTTCCGTATGGTCATGAAAATGATGATTTGGAAAAATTATTAGGAGCATTCACTGTTAAGAACTTGCTAATTGTTTCCAAGAAAATCACACTCCACAATACTAATGACGTTTTCTCCCCTGTAAAATCCCAGAGGGTAAATTAGGAATTATAACACATCAATGTCCCTGCAGTATTAAAGCAAACAGTTCAAATATGTCTTTAAAACCGAGATGTACAGTACCTCAAACTGCCGAGTTCTCGTTCCCACTCCACTTTCTGATGCTCTAACTGTGATTTCACTTCTTTTGTTTCTGACAGCTCTTTCTGTAGCCCACTAACCTTACTTTCCATTTTTTTAATCTTTCCTCTAAGCAGTTCACAGTGGCTTTTTTTAAGTTCTACTAATCTTTCATACGAAAGAATTGTATCCCGGATTTTCAACAAGCTAACAGAATCTGCATGATGAAGAAAACAAAGATAAAAACAAAAATAATTTTATGTGAGTCATTTTTGAGTATAAAGGACTCTACCTTTCATGTTCACACATCCACACATTGAACAAATATTAAAGGTCTATAATGTGGAAGATATTATTCTAAGCTCTGCAGATAAAATAGATGCCCCTGGCTCTTGTTTAGCTTGAAGTCTAGCAGAAGAGAAAGACAAATAAAATAATTATGACCTCAGACAGATACTCTAAGAAAAGAGAGTTCTATGATCATATAACAGAACTTGACATAGACTGGGTCCAGGAAAGAGTTACCTGGGGAAGAGATGTCACACTGAGACAGGAAGGATGCGCAGGAAGTAGTGAGCAGAGCAGGAAGAACAACACTGTGGACAGTCTGCAGCTGCCACGTGTTTCTAACCAAGACAGAGTGAACAGCTACCGATTTACCTTCCTGAGTGGAGTGAGCAAAAATAACACCGACAAAATACATTAAACAATGATTTTCATGACAAAGGACTTCAGGGAATGAAAGACAATGATCCCGGAAACACAGAGGTTAGCCTAAGGAACGCCCTGCTCACTGCCTTCAGAGAATTATTAAAAAGCAGAGACATTACTTTGTCAACAAAGGTCCATCTAGTCAAGGCTATGGGTTTTCCAGTGGTCATGTATGGATGTGAGAGTTGGACTATAAAGAAAGCTGAGTAGTGAAGAATTGATGCTTTTGAGCTGTGGTGTTAGAGAAGACTCTTGAGAGTCCCTTGAACTGCAAGGAGATCCAACCAGTCCATCCTAAAGGAGATCAGTCCTGGGTGTTCACTGGAAGGACTGATGTTGAAGCTGAAACTCCAATACTTAGACCATCTGATGCGAAGAGCTAACGCGTTTGAAAAGACCCTGATGCTGGGAAAGATTGAGGACAGGAGGAAAAGGGGACGACAGAGGATGAGATAGTTGGATGGCATCACCAATTCAATGCACATGGGTTTGGGTGGACTCCAGGAGTTGGTGACGCACAGTGAGGCCTGGCGTGCTGCAGTTCATGGGGTCGCAAAGTGTCAGACACGACTGAGCGACTGAACTGAACTGAACACGGGGAGAAGGAAAGGAAGCAGAGTCAGCCAGACTCCCTGACAGGAGGTGATGAAGCTGACAGTCTGGTGAGACCAAAACGGGCAGAGATCACAGATCTGAACAGTGGAGAGGAGAGTAGAACAGAAAAAGAACCCTGGAGATCTGAGGAGGAACCCCTCGGGTATTCAGCAGAGGAACGCACAGCGCCCATCTGTGAGAAACCACCTGAGACCAGGGAGAAACCACCTGAACAGACTACAGGAACCCGAGCCTGGTGCTCACTCAGCCCCAGGAATTCTGTCTATTCTCCTGAGCCAGGCTGGGAAAACATCTCCTTACAGTAGAACGAACGGGGTAGTCAGTGAGGTCTTGCCTCCAAGGCAGGAGATAATCAGCGCCAGCCCCAGGGCCCCTCTGGATGCACCTAACAAATCATAAGAAGCAAGAGCACAGAAGGACCTCGGGAAAACTCTCCATCTTTGGAAACAAAATCACACGGATCGAAATAATCCTTGGATCAAAGAGGTAATGAAAAGAAGAATTGCACAGTATTTTGAACTGAAGGGAAATGAAAACGTAAGACCAGCAGACATTTTAGGAAACTGACACGATGATTCTAAAATTCATGTGGAAAGATGGGTAAAAAATAAAACAAGATGAAGCTAGACAATTGTGACCTTTAACCATGAAGCAAAGAGAAGCAACAGTTGGGCTTTAAGCAAAGGGGTAACATGATGAGATCTGAATTTTAAAAAATAGATAATAATTATAGCTGCTGTCTGGACTGAGTTTCTGGGAGGTAGAATAGCAGGGAAAGAAATTCTGAGATTTCAGTTATTCTAGGAGGAAAGTGATGCTAACCTGACCTTGGGTGAAGGTGCAGTGAGTGAGAAGGGTCACAGGCCTGTGGTCGGAGCACACGCTCACTGTCACGTTCTTTTAATACAGAACATACTTCTGAGAGGCACAGCACTGTAACGTATCCCTGGCCCTAGAGCACTTCTAGACAAAGTGTACATGTATCACTACTACACCACACACAAACAGGCATTGTACTTATACTTACACTGCAGACCTACCTTTACACCCCGTGTCAAGCTGTTCAATCAGCAACATGGAATTCTTACAGTAAAGCAACTCGCCATCTTCGGAAGCTGTTTCAGATGACTGAGTTAAGTCACCAAGGTCATCCACAGAATTAATCTGTTCTTTGACCTACACATAAACAATACTACTTCACAATGTCCTTAAAATATTTATAAAACATAGTAATTGTACAAAGGTGATAAATATCTCTTCATTAAAGCAAAAACACTTTTTAAAATGACACATTTTTTTATCAAAAGGATAACTTTATCAATAGTGTTTCTAAATTAAGTTGTCAAAGTATATCTCTCTACAACAAAGAAAGATTTTGTATTTTGCTACCATTCCTTTTACAAATTATTTTTTACTAGGAAAATATTTTTTATAGTTAACTTTTGACTATACCTTGTTATTTTCATTAGATGTTTTCTTTGCAGGCCTAAAAAAACAAATGATTCTTTTTAGGCTAATATTAAATACTTAAAAATACAAATACGGAAACTTTGTTTTGTATATAAAACCTTTGCATGGGCATTGGTAAGTAATTTTTTATAAAAGGATTAAAACAATAAAGAAGAGTAACATTAAAGGACAAAGAAAATACATTTATAATACTAATAAACCATTGAATTTAGATCAAAGAAAAGGAAAAACATAACATTACTTGCATTATGTGAAGGGAACCAGTGTACCAGGATTTCTTGCAGTTGTCATTTTCAATAAGAACTATGCTTTACAGCAATAAAACCTATCTGGGAAGTATTCCTTAAGTCCTTATAAGAAAGAAACCCATTTTTAATTGTTTTGGTTTTTTTTAGAAACCCATTTTTAATAACCATGATATTAGCCTTCTGAGGACAGCCTATGCAACTGCTATGCATTATTAAAAGCACTTTATATGTCTTAATGGAATTTTAATCCTCACAAATATTCTGGAAGAGAGGTAACACATTAGGTCCTCTACATGGGAAGAGAAAGGCTGAGTAAGTCGCCCAAGCCCACACAGCAGGTCACCAACAGACCCAGAATTCAAACCCAGGAAATCTGGCTTCAACACTGCGGCTGCAAAATATGCTGAGAAAGTAATATTTAAATAAGTCTTCTTAAGTAATATGATAGCACATGAATCTATATTATTATTCCATGTCCAGTTATAACTATAAATAATAATTTCTGAATCTTAACACATGTTTCTCAAAAAATAAAAAGACTTTAGAGGTAGGCAATATTGGAAATCTACTTTCACTAAAGACTTGCTTTTGTAAAGAAATTTATCAGTAGGCATTCATTCAACCACTCTTCTCTTTATTCATGAATCTGATATACACTTACTTAGCACATAATACGTGTTAATAACACTCTTACTACCGGAAGCATAGTATTTCTAATTTAGAATTTCATAAACCAAAATTAATCATTTGTGAAAGATTGTTAGTAGTTTTTTTTATTGAATATAAACAAAATTTTCCCCTTTTCCTTGGAATCTATAAACAACTATGAAATTGATATGATGTAATGTTTCAGAGTACCTTACAAAATCATAGCTACTCATGATGTTACTGTCAACTAGAATCATCAAGGAATGATGACATCCTATTCAGTATAGCCTAAGTGTGTGTAAGTTCACGATTATATAATTTTTTAAAATCTGTGTAGGACAGAATTAACTGAACTAATCATCCACACATGCAATTACATAGGAATATTACTTCAGAACCAACAAACAAACCCTTACCATAAAACTACATATGAACAGAAGTATTATGTACGATTAGTTTACTGTAATAGTTTAAAGATAATGTCATACAATCAATAAGCTTTCTAATATTGGAAATGCAAACAAGATTAAACTCAATAAACACGTCTTCTGCTGGCTTATTTCTAACAGCATACATACTCTAAAAGCTCCCATCTTAAAAAAAAACGAGAAACTCCTTCGAACTCCACATTCCTCTTCAGTTACTATCTAGTTCTGCATTGCCTGTCCCAACAAATATTCCCTACAGGGCTATTTACATCTATTCACTACAGTTCAGCTTTCAAGAAGACTATGTACTGAAACGATTTCTGGCCAAAGACACTGGCCCTCACTTTAACCTTTCAGCAGTGTTTGTCCACTACAGTTGAGGAATCTCTTGTCTTGGCCTGTACACTATATTATGCTGCTCTATTTCCAGAAGAAGTATTCAGTGCTTACTTCTTCCTCTAGAAATAAAGAATTTGTAGATATTACCTGTCATCATCCTGATCCACTTCACTTAAAATGCTGTCATCATTAACATGCAGCAGACCACCAGTCAGTGAATCAGTCTTTTCAAATATTGGTGCAATCACACATTCTTCTGGTGTCCATTTGCCACAGTTCTTTTTCTTTATTTCCTTCCTGTGCACGCCAGGATCGCTACTTTAAAAAAATCCACAAAAAAAGCCAATGTTTTCTAATAATTCAACTGATAAAGAATAAAAAAACAATTCTTGTAAAATTCCAACTCTTACCCATCTTAAGTCATTGATTAATTCACAAAATAGTTATAAAGTACTAACCATATGCAAGAAAACAAATTCTTGCCTCAAAGACAGGTATACAATTATGACATGATGTGACATGTACAAGTTGATATGTGAAAGTTATCAGTGAAATAAGGAAGGCTTTACAGAAGAAGTGGAGAGAGTAGGTTACAAAGAAGAAAAAAGGGAGAAAACCATTCTACTTGGAGGTTAGAATACGAGCACAAAGATCAGGCACATGGCATCTAGGCTGTTTCCTAGGAAACTGGAAGGAAAAGCACGAAACACATGAAAGGAAGCAGATGCATCTTTGGAAAGACAGTGGGAAGAACCTCAAGGGCTACCCCGGAAACCTGGAGTCCACTGCCTAGACACAATGACTCTCACCCATGGGAGTCATAATTAGATTTACACTGTACTGTCTGTTTTGCTTTTAAATACAATAATGCTTAATTTAGGGATTTCCCTGGTGGTCCAGGACTTAGGAGACTACCTGCCAATGAGGGGACACCGGTTCGATCCCTGGTCCAGGAAGATCCCACATGCCATGGGGCAACTAAACCCATGCTGCACAACTACTGAAGCCAGCACCCTAGAGCACATGCTCAGCATCAAGAGAAGTCACCACAATGGGAAGTCCAAGCTCTGCAGCAGCAAAGAACCAGCGCAGCCAAAAAGAAGAAAAACCTCAAAGAAAAAAGTAATGCTTAATTTGGATGCTTTTTTAAATCATGCGGCACATATACCATGAAAGGAAAAATCAAGGAAATATTTTTGCGGTGGGGGGGTGCGGCAGGAGGCGAGGCAGTTTACTTTTAAACCACCCACATGATTCGGTGATTTCAGCATTACAGCTAAAAAACCAGGACCTCATCAGTTCCCCCGCCACCAACAACAATTTGGCTTCCATCTATGGACATACTCAAAGTGATATGAGAAAAAAACCTGCCAACCAAGAATACTCTATCCAGGAAGTTATGTTTCATAAATGAAGGAGAAATAAAAACCTTCCCAGAGAAACCAGAGCTGAGGGAGTTCCTCACCACTAGACCTGTTTCATAAGAAATGCTGAAAGAAGTCCTCAAACGGAAATGAAAAGATGTTAAGTAGTGACATAAAATATATTTAAATATACAACACACTGGTAAAGGCAAGTAGGCAGTCAAATTCAGAATACTCTAATACTGTAATATGGTGGTAAGTTAAGAAATTAACTTTAGTATTATGGCTAAAGGACAAAAGAGTAAAAATAACTATATCCATAGCAAAATGTAAAATGTGATAATCACAACCATTAGCTCAGTTCAGTTCAGTTCAGTCGCTCAATCGTATCCAACTCTTTGCAACCCCATGAACTGCAGCACGCCAGGCCTCCCTGTCCATCACCAACTCCCAGAGTTTACCCAAACTCATGTCCACTGAGTCAGTGATGCCATGCAACCATCTTATCCTCTGTTGTCCCCTTCTCCTCCTGCCCTCAATCTTTCCCAGCATCAGAGTCTTTTCCAATGAGTCAGCTCTTCGCATCAGGTGGCCAAAGGATTGGAGTTTCAACTTCAACATCATTCCTTGCAATGAACACTCAGGACTGATCTCCTTTAGGATGGACTGGTTGGATCTCTTAGCACTCCAAGGGACTCTCAAGAGTCTTCTCCAACACCACAGTTCAAAAGCATCAATTCTTCAGCGCTCAGCTTTCTTTACAGTCCAACTCTCACACCCAAACTTATTTCAAAGAAAAATAACACATGACCTGCTGTTAAATAAGCTTACCTATCAGAACCTTCATTCTCCATAACAGCAAACTCCTGATTGCTGTTTCCTCCACTCTTTCTCTGCTGAATCAATCCACTCTCATCAGCAGTATCACATACATTGTCTGATACTTCCACTTCACTGCTTTTGTGCTTCTTCTTTTCGTCTTCAACCTTTAATGAAAGTTTGACACTAAGAAATTCTGTTACTTAATTATAAACATCTTTTAGTTGTTGTTTTCATTCATTTTATTATTTGACTCAGGGTTTGGCCTGATTTTAAGTGATAAAACAATCTTTTTGTGCTTACTTTAATTTTATCACTAACAAGTCACTGAAATATTTGTAAATCCTACTTCTTCTTGTTTGGCGAAAAGAAACAAAATTTCCAAAATTTCAAAAAAGGCTTTCTTAAGATGATGCAATTATTCATCCCCAGTCTTCCCCATCTAACTGGCAGAGATAGAGAAAAAAAAAGACAAAACACACAAAATCTGTCCTTTTCAGTATTTACCACCTGGATTTTCCATTAAACAGCCAGATTTAGAGGATGTGACCCCTTAGTGCCTCAAAAACACTAAAGGTATTCTTTCCCCACTGCCATTTACATTTCTTTGTTCATTGGGATCCAGGCTATAACAAAAAACTGATGGTGTTCACTAAAATATATGAACCAAAGTTTACCAAAACACAAGGAGCAGAGTGAAACTGATGAGTTGTTAGTCTGGAATTCTGGAATACAAATAATGCTTCCCAATTTCACATTCAATAACCATCAAACTTTATAGCTAGAGGGTATAGAAATAATTACCTATTGTAGCCCCAGTATTTACCAGAAATAGGAGTAAAACCAAGAAAGGTTAAATGATTTTTTTGTCTTTTCTTTTTCTTTTTTTTAAAATTAATTTATTTTTTAATTGAACAAAATTGCTTTACAGAATTTTGTTGTTTTCTGTCAAACCTCAACATAAAGCAGTCAAAGTTATACATATATCCCCTGACTTTTGACCTCCCTCCCATCTCCCTCCCCATCCCACCCTCTAGGTTGATACAGAGCCCCTGATTGAGTTTCCTGAGCCAGACAGCAAATTCCTGCTGGCTATCTTTTTACATACAGTAATATAAGTTTCCATGTTACTCTTTCCATACATCTCACCCTCTCTTCCCCTCGCCCCAAGTCTATAAGTCTATTCTCTATGTCTGATTTTCTCCACTGCTGCCCTGTAAATATATTCTTCAGTACCATTTTTCTAGATTCCATATATATGCATTAGAATACAATATTTATCTTCTCTTTCTGACTTACTTCACTCTGTATAATAGGTTCTAGGTTCATCTACCTCATTAGAACTGACTCAAGTGCGTACCTTTTTATGGCCGAGTAATAGTCCATTGTGTATATGAACCACAATTTCTTTATCCATTCATCTATTGAGGGACATCTAGGTTGCTTCCACGGAGAAGGTGATGGCACCCCACTCCAGTATCTTGCCTGGAAAATCCCATGGACGGAGGAGTCTGGTAGGCTGCAGTCCATGGGGTCTCGAAGAGTAGGACACAACTGAGCGACTTCACTTTCACTTTTCACTTTCCTTCATTGGAGAAGGAAATGGCACCCCACTCCAGTATTCTTGCCTGGAGAATTCCAGGGACGGCAGAGCCTGGTGGGCTGCTGTCTACGGGGTCGCACAGAGTCGGACACGACTGAAGCGACGTAGCAGCAGCAGCAGCAGCAGGTTGCTTCCATGTTCTAACTATTGCAATAGTGCTGCCATGAATGATGGGATACATGTGTCTTTTTCAATTTTGGTTTCCTCAGGGTATATGCCTAGGAGTGGGATTGCTGGGTCATATGGTAGTTTTATTCCTAGTTTTTTAAGGAATCTCCATACAGTCTTCCATAGTGACTGGATCAACTTACATTCCCACCAACAGAGCAAGAGCATTCCCTTTTCTCCACACCCTCTCCAGCATTTATTGCTTATAGACTTTTTGATGATGGCCATTCTGACTGGTGTGAGGTTATATCTCAAGTGTAGTTTTGATTTGTATTTCTCTAATAATGAGCAATGTTGAGCATCTTCTCATTTGTTTGTTAGCCAACTGTATGTCGTCTTTAGAGAAATGTCTCTTTAGGTCTTTTGCCCACTTTTTGATTGGATTGTTTTTCTGGTATTGAGTTGTATGAGCTGCTTGTATATTTTGGAAATTAATCCTTTGTCAGTTGTTTAATTTGCTATTATTTTCTCCCAATCTTAGGGCTGTCTTTTCACCTAGTTTCCTTTGCTATACAAAAGCTTTTAAGTTTAATCAGGTCCCACTTGTTTACTTTTGTTTTTATTTCCATTACTCTAGGAGGTGGGTCACAGATGATCTTGCTTTGATTATGTCATCGAGTGTTCTGCCTATGTTTTCCTCTAAGAGTTTTATAGTTTCTAGTCTTACATTTAGGTCTTTAATCCATTTTAATCCAGTCGAGCTGGAGAAATCAACCTTCTTGACTTCAGATTATACTACAAAGCTACAGTCATAAAGACAGTATAGTACTGGCACAAAAACAGAAATAGAGACCAATGGAACAAGACTGAAAGCCCATGCACCTACGGGTACCTTCCTTTTGACAAAGGAGGCAAGAATATACAATGGGGCAAAGACAGCCTCTTCAATAAATGGTGCTAGGAAAACTGGACAGCTACATGTATAAGAATGAAATTAAAACCCTTCCTAATATCATACACAAAGATAAACTAAATGATTTCTTCAAAGCCCCTAAAGTGGCATTCCCTGGCATTTTATGGCACCAAAACAGATGATAAAATTCTATAACCTTGAATCTGATAAATTACCAAATGAATTCATCAAATGAATCAGGTAAGTTAAAAGTGTGACTTTGCCCAAGTAATTTAATGCCTTAGCTGGGGATAGGGCTGATCTCCTTTTTCTTTTAAAGGAGAATACCTATGGATTTTTGTCTGTTGTTAAAACTCAGTCAAGGCACCTCTTACACAAAAGAGCAAACAAGCAAAGAAATTTAAAAATCTATTACTGGAAGGAAGAAAAATCTCACAGCGTCTCAAAACTCAGTTTTCTCCTTTGGAGATAAACACTTAATTTGGGGGGGTTAGGAGTTTATACTACCTATGTGACAAAATCACATGTGTCAAAACTTACTACATTTTAGTAAACAACATAATGGAAAGGTCTGTCTCAAAAGAAACATCTGCAAGTGATGATTAAAGAATATGTGGGAGTACATGTGAAAGTTAAAGTGAAAGCCACTCAGTTGTGTCCAACTCTTTGCGACCCTATGGACTATACGGACCATGGAGTTCCCCAGGCCAGAATAGGGGAATGGATAGTCTTTTCTTTCTCTAGGGGATCTTCCCAACCCAGGAATCGAGCCCAGGTCTCCTGCACTGCAGGCAAATTCTTTACCAGCTGAGCCACAAGAGAAGCCTTATACATGTATTGGGAAGGAAGTACATGTATTTGTTGTTATATTTTTTATTTTTTAAATTTGTTTTATATTATTCTATTTTTTATTTTATTTTTATTGTTATTACATTTGTTATTACATACATAAAGGGAAGGGAGTACATGTATTTGTCATTAAAAATATCCTGACGTGGCCATGTTGGAAATCTAAAATTTATTAAAATTTAACTCTTAAACTTCTTAATCTATGCTTAGCTACTCACAAGTAACTGGGTCACAAGTAAGAAGTGAAAAATAACTTGCCTTAGCCTAAAATGGGGGAAAAACATGAACTCACAAACCCAATTTTGTCATTGTTTGAGTTAAAGAATTCATATATGTTAAATCTACCAAAAATTAATTAGATGATTTTTAATGTTATAAAGACTTCCTCACTTAAAAATATTTCACCTCATTATATCTTAAACAGTGAGTCCCTACAGCACATTTGTCAGATTTTTGTTTTTTTTTTTTTTAAGGACTAGTATGTGCAAAACAGACAAACTTTATATTACTAGGCACCAAAATCAAATTAACAACAATCAGAAAGAGGAACAAATCCATAAATTTTAATGCAAATTATATATTATGATAGTGTTATTCATCAATACATATTACCTGCTTACATTCAGCTATGTGTGTGCTCAGTCATGTCCGACTCTGTCAATCCTTATGGACTGTAGCCCGCCAGGCTCCTCTGTCCATGGGGATTCTCCAGGCAAGAATCCTAGAGTAGGTTGCCACACCCTCCTCCAGGGGATCTTCCCAATCCAGGGATTAAACCTAGGTCTCATTACAGGTGGATTCTTTACCATCTGAGCCACCAAGGAAGCCTAACAATACTGGAGTGGGTAGCCGAACCCTTCTCCAGGGGAATTTCCTAACCCAGGAAATGAACTGGGGTCTCCTGCATTGCAGGCGGATTCTTTACCAGCTGAGCTACCAAGGAAGCCCCTACATTCAGTTATATTATATTCTAATATCTACCAATGAAAGTGGATAAAGCATTTTTAGTAATATTTACTGATTTCTCATCCCAAAATGAGAAAAATTAGAAAGTTACTATTTGTGCCCTAACAACAAAGGTCCAATCTGGAAGCTTCGACTCTTTTTTTTTTTTTTGGTATTTTTTTATGTATTTATTTTTAATGGAAGGATAATTGCTTTACAGAATTTTATTGTTTTCTGTCAAACATCAAAGTGATCTTTGTCTTTTAAATAGAGTATTAGATCCAGTTTATTCAGTATAATTACTGATATATTTATCTTTAAATTTGCCATATTAACTTTGTTCTTTTCTGTTTATCTTTCTGATTCTATATTCTTTTTTCCTCTTTAATGACCCCACTCTCTCCCTGAAAGTACATCCCTAATCAATTATGCCGAGATCACAGACAGAATGAATCTTTCATCTTGGCATCACTGACTGACAATTTCAATGGAAAACCTTGAACCACTGGGAATGATTTCTCTCTACACATATCTAGGTCAGGGATCATCATTGTCATATTCTTCATAATTTCAAGTGTTTACTCTTACAATTCAGTATTTGATATCACCTTCATAATCATGTAATGAAGTTATAAAAATGGAAGAAGTAAACAATAGTCAGGAAATTTTTTCCCCTCAATTCCAAAAACAAGCTATAAATATAATAGATTCTAACAATATTTGAAGTTTTATAATTAAGGTGCCATAAAAACTATTAAATTATTATCTATCAATTCTAAAAGGCTAATTTTGAAAGGTAATTTTATTTGTTATGACCTCTGTTACACACTGTACTTATGCTGTTGAAGCATAGGAAACAGTATTAAACCAGGAATTTAAATTTACATTTTTACATACCTGGGAATGGTTATTTTCATCTCCAACAGGTTTTTCTTCTTCTTCCTCTGATGTCATTTCTAAGTCTAGTTCTGCTGACAAATCTGTATGTTTAGTTAAAATTACTTAGAATATTTACATAAAAGACATAATCTTTATTTAAAACATAGATTTAAAACACTGTATCAAATGACATCTTAAATCAATCTCAATCTTCAGCTGAATATTCACTTCTTTAAGAAATACTTCCAATGATCTAAAATTTCAACAATTTGGAAAATACCAGATGTTACCAGGATACAGGCACACAAACAGCTCAAAGATTCATTCACAAAATCACCCAAACATCAATGAACAAAACAATCAGAAACCAAACAAATTTCAAAATACAGGACAGACATATAAAGTCACAATATGTTCTCTTCTCTACTTTGTAACAGTACCTTTTTAACAACATGCCAAGCTTCAACTGCAACATTACTCATGATTTACAAAATTCCTCTTACTTTTTGTACTTTTATCAGTTCCTTAATCTGAAATGCTTTCCTGTACTCTTCTGAAAAATTACTTTTCATCTTATAAGACTCAGCCTGCTTTGTGAAGTTGTCCTTAATAACAGCTATCTTTCCTCAGATAAACAGATATCCCTTTCTTTGTAGCTACCTTAGTACTTTTAAGATTTTTCTAGTGTATCTTCATCACCTGAATTGTAAATTATTTCTTCACATGTCTAACTTCTTGGCTCCTAGACTGCACAGGACAAGCTCCTAAAAATCAGTTTTGAAAAAGTAGTCCTTATTTATTTTATTCAATAATTATTTATCAGCTTTCTGCTCTATGCTAGACACTGGAGTTGAAAGAAAAATGTAGATGAAAGATGTCAGGGAATGCTTTTCTAGAGATGATGCCTGAGCGGAGACTTGCACAGTTCAAGGGAAAGAGAGGGAAGGCATGCAAGGCTATAGCAAGACGGGCAGAAGCACACACAGGAGAGGGTAAGTATCTGTCCAAAGTACAGGGTCAGGTGAGGAAGGTGTCAGCAGCAGCTCAGGATTCCACAGCAAATGACAGAAAGGGTGCGAGATGGAGAGTCAGGCAGAAGTCAGATTACAAAAGCCTCACGTGTCACTTTACAATGCCTGGACATTAATGTGATTTGAAGAGTGGTTCACAGTCACACTTGCTTTTGAAAGAGGTGACTGTAAATGCTACAAGAGGAATGAATTTGAAGGGCATACAAATAAATGGAGGGAGATGAATCTGAAGGCATTATTAATGGAAAAAAACAAAGGTGATCCAGGCCTGAACTGGGGGAGCGTTTCCAGAAATATTTAGGATATAAAATTGTCTGAGTCCAGTATAGAATAAATCTTTATGAAATGGATAAATGTACAAATCCAGGGGCCCTGAAGGAGTAGACTCTGCTGGTTACTTTATAAAAGATATCGACTGAGATGGGAAATGATCTACATGAACGGTCTGAAGTTGCTTCTATTTATTTTGTAGTTTTCCTATTCCACATCTTCCTCTGTTGAAGGAACTGGATAGGTTTTATCTGAATTTATGTTTCGTGGACATACCAAGCTAATGGAGAAACAAGGGCAAACAAGTCACTTCTATAGATAAAAAAAAAAAAAACACTTTGAGTTTACAGCTTGTAGTCACTATTCTAGGAAATAACTGAGAATCCTTTGTAAATGCAAAGTTAACCCTATAGGTGAGGAGAGAAAAGAAAAAACTAGGAGTGAAAAAAAGAAACTGTATGATTTCTTACTATAGCTCTGATCATATGACTGATTAAAGGTGCTAAATTAATTGGTATTTATGGACAACACATATTAGACATGGTTATTCAATAGACTGGGCATCCTAGTAGAATCAGAACTGACTTTCTATACACTGCTTTTAAATGATACAGCACTCCTTCAATATTGCTGTGAAGTTACATTTTGAGAAGGCAATCTCTAGATGTCTACCTAGGTCTCCCAACTAGTCCCAGAGTTCTAAATATAATCCTGCTACCCATGTTCAGGTGTAGGATAAATACTAGGCTAAACGAACTTACTTTCTCCTAACTCTCTTTGTATTTATTGTATTATTATGGTCAGAGGGAGAATGCAAACACCTTGCTAAGAGGTATTTATTGGCTGTAGGTTGCATAAAAGGAGTCAGCACAAGGGAGCTTTCACCACAAAATCTAATTTGGAACCGTCAGAATGATGGTAAGGCCGTGCCCAGGTGGCCCAAGCTGAGTGCTCTAGGCTTCTGCATTACCTTCTTTGCTTTCTCTGTTTTCTGGCAGCTGAGACTGGCTCAGGTCATGGAGCGTGTAATTCCCTACCAGAAACACTGCTCCAATATTGATCTTTTATCTATTACATCTGTTCAAATTCTGTGGATACTGACTGATTTTTGGTCATTGATTGTGACACCAGTGGACACTGATCAACTTTTAAATGCCCTGCTCTTTGATAAGTCTCATTATTGAGGCTCAAACTAGTAGAATCGGAATCTGAAAAATCTGAAAACAAAGTTTCCATTTATTAGAATGTCAGTAAGAATACAGCTCTAACTAACTTGTACAAAGTCTTTCTTCAGAGAATCAGTTTCATGTCCTCCTCTCCCCTCAAACTCACCAGTCCTTCAGAGCTTATTATGTCTTACACTTCACTGCCATTCATGAAGAGACGTTAACTTGTGTCTCATTTTTTTCTACTTGCTAATTTTCTAGTATTACTTATTTGATTCACTCAATCTGAGTTACATATTCTGTATTCCATAAGAACTTTATTAATAATTATTTTTCTTCAACATACAAATATTTTATTAACAAAATTTATGTCATTTATTTTACATTTAATTATACATGACAATATTGTATATTCTAGAGACCACGGTTTTAAAAACACTTTTAATGAATGGTACTACCTTAATTAATGGTACAAACCAAGACAATGTATTAAAAAGCAAAGACATCACTTTGCTGACAAAGGTCTGTACAGTCAAAGCTATGGTTTTTGCAGTAGTCACATAGGGATGTGAGAGTTGGACCGTAAAGAAGGCTGAGTGCCAAAGAACTGATGCTTTCAAATTGTGCTGCTAGAGAAGATTATTGAGAGTCCCTTGGAGAGCAAAGAGATCAACCAGTCAATCCTAAGGGAAATGAACCCTGAAAAGACACTGGAAGGACGGATGCTGAAACTGAAGCTCCAATACTTTGGACACCTGATGTGAAGAGCCAACTCACTGGAAAAGACCCTGATGAAGAAAAAGATTGAAGGGAGGAAACGGGGATAGCAGAGGGTGAGATGGTTGGATAGCATCACTGATTCAGTGGACAGGACCAGGCGAACTTGGGGAGATGGTGAGGGACAGGGAGGCCTGGCGTGCTACAGTCCATAAGGTCACAGAGACTTGGACACGATTTAGTGACTGAACACCACCACCAACAGCTACTTTAATTACAATGAGACAGCCTTTTCTCAATGTATCATATCTTCAGAATCCATTTTTTAAGCCTTGGATAAACATCATAAACTTATATAAGAAATGATAGGCTTGTGTGTGACTAATTATTTCCATGTGAAAATAGGATAAGTCCAGGACCACACTGGATCCAAAAAGCACAGAGCACCATGAGACAAGAATGAATACAACACAGAAATATTTGCTTAAAAAAAAAAAAAAAGCTGTCAGGTCTAAATTTCTTAAGAGAAGTCAAAGAAACAAGCAAGAAATGTAAAAGTGAAACTTTAAACCCTGTTTCAACTCAAGGCCCCCTTTATCATTTCACATCTAACCACTTCAACAATTTAAAACTGTGGTTCTCAAGTGTGCCCTGAGAATTCCTGAAGTCCAGAGACCCATCGGGTCAGGGGGTCCAAGAGGTCAGAACTATTTTCACAACACTAAACATTACTTCCATTCTCATTCTCTTCTGAGTGCACAGTGGAGTTCTTCAGAGACACGATATGTGATATTATAACTCTAATGACAAATCCATTATGATTCTGTGTTCTTGTATTTTAAGTTTTTCAGCTTTGTTTCCCAATACAGTGAACATCAATAAATATAACCTATTTATACAAAAGTTCCATGGCATTCTCAATAATTTTTAGAAGTACAAAAGGATCCTAAAGCCAAAATTTTCAGAATCACTATTTTTAAAGATTATATCTATAAAAGTCATTAAAGCATGAGTACTTCCCCTACTTCTAATAATCAAAGACACCACAAACACAACACACACACAAAGTCTGCTGAACAAAACATCTGGTTGGCCTACATTCATCTGTGTAACAACACTAAAATGAAATAATTACAAGTTGAAATACAACTGACATATTAGCAAGTGAAGCTTTACTCTAGGTAAAAGTCAGAGTTCAAATAAGCATTTTTGGACACTGGGAAAATCTTAGGATCTAATAATTAATTTCTGAGAATCCCTAAGAAGTATACAGATTCCAAACTGAGAACTTCAGGGTATTGAAACATATACAGAAACATATTGAGTTCAAGCTTACATTTTAAAAATTTCTTGTTCTTATGCTTATACATATCTCTTTTTACAAAACATGGATATCAATAATAACATTTGCCTTATGTATGTCAAAGTCTTCAATTAAATTTTCAGGAAAAAAAAATGTTAGGAGTATGAAGACTGAGCATCTCAAATGTTTCAGTGTCCCTCTTTCCAGAGTTACATGTGTATTGCAAAATTTACCTGAAGTGGATGTTTGCAAATCCTTCATTCCGACTGTTTTATTAGTAACAGAATCTTTCACTAAGACTGTAGGCTGAATGGGTTTGGAAACAATTTGATTAATAAATAATGTACATATAATAGAATCCACTATTGATAATTCAAGATAAAAACATAAACATTTTTACCTTCACGTTAGGATATTTCTCAGGAGAATCTAAAACGCAAAAGGGACATAGAGTTAACTACATGTAAATATGAAAGCCAGCTCTACATTCATGCAAAGTTAGTACTGAGCAGAAATCCTTGTGCTCAGCCTTGGCAGTGAATACATTCGGTTTTAGTGTCTTGTTTTCAGGGGGATGTTAAGGCACCAGAAAGACAGACTATGAATCCACTATAGATAGTGAAGGGAAAATAGAAATACAGGTTTAACAAAACATGCAGTTAAGATTTCAAAAGTAACATTACATTTTCAATGACTTTATAAAAATATTAAAGTGCACACAGACCAATGTGAACATGCCGACTGATGAGGAGAAAAGTGATCTTAATCAGAGGAACAAATCATGACCCCAAGAAGATAAATGTGAAAGTAGATGGTAAAATGCAACAGCATTATCTTGAATGCAATACAGCAGTATCATTAACACCATTATACCACAAGTATTTATCATGTTCTTCAATCTGTCCAATCATTAAACAAGTGCACAGCTGGAATGACAGTTCAACTGAATGCATAATTCATTTCTCATCAGAGAAAGAGTAATGAACTGATTAGCTGGGATACACACTTGTAGAATAATGGTTCATAAAAATATTCACTTTTTTCCATACCCATGTGGACTACTGGTATGCCTACATGTCTTGGCTCCTCTAGTTTAGCCATCTTAAAATTTCTCGATCCAATCATGCAAGAAGGTATATAAGACACATCTAGAAAATAATGTATAATAAGTTCTCAATATTGAAATACAATTATCAAAAAGGAAATAATAAATTTAACTATCATACAATTACTAGATATTAAAAATTCTGCATGTTTCAAAATCAGTGTAGTACTTATCAAAAATAACAATTCTAGCATTTGGGGAATGAACCCTACTAATCTGTTTTGTTTCAAAACTTAGTTTGGTCTGGTACACCATGCTACTGCTTCAAAGGATTTCTGTGAAACAACTTTCAAAAAAAGTCAATGCCCCCATAATCAAATTCATCTAATTTGAATAACAAATACCGATACAACATATATCTTTGATGCCTGATAGGTATTTGGAATGGCTGGGGTTTCTCCCACTTCTAGCACCCCCTCCCACCTCCAGTATTCTCTGGAGCAACAATGATCTTATCTCTTCTCAGTGCAAAGACACTGAACCGTCTAGAAGGAGTTCCTTCAAGTTTCCTCACTCCAAGCTCAACTCCCTAAGGCCTTACTTTCTTCCCTCCGTCCTTTCACTAGATTCTTTCCTCTATAAAGGGTAATCTCTGGATCTGTGGTCTTAATTCTTCCCCCTTTACATTCTTTCTATGGATCATCCCCACCACTTCTTTTTCCCTCTTTGCTTGGCAATAGTATCTTCAACTCTTTGCCTCCCTCTGGCTATAGACACGTTTAGAAGAAAAACAAAATAATGCTTTTCCTTGATTCTATTGTGTCCTGCACTCTCCAAAGCTCTACTTCCAGATTTCTCTAAATGCAAGGCTACACCCTTGCTACTCGGAGAGCTTGTTAGAAACACAGATTCTCAGACTTCCTGCTCAGTATGTGCACTTCACACAAGGTACCCAGGCTACTAGTTAAAATTTGAGAAACTCTGGTCTATACTGAGCCTGCTTCTACATTACTTCAACTTAATTTATTCTCCTGAAATCTTAGCATCAACTTCCTCACTCTAACACTTCCCCCTAAACTGAAACTACAAGTTGGAAACTTTCCAGTGGACTCTCTATCGGGCTGTAGATTCCTTTATCTCCCTATCATGCCCCCTGCTCTCTCCTTCTTTCCAGTTCTTTTATGTTGGCCTATGTGACACCATCTTATAAAGCAGCAACATTTCGTATGACACCAATTTGCAAACATTTACAGCTGAGCACCTATTCCCGTGCTCCTCCACAGAGGATAACACACAGCTCTGCATGCCCAGGGACCTCAATCCTGAATGCCTTCTTAAAAATGAGGAAAACAGTAAGAGGGGGAAAACTTTGCTATCCTTCTCTGACAAGTTTTGGTATTGGCAGCTCACTTCAAACGCATCATCTATATCAAATACTCTCCCTTTTTCTAAAGAGTTATCTTACTTATGGCCACCTTCCCCACAGACCTGTCCTTCCTTTTCCTTCATTCCCTCCCTATACCCTCTGCCTCTCTAATCCTTCATTCCCTCTTTCCTCTTGTTTCTCAACCTTCCTTAGGTCATAGGGTATCTTGGAACAGAATTAATTTTTTATTTTTTTTTGCGCCCATGTGTCAAATGGAATCTTAGTTCTCTAAGTAGAGATCAAACCAGCACTCCCTGCATTGGAGATTCTTAACCGCACAGAGTCCTAACCACTGGACTGCTAAATAATTTAGCTCCTGAAACTGGATTCTCAATTTAAACTGTGGCTGATATCTGATAAGATACACTATTTCCCTCCTTTTCTTGTCTTTTACCTCACTACGCATGACAGGTGATTTTCTTTGCCTATTAGAATATATCAGCATTTCCATTTAAAATCAATATTCTTTCAAATGACTTTTCTATAAAATATAGTTCTTACCTTCTACTTGTCCATTTAACGTATTTTTTCCTCTTTGACCAGCAGCTCCAGATAAAAGATCCACATATTTCTGTGGAAGATTCTCAGAGATACTCTGTTAAAATTAATATTGAGTTGCATGAAGATTTCCTAATTCCTTTTGAAGAAAATATCCTACTTTTAAAAACTGCCTACATTTAACCCGGTTAAGCCAGGTTTGCCAAGATCTCAAAGCTGCTAAGTGACAGATTCAGGATGCTGACTTCAAACAGGGTGCTGTATCACCAGGCAGTGACTACATCTAGAGATCAGGCCCTTATCTCCTTCCGTAGCTGCCACCTTCAAACAGAGCATCGTTACTTTGTTACTTCAAGTACGGCTGCCATAAAGGTACTCTGCGTGTGCCACACTATCCAAAATGGCTTGTACTTACTAAAACATCACAAAGCAAAGCTAACTGCTGTTATTATAATACCACATATTTCTTACTATTCCCTATGCTTTTGCTTCTCTTGAAATGTTCCTTGCAGATTAACTTGACAATCCAAATGTAATAATACTTTCAAGTTTCAAGCACTATCTTTTCAATGTTGATGTGGTAAAAAAAAAAACCACAATTCAGCCCGTTTCTCTCTGGCCCTCTCTAGCAGCTTTACACATGGACATGTACCAAAGAAACATACATTTGCCTGGGAGACTAGGGATGATACAAACACCCTACACTTACAGTGCATAAACAGATAACTAATAAGGACCTACTGTATAGCACAGGGAACTCTACTCAATATTCTGTAATGGCCCATATAGGAAAAGAATCTAAAACAGAGGTTTTATATATATATATATATATATATATATATATATATATATATATACACACACACACACATATATATAACTGATTCATTTTGCTGCACACCTGAACCTAACACAGTATTGTAAATCAACTGTACTCCAATAAAAATTGAAGGAAGAAAGGAAGAGAGGAAGAAAGAAAGAAAGAAAGAAGGGAACATTTGATCCTACACTCACCTGGAACAATGCTTCGGTTTTCAGATAAATGTAACTTCAGAACACAAACAGAATCCTTATGACTTCTCAGCCTTGATTTCCATACTACACTGCTTTCAAGGTAAACCTTGAAAATTAGCTAAAGTGTATTATGTGGTAGTATTTAGCACAGAATTATTTTACTGATTAAAAATCAATAATTAAAAATAAAGATTAAAATCAGATTAAAAATGTTGATGGACAAATGCAAAGGTGAGAAGGTCACAGCATCTCCCACTTTTACGTTTTACATCACTCTGTGCTTACATTTCAAAATAATAACAGAAGACAGTACCTCAGAATCCCAAGGTGATTCTATATCTTCCTCTTCTCCCAACCCTAAGGCTGACATCATATCTGTAAAATGAAGTCACAGATACATTAATGAGAACATTTACTACTATGAATTTTAATACATATATAAGTCTATCTCTATCCACAAATAGTTCAATAAAAACTAGTGGAAAAGAATTTCAGAGGGTTGAAGCATTTTCAGGAAGAAAAAGTTGGTAGTACTTGGGACACTTCTGAAGAGAGAGAGCAAAAGAAACACACTTAAAAAAAAATGGATGCCATATTTGCATCTATACACCTTAAAGGTTTCTATTTGAGCTTTTAAGCATAGAAAAAAAATCCACAGACATTCACTAACTTACCACTTCTATTATTTTTGTGTGTTCCATCAACAGAACTCAAATGGTCAAGATTTATTTGCTCTTGTGAAGCCCTTTCAATAATATCTGTATCACTTTCTTTTTCTACATTCTCTGGCTTTGTGGCTCCTTCCTATTAAAAAAAAAAGACAAAATAAAACAAAAACCCAACTTCAGAAAACATATTCATTTATTTGGTCATTCAGTCAATCAGTAAGATGACAAACATTCACTGTTGTCTAAGAAATCATAGACACTATCCTCAGAGAAGTTAGAAATGTAAAGAAAAGAGCAATTCTGTTCTGTGTTCTAGGCAAGGCAGAGACACGTGAAAACAAAGAAGAGGGCAGAGAAGTATCCTTCAACAGCTCTGCAACTGAGGTGGACACAGCACAGGATGAGCACAAAGGAGAGCGGAGGCAGGGGAACCTGTGAAGCTCAAGGAACGGCGTGACAAAGGGCTGTGTCTCAGAAGACAGAGTACAGAGCCAGGATGTGAAGGAGCTTCTGGGAAGGGCAGCCCAAGCAAAGGACGAGCTGTGAAACAGTGCTAATAAGTCATGTGCAAAGTCAGAGCACAGTTACTGGGAACCCTACAGAGACACAAAACTGAAGGACCAGGATCAAATGGCAAAAAGCAAGTGTCATCTTTTTTCTTCACGTGACGGGAATCCACTAAAACAAGTAAAGGGCTCAGTTCAGTTCAGTTCAGTCACTCAGTCGTGTCCGACTCGTTGTGACCCCAAGAATTCACAAGGTTTTCTTTTTATTTCCCTGTAAACAGCACACTAACAACTCTAATTTCCTATCTATGCCTTCTGGAATAGCAGGTAAAGATTGAAGGAATGATCTAGATATAAAAAAAGTAGTAAAATTATGATTATCCAAGCTGGAGATATAAAGGTTTTCAAATACATCTGTGATTATCAAGCAGGGCTCAAATTTCACATCAGGAAAGAACAAACAAACTAAAAAATCAAGTAACAACAATTTCTGAGTTTTGGATACAAAAGAACTTGTAGGTTAATTTCAACTGGTCTTCCCAGATGGCTCAGTGGTAAAGAATCTGCTTGCCAAAGCAAGAGATGCAGGAGACATGGGTTCAAGCCCTGGGTTGGGAAGATCCCTTGCAGGAGGAAATGGCAACCCACTCCAGTATTTTGGGTTTCCCTGGTGGCTCAGATGGTATAGTGTCTGCCTGCAATGCTGGAGACCCCAGTTCAATCTCTGGGTCAGGAAGATCCCCTGGAGAAGGAAATGGCAACCCACTCCAGTACTCTTACCTGGAAAATCCTATGGAGAGAGGAGCCTGGTTGGCTACCGTCCATGGGGTCACAAAGAGTTAGACACGACTGAGTGACTTTACTGACTTACTTTCATATGTATAACAAAGAATTGACAGGCTAGCTTACACCTATAAATACTGAAGTTAATATAAAGTTTCTTAAGAATAACATGGAGTATACATATGGCTAGAGATATTTTAAAAATTAAAAAATTATCTTCCAGAGATAATTTTTAAACTCTGTTGGCAATTTTTCTTTCCTTATGATTTTATAATAACAAGTAGTCTATATAGGAAAAAAAATCATAAATTGTGATTTCATTCATTTACTGTGTGTAAGTGCCATTATGTATAGATATTAGGAAAAGACAAATCAGAATCTCTTCAGTTCTACATTTTTTCTTTAAGACTGTTGCAGCTGAAAATTTTCTCATTTAATGAAGAGAGTAAGAATCTCATTTATAGAATTATAAATTATAACTTTAGTAAAAAGACTAGATAAAATGTTACTTCCTCTTTATTTTCAAAAAGATCTAAAACACCCACCAAGATTATACCAAACAGTAAGATAAATTAGTTAAGTACATTAAATATTTATAAACAGTAAGTTAGAAACCACAAGAAATAGAAGGGCCAAAAATTCTTAAATCATAATAAATCTGCTAAGGCCTAAAACAGAACTCATCTTGAATTGTCTATGAGCTAAAGTTTTGCTATATTAAATAGAAGACATTGTTTCATTACTTTCAAAGTGAGAATTTTTTAAAAAAGAGAAATCACTTCAAATTGAAATGAACTTCCAGAGGGAACTATATTCAATATAGATATATACATATATGTGTGTGTGTTAGTCACTCAGCTGTGTCCAACTCTTTGTGACCCCATGGACTATAGCTCACCAGGCTCCTCTGTCCATGGAATTCTGCAGGTAAGAATACAGGAGTGGGTTGCCATTTCCTTCTCCAGGGGATCTTCCCAACCCAGGGATTGAACCCAGGTCTCCTGCATTGCAGGCAGACTCTTTACCAACTGAGCCACCAGGGAAGACATATATACATATATAAGTATAACCAAGTCACTTCACTGTACACCTGAAACTAACACGATATTGTAAATTGATCATACTGCAATTAAAAAAAAAAAAAGAACCACCACCAACCTCGAAAACAACCACCAAAAAAGGTAAGGAACAAACTTTCTTTCAGTTCTTCATAAAAATCAGCTATATGTCATTCAAAAGAGTATGAGCATTGTTTTTTCACAACTTCACTGTCTCCTCTTAAATTGAATTTGGAATAATTCTTCTCATATTTATAATATAGAGTTCCTCATCTGACATACCCCCACTATTTCTGTTGTGTTGGTATAATAATCTATCTCATCCTGACCCTCATTCCATTTCATATTCATCTTGTCCTTAAATGAATTCTTCCGCTTCATCCCTCTCCCCATCTTTATATTCATCTAGCTGTTCTTCCTAACTGCTTTTGTAATTTTTTTCTTTCATAATGGCATACTTAGTATGCAAACATTTATAAATCTGAATCATGCCCATATATTGCTCTTATTATCACACCATTTTGTATCATGACTTTGAAGGCTTCCATTTCTGTGGTAGTATCCTTTTTGTCATCATAAGGGGACATAACATGTGAATGGCATGTGGAAAAGTATAGGGAAAAAAAGAGTTACAAACAAAACAACTTACCTTTGTAAGACCAAGGCCTGCTAGAGACTTGACAGGTTGTGCAAGAGGCTCAGGTGATGGGAAGGCAGGATGAGAGAAGCCCTGGACTCCAGGTGATGGTTCAGGAATGGTTTCAACCACATCTTCAATTTCACTATCAGAATTATTGCCCTCAGAGAAGGTTGTACTCTCTGGTCTCACAATGCCACATTTTGCTTCTACTATTGTGAAAACAAGGGAGAGTACATGAGAACATCTGTAATTTCAAATCAGTGAATAAAACCAGGAGGACAGTCTTAGATAACTTACTGTTTCTCTTGGATTGCTGAGAAGCATTCATTAGCTTTGTTAAGTTTGGTTTCAAGACATTCTGGAGAAGAAAATAAGAACTTTAAGAATAACGAGAATCAAATTTAATAAAATAATTATAACATCCCCCATTACTCTATGATCTAACACAAAAAGCACAGGCTCTGGAGTCATTCAGATGTGGATTCAAATCCCAGTTCTGCCACTGACTAACCCTCTCATGGGGTAAGGATTATGATAGATGGCATCAGAAGCCCCAGATGTTCCTCTCCTTAACCCTAATAGACTGCTATACAAATACTATGACACCCACTAGATTATCTTCTCTACCAAAATGGTCTAGAATAAAAATTTATCCCCAATACTTTAGAGTACTATGTCTGAAAAACTTAGCCATTTAAATTAGTTGCTATATTTTGAAATTTGCTTGCATGATTTCTATATACATGAATTATCACTCGGGAAGGGAAATATGAAAGTTTGGTTTTTAGCAGAACCTTATTTAGATGGGTCAGAACTGCAAATAGGAAAAGTTATTTCTATTCTGTTTGTCAAAGAGCTAAAGACAAATGATTTTTTAAATTCAGCTCATTCTAAGAAAGAGGGAAAAAAATAAGAGTAAACCTATAGGGCAATGATCATGAATGAAAGCCAGAAACACTCTATAGAGTGCTTATAAAGTGTTTATAAAGTTTATAAAGTGTTTATAAAAACACACTTCATAGAGTGTTTATAAACAGAAAGCCATAAGCAAACATGTTCACAATAGAGGCAAAGAGAGATGGACTGAAAGAACAGACACTAAAGAAATGGATTCTGCAAGGAAAAATTAGGTTAACAGTAAATATTAAAAACGACAAAAGGTAGGGGAAGAAAAAGAAAGGAAAAAGTGAGATATGCCTTGTGAAGTACAAACTTAACGAAAAAAAAAAAAAGAAAAGTATAATGAGGTATGTGGAAAAACATATATATTTAGAATTTATATACAATAAATCAGTAATATATCAATATTGTTAAGGAGATACTATGAACAAAGCTTTGCTTAATATGTTTTTATTAATACATAAATTATATATCTACACTGTTCAAGTTTTATGAAAATATCAACATAAGTTGTATATAAAACATATATTTAAAACAGAGGCTTTTGTTCATTGTATATCCCTAATAATAGCGATTTATATTACTTTAAAACTGTTTATAAATAATACTGTAATAAAGAGTTTAATTTTTCCACTATAAAAAAAAGTCATTCAATTAGCCACACATGGCAACCAACAACCCCCCAAAGGTGGCAAAGAATAACTGAAAAAAAAAAAAAATGAAAAAAAAATATTCCTAACACTTCACTGGGAACAAGGACTGGTAGTAAGAATTCTAAGGAGAATACACTGTTTGAAAAAAAAATTGAATGGAATACAAGATGGAGCTAAAAAGAAGGTCAAGAAATATTAATCTAAAATTCTCAGCTCCCAGTTGGACAACACTGAAAAATATACGGTAATATTTTTATCATGTATTTCTTATTTATTTCCTTGTAGTGCAGGACCTCCTTCCTCAACAGAACTCAACTGATCTTCTAAGTCCTAAATATTAAAAAGAGAATGTAAATTTAAGTCATATTTTTAGAATTCAAACAGATTTAACAGATATATTATGTATATTATACTAGCTATAACATTATATATGATTCCATTTGTCTCTTCATTTATTCACATTCAAAAATGATTAAAATGGTTCTTACATTTGAGACATATGTTACTTGTTCCAGGAGATGCACAATTGTTTCCTGAACTCCACTAGTTGATACTGATACAGGGGCTATAAGATGAATATTTAAATAACAATAATACAAAATGTCTGAAATCTGAAATTTTAGAAAATGATACAAGGACTTTCATTAGACTTTTTTTTTTTAACTACAATACAAAAAAAATCTGAAGTTGTAAGTTTTATCTTAGAGTTATTAAAAGCCTGTGCTTCTACAGTTGGCTATTATTTTAGGCAAAACATGTGTTCTTCAATGAGATGAAGAGTTGGGGACATCTTCTTAATGGAATGCTTTAGAAAACACAGTGGAATTCCTTTATAATATGGAGTTTGAGAAACAGAGTTTTAATTTCTAAATTTCCATAATTACAACTATTACTTTAGTTTTAATGCAGAGCCTAAGAAAGAAACAGAGAATGAAAGAAAAAAAAAGCACCCTCCTAGAACTTCTAAAAAACCAAAATAGTGTCTAAGGGTAGAAAAAAACTAGATGATATACACTATATACACTAGTTTGGGAACTGAAAGGCTCCAGGAAGATTCTATGATTATTACAGTAATTTTATCCACTAAAGATTTCATTATGAGTATTATAAAAGTCAACTCAGTATGGTTTAAAATTCACAGTAAGACTCTTTATCCTTGACCACATTTTGTATTTCCTCCATTGTAAGAAAGCTTTTCCCAATACGATTTTCCTGTCACTATGTATTTTCCAACCCATTCTTTTTCTTCTCTCCACCTTCAGTATTTGAGACTTCCCCGGTGGCTCAGATGGTAAAGCATCTGCCTACACTGCGGGAGACCCAGGATCAATCCCTGGGTTGGGAAGATCTCCTGGAGAAGGAAATGGCAACCCACCCTAGTATTCTTGCCTAGAAAATCATACAGACAGAGGAGCCTGGTAGGCTACAGTCCATGGGGTCGCAAAGAGTCAGACATGACTGAGCAACTTCACTTTCACTTTTCAGTATTTACTAAAGTAAAAAGAAAAAACAAATCAACTAGTCATATTTTTATAAAATGGTTTGCTCTCACCAACTTTCCATTATAAACATAAAACAGTGAGAGGGACACCACTGCTGAATATTAAGAGTAAATGCTATATGAAACTAAATTCTGAGCACAAAAACTAATTATAGAAGAGAGTATTTTACCTTGGTTTCCAAATTTAAGTCTTCATCATCTGATGTAGGCCATGAATCAACACCAGGTTTGTTGGAAAGCCTTTAGAGCAAAAACATATACAACAAAAATGAGTGAGTTCATTTCTTTAAACAAAAAAAATACAAGTGAAAGTTTGGTTATCTGTGTATTAAATGAAGCTTCTTGACATAATTAAAACTTGGTCTCTGTTTTTAAAAAGCGTCTTTTTAAAAAAAAAAGATTTTTTGATGTGGACCACTTTTAAAGTCTTTATTGAATTTGTTCCAATGTTGCTTCTATTTTAAGTTTTGGCTTTATAACCCTGAGGCATCTGGGATCTTAGCTTCCGAACGTGGATTGAACCCACACTGCCTACATTGGAAGGAGAAGTCTTATTAACCATCTCAACCACTGCACTCCCAGGGAAGTCTCTAAAAGGTTTTTAGTTACCTACTTCTGCTTCCAACTCTCCCAACTACTGAAATATCTAGTTAAGATTCATTCTTAGTTTCCATGACAAACAGTGACAGCCAATATACTTGGCAGAGTCTGAAAATAATTTGTTTTCACCAAAAGTCCTAGTAACTGAACTGAAAATCAAATTGGGAGATTGACATAATGTTTGCCCAAACTGGAATAAACCTGATGACTTAAAGTGGAAGGATAGGCCATTCCTTCTCCATTCTCTGTCCCTGGTTCAGAGACTAAATGGCATCCATCAAAAATGGCAGTCTCTAATCGCTTCTCGGCCTTTTGGCTAAGATCAAGTGTAAATGGCAGTCTTGGTCCTTCAACAGCGAAACCACTTACTGAGATGGCCCCACCCCTCCCCTTTACTCTAGAACATTACAGGAGTTCTTTGCAATGTCTGAAACTTAAAATGTACAGAAGTCAAAGAACTAATTTATATGTTTAGCTTATATGCTACAAAGTATTACTCAGTCTCTGATAAGGGACACGAGAGTGGACGTGGGAGCCAAGCAGGCCAACGGTCAAATCAAAGGACAACTGATTTTAACCATGGAATCACGGGTCAATTCATCAACCTCCCTGAACCACAGTTGCCTAATTAAGTAAAATTAGGACACAGCTACTTTACAAAGCTGCTGTGATGACTCTATGAGGTCACAGATGTTAAGCACACAATGCAGTGTCTAACCCAGGGTAGAACGCTCAACAAATATTAGTTTCTCTTCTCCGTGTTCCCTTACTTAAACACACAATTTTTAAAAAACCCACCAAAATCCTACCTGCTTAAAGAGTCTTCTTCAGAACTCTCATCCTCTATTAAAGAAAAAAGTAAGACACATTTTAAATCAACAAAAGAAAAATAGAGAATATTAAAACCTCAAGACTGATGCTCTGTTTAAAAGCATTCCTTTTGAACCACACCTGGAGACCACACTGGAGGGAATAGTGATTGGACTATACTCTCAGGCCATTAATGCCTAAGAACCACTCCTCTCCTTTACAGTCATCAAATGCAAAACAAAAAAAAAGAAGAAAGAACTACTGTTTACAATGATCACAATCCTAACCAAACTCTAGAAGACTGACAGAAAGCGATATTACACCATTAATAGAATCAGTGCTATGAACTGCCTATAGCCCACTTAAACAGCACAGTGTCTCTGGACGCCCATGCCTGGAGCAGTGAATGGAGAACACAGGCATCTCGCTGGGACGTGACCTAGCAGCCCTGGCTCCTCAGTTCAGGAGGAAAATGCCCTGTCACACGGAAGCTGGGTCCACAGGCACTGAACTTCAGAGCTGGTGAAACATAGGAAGCAAAGTCTTCCTGGCCCTATTTCCAGATGCAAGAGAAGGATGAAAGATGTAGTGAGCTAGGTTTAGAAAGAATAATCTCTTGAAAGGGAGGTGGAGGAGGGCAAATGGGTAAAGAGGGGTCAACTGGGTGGTGAGGGTGGGGACTAGACTTGTAGTGGTGAGCATGCAGTAGGGTACACATAAGTTGAACTTTTCTTTAAAGTTTTAAATATATATATGTATATACAATATATTTAAAAAGTATAATCTCTTAAGACTGTGTCCTTCCATTGTCCAAGAGTATCTGGACCACAAAGAGCAGGATGATCCCAACAGTGCTGTGTACTAGTGAGGGATATCACTATATCAATCCTCGCCATTATAAGGCAAACGTTGACAGAAATCATGCTTTTTCAGGCTGGAAGGCATACATCATCAGATCCGAAGCTGATGAACAAGGGGAGGGAGGGAAGGAGGGAGGGGGTGATGGACTCTGGGGCTGCTGGACAACATGTCACGTGTGTCGTCATGATCTGATGCTGGAGGGATGACGCACAGGCAGTGACTCCACGGGGAGAGGAGTCCTGCAAGCTCGAGCCTGGAGGGCAGGGGCAGTGATTTTTAAATGTTTGCACTCTGTGACATCAGAACAATGCTTCGTACATAAAAGACACTTGATAATGATTTCTTTGGTGAACAAATGAACAAATAAATAAGCATGGTTTCTTTGAAAATTTTGTTTAGAAAAATACAGAAATTAACCAGGGACAACTCTATTCTATTCTGAGCATATTGAAGACCAAGACCCTATGTCATCTCTGTGTCTCCTGCGGCTGCTGCTGCTGCTGCTAAGTCGCGTCAGTCGTGTTCGACTCTGTGCGACCCCATAGATGGCAGCCCAATAGGCTCCTCTGTCCCTGGGATTCTCCAGGCAAGAATACTGGAGTGGGTTGCCATTTCCTTCTCCATAGCATGAAAGTAAAAAGTGAAAGTGAAGTTGCTCAGTCGTGTCTGACTCTTAGCGACCCCATGGACTGTAGCCTACCAGGCTCTTCCATCCATGGGATTCTCTAGGCAAGAGTGCTGGAGTGGGTTGCCATTGCCTTCTCTGCTCTGTGTCTCCTCTAACATGTAAAACCAACCTCCAGAAGTTCTTTGATGGATGTTGTTGTTAAATCACTGAGTTATGTCCAACTCTTTGCAACCCCATGGACTATAGCCCACAAGGCTGTTCTATTCATAAAATTTCCCATGCAAGAATATGAGAGTAGGTTGCCATTTCCTTCTCCAGGGGATCTTTCCAACCCAGGGATCAACCCTGCATCTCCAGCATTGGCAGGTGGATTCTTTATTACTGAGACACCTGGGAAGCCCTCTTTGATTAGATAGAGGTCTAATAAGTTAAAGTTGTCCTCAGATAGCTTGTGCAAAGTGCTAGATGCCACATCAAGAGGCCATGGTGGTGTTTTTGTTAATGTGTTTTTGTGCTTTTATGAGAGTCTGCAGAGTCCCAATTTGAGCTATGTGAATATTTTATACAATAATCTTTTAACTAATTGCAAGAAAACATCTTGTTCTAACAAAACTATACTGTCATGACAATTGTCCAACACACAGAAGAAAACATCTGGTTCTAATGAAGTCAATCTATCTCACTCTTCTTGGGTCTGTAAGGAGTGAAGTTGGTAATAGAGACCTTGTTGATACAACAATATGCAAAATAACTGGTAGACATTGCTTTTCTGTCTCCTATACTACTGGTAGGTACCTTTCAAAAATAATCTCCTCCTGGTATGCTGCACACTGGCTCAGCTTTGCAGTTCTTATTGTTTATCATTTGGTATCATACCAGGAAGGTATTGTTGAGGTTCCCAGTTGTAACAATGGTAACTGTTTTAGTGAGACTGATCAGTCCATAGGAACTACTAACTATTCATTCACTAACTGCAAACCATTTGTAAAAATTAAAGTTCCACTTTTATAACAAGTCTAATATGCTATAATATGATTATACAGAAAATATACATCATACTTAACCTAAAAAGTTTTTTCTATCTACAAGAAGATCTAATACAGGATTTTAGGGGCCATGATTAAATACATGGATTTGTTTTCAGATAATACAGTCTCTGATTTTTAAGTTACCCTACAATTAACTTCTTAAACAATTTGGAATACTAGACTATTAAGAAATTAATTTTAAAAATAAAATACACATGCAAATTACATATGTTTTTTCACTGTTCTTTCATCATTAAAAGTTGCTCATTCCTATTTTATCTATGGTAGAATCACCAAGAGTAAATCATTGTCAGATGACGTACCTGGGTTGCTATTTTCAGGAGGAGTTTTAGGTCTCTCTTCTTCATATTCAGAAATCAGTTGGCGAATGCTATGCATTAAAACGTGATAATATTTTAACACTAATATGAAAAACAACTACCAAAGTCTTAGACTATTTCAGAAAATATCACAGATAATATAAAAACTTCAGCTGTCCCATTCATTTCAAGTTTCTAAGTTCTACAAACTTTTATTTAGTATGTAATTAAAGGAGAACGAAAAGGAAGATGAAGTACTCATGAAATAAGGGCAGTATAGATCAGTAAAATAACTAGAGTTAACTTGGCATATGAAAACTCTCTTGAACTCAGAAATCCTAGCTCTGTAACCAACTGCTCTTCGTTCTGAAGTCACTTCTCCTCAATTCGAAGTCTTTCTCTACATAACTGGGATCTTACTGCCTTATTTCACACGGGGATTAAGAGGATTTAATGATATAATATACCTCAAAAATGCTTGGAGAAACAGTCAAAGAATGTAATAATTTGGTCTAGAACTTTATTGCTAGAACTACTTTGGAATTCCAAATAAAATGTGTGTTTTTTCACAACTTTAACATTCAAGTGTTGCAGGAAACTGTTAATTATGGTGATTAGCTGTTCTTTGTGGTTTGTAAGTTAGGGAATCTCAGCTATTACATAATCTGAACCTATATTTACTTATAAAATATGAACTCACCACATTAGATAACATAATTGCCCCCAATTATTGCAACTAATTATACCAAGAGCAGAAAACTAATCAAAATCAAGACCTGGCCTGGACCACTACTCTTCCTTCTCTACCTACTCAAACTCTGAACCAGTAGATCTTTCTCAGAATGATGCCTAATTTCCACACTCATCTTCGTTTCACCTGGACGACATAACCCTACTCTTACAATAGATACTGGCAAGTCCGGGACAGGGCTTACCTCGCTTAATTCCAACTAACTTACCTGAGACTTAGGGATTTCTGGTGAATGGGTTCCTTATGAGGCAGACTCTGAAAACAAGGGCTTCCCTTGTGGCTCAGCTGGTAGAGAATCCCAATGCAATGCAGGAGACCTGGGTTTGATCCCTGAGTTGGGAAGATCCCCTGGAGAAGGGAAAGGCTGCCCACTCCAGTATTCTGGCCTGGAGAATTCCATGGACTGTATAATCCATGGCATTGCAAACAGTCGGACACGACTAAGTGACATTCACTTTCACTTCACTGAAAACCTTTAAGGTTGAAGCACATATAAATCCTCTGGGAGATTTTCATTATTACCGGAAACAGACCTCATGAGGGGCCAATCGTCATTAAGGAATCTCAGGCAAGCTGGCACCCACTACTCTGGGAAGAATGACAGGGAACCAATGACCTAAAAAAATGTGCCCCCCAGGACAGAAAGCCACACTGAGGTTCAGGTCTAGAAACAAAGGAGAAAGGGAAGTCTGCTCTATCCCTGCAGGAGCACTTGAACCTCTCTGACAGCCTAAAATGGTCCGCACTGATATCTGCTGGCAGAAAAGATAAATAACAGCCCCAATGGACACCTCATTGTGATGCTCGAGGTTTAGGTCTAGGCTCACACGTGGCTCCACATGAGGCTTCTGAGTGAGGGGGGAGCTGGGAGGCCCAGCTGCCAGAGCTGGGTGCTGGCACTCTATAGCAGTGGCTGAGCTACAACCATTCGTATGGGAAATAAGAAGTTGTCACTAATAACACCAGCATCCTTCTAAGAAAGCAATTTAAAGCAAAGAGTCATCCGAAAGACAAAATCAAGCCTTTTATGTTCAGTATGCAATTTTAAGAAAAATATATACAAAGTAGAGATTAAAGAATTATCATAAAAGAATTAAGAAATTCAATATTGTGTCATAAGATAAACTAAAAAAGCAGAATCCATATTTTATAAAGCTAATAAAACTAATATGAAATCCCTCAGCGACTACAAGATCAATGAAAAAAAAAAGGAACCAGACGCATATGACATCAGTCAATATTCTAAAGGAATATCAATCCGGCTATCTATTCCTGATATATATTGTTGTTCATGATTCCCAGTCAGAATAATTGACTTTCTACCTGCCTGATGATGTGTTGATTACAAATTAATCCTTTTATTAATTTAATCTTGATGCTACCACCTTAGAACAGCACAAAGGTTTTTAAAAAGAAAAACAACAACTGTACCTTTTCATCTTATCACCTGCATGTATATTTGCTTCTTTCTTTGCTAAAAACTCCACCATTTGCTGTTTCCTTTCACTTATAGCAAGTGACAGTGGTGTAAGGTCATCCTGTAAAACAGGGAAAACAATTTCTAATGTACACAGTTAACCTATTTCAAAGCTGAACTTAAAATTGCACAATAGATTCTCTGAACTTAAACATATAATTCAGAAAGCAAATAAAAGGGAGCCCCCTCCTCCTTATCCCCCTGTGTGCCTTCTTTCTCTCGAAGATGGTCCTCCTCTGGGCCTTCCCTGGTGGTCCAGTGGCTAAGACTCCAGCTCCTAATGCAGGGGGTCCAGGTTCCATCCCTGGTCAGGGAACTAGATCCCACATGCCGAAACTAAAGCTCCCATGTGCCACAATTAAGATCCAGTGTAGTCAAATATGTCTTTTTAAAAAATGAAAAATAAAATGCTCCTCCTCTACCTCTTCAGAAGATGAACCACAGAGTCATTCTCTAAAACTCACTTCCAACATTTACTGGTTCCAAGGATCTTTGTTCCTATCATAATATTTATCAGGGATATTGTAGTATTCACTTGCTCTATTACTACTCTCAACAGTCCTCCAGAGAGAATCAATTAGCTACTAAATCAACTGCATATTTTAGGAACAATGCTGAGGCAGAAATACATATTATTTATTATTATCTGTAGCATGCATAACTGATCCAAGGATGATGATGAGTAACCTCACAAGGTTTACAGACATTCCAATGGGAATATTATTCTCTATATGGACATGCAAAGAAAAAGTTGTTTTTGTTTTTTTGTTTTTTGAAAAGACCAACTAATAACTTCTACTTTGAAAAATTCAATCTCATTCTTAAGAAATTACTTTAAACTATGAAATCAATTACAGGCTAACTAGAGTGTCTCTAAAATCCTGAAATAATTATCAAAATAAACTATAAAACAAGAATTGGAAATTCAAATGCTTATGGAGGGAAAGTTGGTGACCTGAGTAAGTGAAAAAGCCAGATAAGGCCAGCAAACCCGAGAACACATGCTCCATACAGAAGGGGTGGCCTCTGCATGCTGTCCAAACAGTAGAATGGGATCAAAGGGGACCAGATTTCGTTCTTTGAGAAGCCTGAAATGCAGACCTCTGCATGAGTCTCCTAAATTTTAAATGCTGATTCAATTTGAAGAGGTAAACTAAACATATCCAAGAGCCTTGCCTGGTCAATGGCCCACTTGTGGTTTGACGTTTGCTATTCCCAAACAGCTGGGAATAAAGGAAGTATTTGTATGTGAAACCGTCCCTTCTTCATATCATGTGTTTCACAAAAAGTGGGCCCAACCTGTGATAAAAATTGCTATTAAGGTTCATAATTCAATTAAACATACTTTTTAAAAAAATCATAATTCCACTTCAAGAATGTTTCCACTGCCTGTTGAAACTACAATCTATCTCTAGAATTCCTCCAGATTGTTAATCAAATGGATAATGAGCTCCTAACAAACAAAATCATCAAAACAATTCCTATCTACACTGTTACTGACTTCATGGGTTTTGATGTTTAAAGCTCTTACCTTGCTCATGCCAGGGCTCAGTGACTCTAACACACACACTGCAAGAGTCTGTCCTGCAGCTGACACCAAAAGAGGCTCATGACTTACTATTACTGCAGTCAGGAAAACCCTGCTGGTAACAAACATCTGTTGACCTAGTGACCTGAATGAAAACAGAAGGTGCAAAATCCTGACAGGGTCAGACTCTACAGATGGAGTGACTTCACCATGAGCAAATCTCTGAAGACTGAGTGCGACTGAATAATTAGTGGGTGGAAGGAAAAGGAGTTATCAGATAGTTCAAGCCAATAGATATTGCCAATAATATTCCTTTTAACTTCTTAATCACACAGGCAGAGAAAAAGTCAGGTTAATACTGTTGCAAAGGAGGGAGCTGATGGAACTAGCTAGCACTGATCAAACTCCAACTCTTCTAGAGATTACTTATTTTTGAGATAGGTGCATTGAGAAATTACACTTATTCAGTCCATCATTCTTCACCACAGATTGTATCAGAATCTCAGGGAAACAGTTCTAAATACACACGGCCAGGCCTTCCTCAATTTATTCCATCAAAATCTTCAGGGAACAGCCTAGGCTTGTAAATTTTTTATAAGTTTTCTCAAGTGATTGTGGTTTTCACCAGCACAATCTAGCCAAGAATAAGCGCAGCATCCACCCCAGTCTCATCTCTTACCCACATGGCCAGTTCCGTCTCTTACTGAGGATTTGAACAAAAAAGGGAAGTGTAAGAGGCAGAAGTCATCAAAAGAGCACGAAGTTCCCGGGTGAACAGCGGTAGAGCAGGGGCTGGTGAACTCAAAGGCAACCCGATCTCGTTATCCATAAACCACTTACTTTCCATCTAGACATTCTAGACTGGAGAGCGGAGTCTAGACTCATCTAAGTGGCTGTTTCTGCCAGAATAGGATAAGATGTCAGTTAATTATTTGCTCTTCTCTCTTAGTTCCCACTTAATCGCCACCTGTTCATTGCCAGTCTGATTTCCTGAGTCTTCCTAAAATCAATATATAGGCTACTATACCATCCACTCACTCTTTCTCAAAATAACAACTATTCTCCCTGAAAACCGAAAAGCACCTTAACCAAAATATATAAACTGAAGGAAAAAAAAGACAAAAGCAAAAATCTCTGGACTTCTGTGCTGGTCCAGTGGCTGGGTCTCCAGGCTGCCAGTGTAGGGGCCTGGTTTAATCCCGATCAGGAAACCAGATCCTGCATGGAGAAACTAACACCCAGCACAGCCAAATAAATAAATATTATAAAAAGAAAAAATGAAAAAAAAAAACCCTCTTTTTGGCATTTCCCAATGGCCAAAATTCCAACCTGACCTACATTTTTCACCTGCTCTCTCCTTTCCCCTTCTTCTTTACTCTCTTAAGCCTTGGGCAATGAGAGAGAAATCATTTTTATTTAAATCATTTTTTTTTATAAAATAGGAATTTGTTAAGAGCAGTGAGATTTCTATTATGTTGTAAAATGTTTATGTTATGTTTGAGTTTTAAGACAAAGTCTATTTCTAAGGCAAATTTTGCTTTACTGTGTTATTTTATGCCAATCAAAAAAAATTTCAGTGGGGGGCAAAGTATTTGGAGAGTTTTACCTTTAACCAGTGTTACCACAAATATCTGCCATAAACACATAAGAGAACACTTGACTCTCTAATGCTTCTTTAGAAACATCACAATTTAAAGTGCAATCTTAGACAATTTGGTTCTTTCAAAATACTTTCACTCAGGGAAGGCTGCACACACAGCTTCCAAAAAACGGAGCCCTCCTGTGAGAGCGGAGGGCGCTCCTCGCGGGGCTGCAGCAGCCGGACGTCACCTGCTTCATGGAGAAAGAGCAGGAGGGGCAGCTTCGCCATCACCAGCTCCGCACGCACCCTGCAACCCCGCCAAGCAGCTCCCCGGGGCTGAGCGCGGGAGACCCCGAGGTGTACATGGCGAACCAAGTGCTCAACAGCACCAGGGAACGCCCTTGCTGGGAGTCAACATGACCTGACCCTCTTGGTCGGATCTCAGAACCCGGGGGCCTAGACGGCTCAGGGTCCCTGGCCTGCTGCCTCCCAGGCCCACGTGCACTCACCCGGCTCCCCCTCATGGGCACTGGGTCTCCTTCCTCCTCCCGCCCACCCCCAGGGGCACCCATTCCCTGAGCCCCTGGAAGCAGCCGCTCCTCACATCACTTCACTCCCCCAAGCCTTCATCACTTGTGCGCTCTGAGCCTACCACCCACTCCCGGGCACGTTCTGATGGGAAATCTTCCTTCTGGGGTAGACGGGTGGCTGGGAGACAGAGCTTTGCCCTCTCTGTGGACACAGACACACCTCCTACCCCTGCACTGGCTGTGTTTCCATGGTAACAGGGCTTGGTGGACACTATTCAGTTTACCTATTTACATAGTTAGAAATAAAACACTTCTAGCTTAAAGAAATGCTTCACAAATACTTTGTAAATAAAGTTAGTTGAGTTCTACCTTGTTCCTGGCTTCTATATCGGCGTCGTAGGAAAGCAGCTTTGCTGCGAGAGACACATTCTGGCAGAGGACGGCATAGTGGAGCGCGGTGTTCCCGCGGACGTCCGCGACGTTCGGGTCCGCGCCGCGCTCCAGCAGGAGAGTCGCGCACTCCTCCTCTTGGCATTCCACGGCCTGTCAGCGTGTGCCAAGAAACAGTGTAAATCCTAGGAAGTCAAAATACACAGTCCACAAGCCTCACCAGTTTGCTCTATCTAAACGAGACAGAGTCACGTTTAGCCTCAGTAGTTAAATCCACCCACCTCATGTGGACACGGGTCGCTGCCCCATACCTTCATCAGCGCGGTCCTGTGTTCACTGTCACAGAGGTTGAGCAGGCATTTTCTCTCCAGGAGGAGAGTTACCACCGCCGAATGGCCATTGGCACAGGCCAAGTGGAGGGCAGTCCTACGAAAGCAAGAGGAGTTTTCCGCAAACTGTAGTGTTACTGTTTCAAAATACACAATTGTTCCTGTGATTGAAAACAGTCAATAGCATGCTATTCCTATCCCTCTAAAACAAATATTTTGTTTCTTTCTGGAGAAAGAACAGTATATATTAGTTTTAGCTCTTCTTACCACAGTAATAAAAGAAGAATCTACTTGAATAGAATGAGCATGACCTCGATATTCAGCTCAACTTGGGTTTGAATCTGACTTTCACTCTGTCACTTATCAGCTGTCGCTCACTCCCTGTACCTCAATTTCCTCATTAACATAATGGAGAGAGAGTAGTAATCTCACATAACACCACCATGATGCTTAAATGAGACCCATGTGAAGGATTTAAAACCTTTCCTCACACAGATAACAGCTCAGTAATTGTTAGGTAATAACAATTGATTTACGATGTTGTTTAGCAGAAAGCAACACAACATTGTAAAGCAATTATTCTCCAATTAAAAAAAAAAATTAAGGTTAAGAACCAGTAGTAATAGAAAGAAAAAGGTCTTTGTCAGCACACACACACAAAAATGTATAAGCAGGAATTTGTGTTTTCTTCTGGTATTTTTCTCACTGTGCATATTTAAAATTTTTGATCCATACTCCATCTGAAGCTTTTTTTGTGAGATAAAAATCTAGCTACTTTTCTCTAAATAGTTACCAGGTTATTTCTCCACCATCTACACATAATTTATCTTTTCTAATAGAAAATGTCATCAGCATCAAATCCTAAATTCTTACATATATTTGGGTGTTTGGGCATTCTGTTCCATTCATTTATTTATCTTTTCAGTTGTTAGTAAATGAACACTTTGTGGGCACTTACAGCACATTTTGATATCTAGAAGGGCAAATTTTCCTCTACTATACAAAACTTTTAATTTTTATCACAACAATTAAAGAAAGCATATGTAACCCAAAATCTTTAAAACCACAATATGTTGATGTGGTTTAAATATTGAAAGACCATACACCCTAAGAAAATGTCTTCCTATTCAGGGACACAGCCAGCTTCCTACTTCAAAGCTTCTAAGGTCCTTCAGCAAAGAAAATATACACCTAGGCGGACACTGATATAAAACGGATATTGAATTGTATCTGAAGAATTTTTAATCCAGAAGTTGATCTGGCATGGGAATTATTTTGCTCACTATGCAGTTTTCTATAATGTATAACCTTACAGTATAAAAATGTGTACATTAAAAATAAGATGCTAACAGCATCTGAAATCTGTCCACTTCCATGATCCACAAGAGGCGATCCATGAAGAAGTGTTTTCATAAATCACATGAGAAAAAATGTGAGCGCCAAGAGATTTCAGATTTCTTGAAAGCTATAGAACGTAAGAGCTCTTACTCGTGAGTACATCATGCTAAACCATGCATTATAACAAATAAAAAGGAAGATGAAGAAAGGGGGAAAAGATACTATTTATGTTTCATTTCATTACTCTGATTACCGACATTCAGTTAAATGACTTCAAAACTTATCAGTAAAACTTATCAGCTCTATAAGGGAAATTATAAGTCGGCCCGAAATGAGCTAAGGCTTTTTGCTGCCTATAAAGTCTGCAGGGCGCTGGATCCCAGGAAGGTGTCCGCGAGCCTTGGAGAGGAAACTCACCAGAGGGACCTCTGCCAGGCCCTTCCACCTCGCTTACCTGTTCATCTTGTCCCTGTCGTTCAGGCCATTCTTCCCCAGCAACAGAATCTGCTGCACTTTGGCTACGTTCCCTACAGTGGCAGCTTTGTGGATCTTTCCGAGGTCCTTGTCTCGGATGCGATACCCAGACTGGAAGCTGATTCTCTGACCGCCGTCTCTCCCAGGGCTGATGGAGGAGCCTAAGGGCGACTCGCCCTTCTTACTCCCGAAGCCAAAAATCTTCTTCATCACAGAGCCCACGGGCTTCAAACACACCTCACCTCCCCCTCGGCTCTTCACTGTCCCCTAAACCCAACAGAAGTGCCACAGATAAGCCTAAGCAACCCCCCCACAATATCTCAGTTGGGAAGCTCCGCGGTTTCCAATCTTTCAGCCCAGAAGAGTCGTAGCTAAGCGACACCGCTAAACACAGTGCGCCTGCGCGCCTCGGAAGCGGGCGTTCCTGCCTGTAGGCACAGAGACCTGTCCGGCCACATTGCCCAGTGCGCATGTGCTAGGCCCCGCGGCTCAAGTCTGAGATTGACTGTGGGCGGTGCTAGGCACATTTCAACCAACTGTGCTTGTTGGCTAAGCGTTTCCGAATGTTTAAACAAAAGATAGAGCAGGTGAGAAAGCCGTCTTTGCAAGAGATTGGGGCTGGAGCGACGAGGAGCTTCAGGATGCTGCAAGCCTGTCCCCCAGAGATTTTTTAGGGCTTTCCTAAAAAAAAAAAAAAAAACTCTAAATCTACTTATCCCTCAGCTTATTCCTTTCCACATCCCTCTTGGAACAGCGAAATTTAGCGAGTGTAACTACTGTTACAAAAAACTCTTTTCATGGTTCCAGAAATTGTGCTAACAGGTATTATCAAGTGCAAATTTAGGGGAAACCAACTCAGGTTCTCCAGATGAAATGAAACCGCGTTTCCGCATTCCTCTGATCCTCCCGTCGCCCAGCCTCCATGTACACATTTTCTTCATTTTTAATTTTTTTTGCTTTTATTTCCCCCAATCAAATCTTAAATCAATCCAAGATGTATTTTGGAGCGTTAACGTTTGAGAACTTTTTTACAAAGTGATTATTCACGTATCCGAAATAATCCATCCCTTCTCATCACGTTTAAAATATCACTTTTTAACTCTGATGTTGTTTCTGGGTTTTCCATTCTGTCCCATTGAATGGTCTGCTGCTCCAGGCAAATAGGTAGTATTTAAAATATTTTTAAATATCCTTTATAGGTCCAAAGTTCCTCCCCTTATTTGTCCTTTCCAGCATTCTCTTGGCAATATTTCTACATTATTTGAGATGATTTTTTAATCACCATGCCAGTTAAAGAGAATTCTGTGAAATTTCTATTTAATTAGGTTAAGAGAATCTTAACTTGATAATCGCTTGTATCAGTGTATCCAGGTAGGTGTTATGTCTCTGTCCTATTTTATGTCCCTGATTAACCTTTGGAAGCTTTTTTTTAATGTAAATCCTATACCCTTCTTGATGTATTTATATCTGGGCTTTAAAAATTTTTTACTGTGATATTACATTATTTTTCATTATAATTTGAGTCATTACTGTTTTGATATCTGGGTATTGTTTTGACAACCAGAATGAAGAACTTTTTAAATTATAATCTTGTCATAGGAAGAGAGTTGAGTTTCTGGTGGTACTTAAGGAAGGCACAAACTGTTGGTATAGATTTCACCAGAAAGATGTAATATTGATAATATGCAGATTGTAAAAAATCAAGCAAATGCAAATAAGATGGGCTTTTTTAAACTGAAGTATAAGATCATTGCTACAAATTAAAAAACATTTAATATAGCTAAATTTCACTAAAATCCTATTAGCCACATTTTTCAGTAATTTGCTAACTAGTGTGTGTGTGTGTGTGTGTGTGTGTGTGTGTGTGTGTGTGTGTGTGCTCAGCTGTGTCTTGACTCTAGGGACATCTTTTTTGTTTCCTCTTAATAGTCTCTTTGTTCATTTGCTTTATTCACCCAAATCTATTTCCCACTCCTAAATGTAATCATCATAATGGCCTTGCATATTATCAACTCCATTTTTATAAAGCATCTTATGTTCCATCCTCTTTAACATTTCCCAAACTTTTAATCTTTTCCCTTGCTTCCATCTGTCTGCAACTTGTGTGTTTCCATCTTTATTCCATTTATTAGGAATAAAGCAAAACAGGCTGAATCCATACTGGCATAAACAGGTGAGTATATACAGAAACTCCTTTTAATGTAGTTACTGATCCAGTAGTTACAATTGGACTAAACCTAGTATTGTGGGTGAAGCAGAAGCAGGCTCACAACAGTTAATAGAAAACAGGCAAACCCAAAACTCACCAAGTTCCTGTTCCATTTGTTAATGATTTGAAGTTAAGACTTTTGATTAACCAAATTCAAAAGGAACAGATACCTCCATTGCACAAGATGCACCAGCAAAATCTGAATGTATGGCAGCCTTATTTTACAGCAAGACAAATTAATTTAGGTATTTATTCTTCAGAGGCCATTTAATGCCATTTTGTTCTTTGTAGACTGAATGAATTGACAACACATTTTTGGGATTAGTGACTCAGAAGCCAAGTGTCCAGACCTTCAGCAGAAATTGCTGCTAGAATGCACCAAAGAACTCTGAAGAGAGGCTGTGTCCCTGTTGAAGTGATGTCTGGTTCCAGGACAGCATTTTCACTGATGAAAGAGCAACGAACAAAAACGAGAACAAATATTTCTCAGGGCTATCCAGCTTAGCTACACCAAATGGTTTTGTTGTGTGTGACTGGTATCAATGCTTGATCACCAAGCATTTGCTTCCACAATAACCAAGCCAAAAAATTATCTTCTGTCTTCTGCCTCCACAGTATTCTCCAGGGTGACCTATGAAACCAGTACAAACTATAGTGATATCTGAAAAAGACTCTTGACACTTCCTGAAGCAGCCTGGAATGAGGGTCAAAGCACTACCAAGCTGCAGAGAGAACTACACATCAGGACTTCAGGTAGGTTGTCAAGATTTGGTTTACTCTAATGTTTTTGTATGGACCAAGATACTCAAGGGGTCTTCATTAGGTCATCTCTAAAATTCTGTATTTCCTTGGTCAAATGCTGTCTGGATCCCCAAGCAGTTGAAACCTAAGATTTCCCATTCCCAATTTCTATGGAAACAGATGTCCTCTAGAAAGTTGTTCCCTAGAATACCCAAAACTAAAACTCCCACTAAGCCTATCTAAGATTCAAATAATGCCATGATGGTGAATAAACATACTACTGGAAAACAATATAGAGGTGAGAACTTATTAATATAACAAAAACTATACAAATCAATGAGGAATGATATGGATTATTAATAAATGGTTTGGGAAAAATCAATTACTGATAAGAAGTAACTACACATCTCAAGGTATCACCAAAATAAACTCCAAGTTAGTAAATGTTCAGTCTTTTTAATAAAAACCATTAAATATTTTAGAAGAAAATATGGATATGAGCGGTATTACGTTTAGAAGATCTTTCAAAAAAAATGGAAATTAGAAAATATCAGTACATTTGGCCACATAAAACTTGAGACCAAAAAATTTAGTATAAATCCAAATATAGAAAAGGAATTAACATACAAAATTAATGTAACATTCTTGGCTTACAATTAAGGAACTACATTTTTTTTTAAATAATGAAAGGATACCATCGGTTCACAAATTAACCATGGGCACCAGAAATTTTCTACTCTTACTTGACATGGATAGTAGTTCAATTTCATCATCTTGCCTCAAGACATTTGCTCTTCAGTTCTGTGATAATTTAATCCACGGGATCTTGATATTTTCACTGCCTTAACAGCTCATCAAATTTATCCATTAAGTGGATGACTTCATACTGATGGTACGAGGTGCGTAGGAAAAAGGATATAGATTGAAAGTCCTGGTAAAACTTTATGTGAGAATTTATGTTAACACACTTTAAAAAAAAAAATCAGCATTATCCATTTAAAGAAATACCCCCTAAATTAAGCACAATCTAAACTATCATCTTAGCATCACAAATTATTACAAAATATGATGTCAACAGTATAATCAGTTTTAACAGCGACCAACGGCTTTGATAGATAAATGAACTTTGTGATTTAGGGTAGTGAGAAGCATAGTAACAGCTCACTTTTCTTTAAAAAGGTTTATTTTTAAAAGATCTATTTTTTTTAAATAAAATCTAACCAAAGGAGATATTTTATATTCTATGTATTCTTCCAACACCTGTTTCTTCAAAGTATGTATGAGGATTTGAGATTTTATGACACCAAGAAGCAGCATGAATTTGAGAATCTTAAAATCTAACAAGGATGAAAAAGCTTACAGAAAGTGGAACCAAACCACAGCACAGGTAAGCACTTGCCCATCTGTCAACTTCTCAAACAGGAAAAAAAAATCACATTGAAAGTGAGGGTTAGTCACTCAGTCATATCCAATTCTTGCAACCCCATGGACTATAGCTTGCCAAGCTGCTCTGTCCATGGAATTCTCCGGCATAAATACTGGAGTGGGTAGCCCTTCCTTTCTCCAGGGGATATTCCCAACCCAGGGATCGAACCCAGCTCTCCTGCATTGCAGGCAAATTCTTTACCATCTGAGCCACCAGAGAAGGCCAAAATTTTGATAAATTTTAAAGTTGGTTTTCTTTGTGCTATAATAGTATAAAACACTCTTTCACCAAAGTTAAAAATTAAAAATTGTGAACCTTTTGGCCTCACATTGTTAATACTGACAACATGCTTCTACCTGGCAGGTGCTATGCTTTCTCCCCACCAGGGAACACTGCACCAGGCTTTGCAAAGTTTGATTCACAAACTTCTTAACAATCATTCAGTTATTTTGTATTTTTTATTATAGTGGATTTAGGTTTCTTTTTGAACAAAGATGCATATTTCCTAATAATATAAAAACAGAGGCTCTTTTGTTCTTCCTGAAATCCTTTGCAACCATCTTCTTCAATCTTATTTTGTCTTCTTCCTCCATCTTCTCCAACCTCTGTGTCTGTCATCACCAAGTTCAGAATTTCTAGGAGAGCTATACAGACATTACTAACATCTCAAGTTTACTAACAACTGGTCTTTAACATGTGAAAGGAGGCAACTGGTTGATAAAAGATGAAATATCTCTTGTGTGAAATCAACCCATAATGGCTTAAGGAATTTCACATGCTACAGGTCTTCAAGTTATCTTTTTATCCACTTAACAGATCCTTCTATGTACAGGATACTGTTAGTCTGGCACTTGATCCTACCTTGCATATTTTATCTTCTACTACTACATATAAAATAGATAAACAATGACTTACTGTATAGCACACAGAATTATACTGTATCTTGTAGTGACTTATAATGAAAAGCTGAAAAAGGAATATAGATATATATAAAACTGAATCACTTCGCTGTACACTTAAAACTAATACATTGTAAATTAACTATACTTTGTAAATTATTTTACATTGTAAATTAACTACACTTCAACAAAAACTTAGAAAGTACAAAGATGGCAGCAGCTTTGTTAGTTTTTCACACATGTATCCCATACATGATTATGATGGAAACGACACAAATAGTTTGATCCTGAAAAATCTTATAAATTGTTATCACCCAAAAATGTTCAAACAAAAATCTGTTAATATATGTAAGCATTATTTT